TATAATAAGTAAATCTATGTAAGATAGAGAATAATGAGTATTTGCTAGGGCTCAAGGGCAAAGGTAGATAGTAATTACTAAGGAGTGTAGGGTTTCTTTTAGGGGGTTCTAAAAAGTGTCTTAGAGCTGGGCTGTGGTGGTGCATGCCTTTTATCCCAGCACTCAGAAGGCAGAGGCACCTTCGGAGGCCAGCCTGGTCTACAAAGTTCCAGGACAGCCAGAGTGGTTACACAGAGAAACACTGTCTCAAAAAAACAAAACAAAGGAACAAAATCCTACCCTCCCCCCAAGAAAACCCCACAAACCAACCAAACAAACAAAAATCCAGCCAAAAACTAGTACTAAATAAAAAGAAGGTACTATTACAAAACTAAAATAAAAGTGAGGGGCTGGCGAGATGGCTCAGCAGTTAAGAGCACTCGCTGTTCTTGTAAAATCCCAGCCCAATATGGTAGCTCACAACCACCCATAGCTCCAGTTCCAGGGAATCCAATATTTTTTCCTGCCCCCACCCAAGGCAATGCATGCATGTGGTGCAAATCCATACATGCACACAAAACACCCACACATAAAATTAATAAAATTAAATTAAAATTAAAAATAAAAGAGAAACAGAAGTAGAATTGATTGGACAAATAGAAAAGGCATAAAATATTGTATTAGGTAAAATCCTGAGTATGCCAATAAATTCTTTAAATGCAATGGGCTAAATGCTATACTTAAACATCAAAGATATTCACATGGAATTTCTAAAAATCCAATTAGATGCTACTCACAAACTTCAACCTTCCCTACCAAATTGTAGAAGAGGAGGGAATCAATACTATATTTTCTTTGGGCCTAGCATGACCTCAGAATTTTGCAAGTGCTATTACCTAATTTGACCTTCACAATCACCTTATTAAATACAAAGTATTGTGCCCATTTCATACGCAAGTGAACTGCAACACAGTACAAATAAAGTAATTTGTCAAGGTCTGAACACTAGCAGATCTGAGATATGGACTTAGCTCTGTTTGACTCCAGTTCTGCTGTGCGTTCCATTCCAACACATGGAAATTTGGAACCATCAGTGCAAAACTATTGCCCTTGCATGATTCCACTGTTTTCACAGCCCAGTGTCTTCTTTGAGCAATAATCTTTTACAGCTGCATAGAAATCTTTCAAGTCAAGTGTGTGAAAGGATATAGGCTCCTAGGATAAAGCCAACCAATCCAAGGCTGTGGGCATCTCTGGGCTCTCCCCCCCACCCCCCCATCGGTCCTCAGCTCTACCACTGAGCTAAATCCCCAACCCCATTTTTTTTTGTTTTTTTTGAGACAGGGTTTCTCTGTAGCTTTGGAGCCTGTCCTAGACTAGCTCTATAGACCAGGCTGGCCTTGAACTCACAGAGATCCACCTGCTTCCCGAGTGCTGAGATTAAAGGTGTGCACCACCACCACCACCACCACCACCACCACCACCACCACCACCACCATCGCCGCCCAGACATATCTGGGCTCTTAATGCCTAGAACAAGGCGTGGTTTGGAAAGTCCTTGTGAGTATGCCCCAATTTCTTGTCTTTAGAGTGGATGAAGGAAGAGGATAGTAACTCTAAGGGGTTGTTATGACAATTAGACTGGGGAGGAGGAGCCCTGGCTCCAAACAGATGCTCTTCCTAATCAGGGTCCCTGGTGGTGATAAGCTATGGATTACATGCCCATCAGAATAATACTTAATAAGGAACCTTAAAGTCACAGTGGTCCCCAGAAGTTCCTCACTGAAGCACTGCTCTTTCAATGTATCCTCCCCACTCTTCCTGTAAATACACACCATTTAAGGATTCCAGTTTCTGCAAAGTTAACTATCATTTCCAATTGAATATACTCATCTGTTGATTCATTTTTGAGCCTTTTTCTGTGTCAGAATTTTTTTTAAACATTTAAACCCATTTGCTTTATTTATGTGTAAATAAGTACATACATGCATAGTCTGTGTCAGAATTTATGCCTTAAAAACTACTTAAGCCAGGCGGTGGTAGCACATGCCTTTAATCCTAGCACTTGGGAGGCAGAGGCAGGCAGATCTCTGTGAGTCTGAGACCAGCCTGGGCTACAGAGTGAGTTCCAGGAAAGGTGCCAAAGCTACACAGAGAAACCCTGTCTCAAAAAGTCAAAAAAGACTACTTAAGTTCTAAGTCCCATTTTTAAGGAATAAAAATATATCTATCATGCCGGGCGGTGGCGCACGCCATTAATTCCAGCACTCGGGAGGCAGAGCCAGGCGGATCTCTGTGAGTTCGAGGCCAGTCTGGGCTACCAAGTGAGTTCCAGGAGAGGCGCAAAGCTACACAGAGAAACCCTGTCTCGAAAAACCAAAAAAAAAAAAAAAAAATCTATCATTTATTGAGACATACTGTGTATCAGATACCGTAGCAAATGTCATATATTCATAATTCTTCTACTGGTTCTGTAAGTCAAGCAAAATTATCCTTATTTTACAGACATGAAAACTAAAGTTCAGAGGCAGTGGGAATTTTTCCCATCTGATCATAGTTGGGCCTAGATCTAAACTTGGGGTTCTCTGATTCTGAAGTCCACAGTTCTATCATTTCCCTGCTAAAACAATAATACACTTATCTATGCATCAAATATGTAAATATAAAGCATATCCAATGTGTGCCAGGCTTTATGGACACTAAAATAAATGTTTGAGGTAGGCTTAAATGTAGTTACATTTGCAGTCTGAAGCACCAAAAAATCAGGGGGATGGTGTTGAGAAAGCTACTGTAATGATGTAAGAAAAAAAAAAGAGGAAGTAAAGAAGCAGCAGCAGCAGTGGCAGCAGCTGGGCAGTGGTGGCTCGCACCTTCAATCCCAGCACTCAGGAGGCAGAGGCAGATGGATCTCTGAGTTTAAAACCAGTCTGGTCCACAAAAGTGGGACAGCCAGGGATACACAGAGAAACCCTGTCTCAAAAAGAGAAGAAAGACAGACAGACAGGTAGACCTAATGATTGTTGCTGTTTTGGAGATAGAGTTTCATATATCCCAGGCTAGCATTACACCCCATCCTCTAATGACCTTCTGATTCAGAGTATAGGCAAGAAAGGGTGATGGAAAAGCAGGGCTATTTGGACAGAGGGGTTCAGGGAAGGTAGCTGCAGATAGATGTTCAAACTAGCTTTCCTGTTAGGCAATCTATACATTAACTTTTCCTTCACGTACATACTGAACACCTACAATGTATCATATTCCTTCCACTTACTATCTTATTTTATCTTCATACCACTTCATTTAAAAAATCTTTATTGCCGGGCTGGAGAGATGACTCAGAGGTTAGGAGCACAGGCTGTTCTTCCAGAGGTCGTAAGTTCAATTCCCAGCAACCACATGGGGGCTCACACCCATCTGTAATGAAATCTGGTGCCCTCTTTTGGTCTGCAGGGACACATGAAGGCAGAACACTGTATATGTAATAAATATATAAATCTTATAATTTTTAAAATTTCATTTATTTATTTTGTATGTGTGCACATATGTGGGTGTTTGTGTCATGGAGCTTGTATGGATGTCAGAGGACGATTTTCAGGAGTTGTTCTTTCCTTTCACTATGTAGGTCCCAGAGATGGGAATTCTGGTCATCAGGTGTGGCAGGAAGTATGTTTACCTGAGTCATCATCTTGCCATCTTCTGATCCTCCCACCTCCCCCTCTCAAATGCTGGGATTACAGGTGTGCAACACTAAATCCAGTTTATGTGGTGCTGGCGATTGAAAATAGGGCTTTGCACATGCCAGGCACGCACTCTATCAACTGAGCTACATCCCCAGCCCCGACACCACTTCGTTTTAAAGATGTTTCCAATTCTCGTTACTACCAAAAACATTGAAGAATTCATTTAAAATTCTTAGCAACTCTCGTTTCAGTTGTATACTGATGTCCCAGGAGGTGGTGGAGAGTTAATACGCACTCTTTTTTTCTGAGCACAGATCCTGTTATTCTGTGAGACCTCAATCACTAGACAGACAGGTCTGGTTTCTAGAACATGCCCACTCCTCTGCTCTTAGCTAGGTCCTAGGAGGAAACCGACACCAAAAGTATGAAAATGCAGCTTTGACCGACACCAGGGCAGGGAGGAGGCAAATAGAATACAAAGTAACAAGGTCCTGACAAGAGGACCGCCCAAACATCACTCCAACTTGTTGAGGTTAGCAAATGTGTCCTGGAGAAGGCGGGACATTTGCACCAAGCCATCCAGAACAGGCACAGGTTCTGAAAGTGCAGCTGAGGCAGAAGGTCCAAGAATACTCATTGGGATCAAGCCCTATAATAGACCATTGCTCAGATCTACCTTAGAGATTCAGAGGAGGAAAGGATGTGCGAGGTTTGGCTTGGACTGGCAAGGACAACAGTGGGGACTGAGGGTCTCGGAGCGGCTGCAGACAAGCCATATGGACTGATAGGTATCCCCAAAGGGTTCTCCAGCTCCGCAAGTGCCAGCCGGGTGGCCAGAGAGCCTTCCCGTCATTGCCCGCAGACTGGAGCTAAACAAGGGTAGAACAGTTACCATGTCATCCTTGGGCCTTCCCTCTGATTGGCCGGAGCTTCTGTAGCCGGAGTCTCCGCGCTCCAAGGAAAGGGGCGGGGTCTCGGTACAACGTCACTGCTGTTTGGTGCTCACCATTCTAGCCACTCCCCAGCCCTCTTCGAGGGGTCCTGTGTGACGTCACGACTCTCTCTCAGCCAACCGTCGCGGCGGAGGGGGTGGGACTCCGCGTCCCTCCTAATCGTCCCTCCTTTTTTTTTTTTTTTTCCCTCCCCCACCCCCATTCCTCACGCCCCTCCTCTTCCCCTCTGCTCCTTCTCAGAGACCGCCTTCACGTTCGGTTTCAAAAGACTCGTTGCCCAATGAGTAACGGGGTGGGTCTCGAGTGGCGGACCGGCCTGCCAATGCCCGGCCGGCGAGGGCGGAGCGCCCGGGGCTGGCCTCTGACGGCGGGCAGCGTGTGACGCAGTCGGGCCTCTGCGCGCTGCGCCCGAAGCGGCGGTCGGTGGCGGCGGCGGCGGCGGTAGCGGCAGCGACGGCGACGGTTTCCTGGTGGCCGCGCGCTGCTCTGTGAGCGGCGGGTGGCAGACGGACCTGGGTCCTCACCCCAGACGCACCGCGGTAAGTCGGGAGCGCCGCTGGGGCCCAGCGGGAGGGTCCTCCCCTCTGGACCGGCATCTGCGCGGGACGCCCCGGGCCCTCTCCGTCGCCCAGTCTCGTGCCGGGCGCACTCCTCGGGGCCTGCGTGAGGGGGCGGGGCCCGCGGCCCTGCGGCTTGGCTCGGGAGGCCCTGGGAGGGAATCCACACGCGTGGGGCGTGGGCCAGAGGGTCTCGGGTGGCAGCCCACGCTGAAGTGAGCCTTCTCGTCTCCGGTGCTCCTCATTCATTCGCCGGGCGGAGGTGAGCAGCCCCGCGGTAGGTGGGCGCTTGCAGGGATGGTGCCTTGGGGACTCCGTGAGGTTCCCCCATCACTTCTTTGACCACTCACTCTACAGGACGCGTTTTGTCCAGGGTTCACCAGAGGGTTGAGTGAGTCGGAAATGCATTAGCTTTTGAAGACAGTGTCTGGCGATTAGAGGGGTCTGGTCAACCCAGTGAAAGGTTCTTTTCTGTGCTGCCACATGTTCGTTGTAAACCGAGGTGAGAAAGATTGGATTTCTGAATTTCTATAGTCATAAGCATTTAAGAAGTTATTTGTCAGTCCCCCTACTCTGCATCACGTGCAGAGGTTTTGTAGGTTGGAGGTAGAATAAGAGGACTCAGGAATGCCAGATGTCTTGACTCAAGTCTAGAATTTTTATACTATTCCACCCTCCGTGTTTGCTCCAGGCTCTCCCATTATTGGCTATTCTCTATTTGGTAGGGGGAAGGAAACGGACATTCGACATAGTTTTCAAAACATTTCCAGTTTAGTTGTTAACCACGTTTGCGTGTGTGTGTGTGTTAAGATAATAGGACTTAATTTGTGGTACTCTGATGTGGACTTTTAAATTTTAATTTTTCCTTTTTTTGAGACAAGATCTCACTTCAAAATCCTGGTTGGTCTGGAATTCACTATGTAGACCATGAAATCAGAGACCACCTGCCTCTACCTCCCAGGTGCTGGTACTGGGATTAAAGGCGTTTGCCGTCACACCCAGCCTTAACATAAACTTTTGAGAACTAAACTTAAAGTACAGTTGAAGAGACAGACTTGGTGATGCACGCCTTTCATCCCAGTACTTGAGAGGTAAAGGCAGGCGGCTGTGAGTTCAAGGCTAGCCTGAGCTACATACTGAGTTCCAGGACAGCGAGGGCTTTATAAAGAGACCCTGCCTCAAAAACAAACAAACAAACAAACAAAAACTAGTGTTGAGGGTGAATAAAGTCAATATAGATGTGATGGTGTAAGCCTGTAATGTCACCAGTTATGGAAGTTGAGGGTGGAGAGCTAGAGCCCAGGCGTTTGAGGCCAGCCTGGGCAACATAGAAGATCCATCTCAATTAAAACTTGTTGAGGGCTGGAGAGTGGGCTCAATGGTTAAGAGCACTGTTGTCTCATTCTTGGAAACAGCAGCTCTTCTGACCTTGGAGCACCAGGCATACATGTGGTGCACACACATACATGCATGCAAAACACTCATACACATAAACTAATACAAGAAATAGTTGAAATGAAAAATAAAATTTAAAAAAATCAGGCCGGGCATATTGTAGGTATTGGGAAATACTTTGATAAAATTATTTATGATACTTAAGATTTGACGAAATTAGTTGTCAGTTTGATCTGAACATTATCAGCTTGTAGCTTTGATTATAAACAGTAAAACCTAAAAGGAAGTGCCGGCGGCGGTGGTGGCGTACGCCTTTAATCACTTTAAGCACTTGGGAGGCAGAGCCAGGCGGATCTCTGTGAGTTCGAGGCCAGCCTGGGCTACCAAGTGAGTTCCAGGAAAAAAAAAAAAAAACCTAAAAGGAAGTAATACAAAAGAGCAGAAGAGAACTGTGGTCTAAATATTAAAGTCGTGACCCGGTGTTTTTTGTACCATTTTATCAGTTTGGACATCATGACCTGGGAAGCTTTTCCTGGCATGCTTTCCTGTGTAAGTTTCCACACACTTAATGATCCTTTTGCTTGTCACACACATTTTATATTTTAGCTGTTTGTATTTTTATTAGATTATGATAATGTGTTTTTGTGTTGCTGGGTGTGATGGTGAATGCCTTTAATTCCAGCACTTAAGAGGCAGAGGCAGGTGGATCTCTGGGATTTTGGTCAGCCTGGTCCATATAGCAAGTTCCAGGCCAGTCAGGACTGCGTAATGAGATCCTGTTTCAAAAATAAATAACATGTATATTAATACCTATTTTAGGTTACATGGCTCATAGGCAGTCCATTTTGTGGAAGAGCAAATACAGAAAAGGAAAACAGAAAAATACCCCAAAAAAGAGGCTAGATATATATTTGTGTACTTCTGAAATACTTTTTTTTTTTTTTTGGTTTTTCAAGACAGGGTTTCTCTGTGTAGTTTTGGTGCCTGTCCTGAATCTTGTTCTGTAGACAGAACTGGCCTCGAACTCACAGAGATCCGCCTGGCTCTGCCTCCTGAGTGCTGGGATTAAAGGCATACGGCCTGAAATACTTTGTATTTTGTTTGTAGCCACTAGTTCCTAGGTATCTAAGAATAACTAAACTTTTAGAGCACCAAATTAACAGACTGGGAAAATAAGGTATGATTTATTGTAATATTACTTGTGTGCTGGCAGTCTAGGACATAGAGTATTGTAATAATGATTAATTTCTAGTAAAAGACTATAAAATTCTGAGGTTATATAATGTGTAACTCACGAGTGTGGTGGCATGTGCCTTTAATCCCAGCCTTCAGGAGGCAAAGACAGGCAGATCTCTTGTGTTTGAGACCAATCTCTAGAGGAACTCTACAGAGTGAGTTCCAGGACAGCCAGAGTTGTTACACAGAGAAGCCCCAATCTCAAAAAAAAAAAACAAAAAAATATATACATGTATATCTTATCTAAATCTTAGTAGAGGCCAGGTATTAAGCATTTTCTGAGAGCTTGATGTGTTGTGTTTGAAATTGACTTATCGTTCAATATGCATTCACAGCAAGATATCGTACGTACTGCAGCTAACACTTTTTTTTTTTTTTTTTTTTTTTTTCCCGAGACAGGGTTTCTCTGTGTAGCTTTGCGCCTTTCCTGGAACTCACTTGGTAGCCCAGGCTGGCCTCGAACTCACAGAGATCCGCCTGGCTCTGCCTCCCGAGTGCTGGGATTAAAGGCGTGCGCCACCACCGCCCGGCTTGCAGCTAACACTTTATATTAAGATAATTTTTTAATTGAGGCTCTCTTGTGTGTTGTAGGCTATGTAACAGCTTTCCTCCTCTCCCTATTAGATACTGATTAATACCTCCTCCCAAAGTTGTAACTACCAAGAAGGTCAAGAAATTAATTGTCCCTGATTGAGATCACTGCTGTAGTGAAAATAGTCCCGACATTTTAGTAGAACCATACCCTTACTTTGCTTGTAAAGTCAGTTCATAAATTGTCTAATACCTTATTTTCAAGAAAAGATTCTTGATGTGTAGCCCAGGCCGACTTTAAAATCCTAATCCTTCTGCCTTTTCCTCCCAAGTACAGGAGGATGGTATGTGTCACCATGCCCTTTGCACAGGTGTGTCTGTGCGTGTTCACATGGAGGCCAGAAGTTTGTCTTAATAACTCTTTAACATCCTCCCCTTTTTATTTGTTTCTTTAGTTAGTTCTTGGTTTTGAGACAAGTTCTCTCTCTGTGTGTAGTCCTGGCTATCCTGAAGCTCACTATGTAGACCGGGCTGGCCTTGAATTTATAGAGATCTATCTGCCTCTGCCTCCTTGAGTGCTGGGATTAAAGGTATGCACCACCACACCCACGTTTTTTTTCTTATTTTGGGACAGTCTTGATATGTTGTCCTTGTTGACCTGTAATTGCCTATGTAGACCAGGTTGGATCTGCCTGCCTGTGCCTTGTAAGTGGGAGGATTATAGGTGTGTGCCACTATGCCTGGCCTTAAACCTTATTTCATTTTTCACACCTTATTTTTTGAGACATGGTTTCTCACTGAATCTGGAGTTTACCAGTTCAGTTAGACTTGGTGCTCTTTCAGAGTACCTGAGTTCTGTTCCCAGCACCCAAATCAGGTAGCTTACAGCTACCTGTAACTCCAGCTCCAAACCAGTCCTACATACTTTTGCCTCTTGTGGGGATCTACGCATGTTGCATAAACACACACACACACACACACACACACACACACAAGTAAACAAATAAATAAATAAATAAAACAAGTAAATCTTTGCTGGTCATGGTGGCGGTACATCCTTTTAATCTCAGAATTTGAGCCATAGAGACAGATGGATCTCTTGAGTTCCAGGCTAGCTGGTACATAGTGAGACCCTGTCTTTAGAAGCAGCAACAGCCGACTCGAGAGCTTTGTGTAATGGTTACACCTGTTGTCTCAGCACTTTGGAAGCAGAGGTAAGATAACAAATTCCAGGCGAGCCCCCGAAATAGGATGTAACATTAGATGATTAAGACTAGATACTTTCTTCCTGGAATTTTGCCTAGCCTCCTTTCCTGTCTCTCTTGTCTCATGGAAGACAAGACAGTGCTCCCAGGTGTGTAATCCCAGCACTTAGGAAGACTGTTGTGAGTTCGGGCTAGCCTGAGCTACAGAGGGAGAGCTTGTTGAGACCTTGTCTTTTTTTTTTTTTTTTTTTTTGGTTTTTCGAGACAGGGTTTCTCTGTGTAGCTTTGCGCCTTTCCTGGAACTCGCTTTGGAGACCAGGCTGGCCTTGAACTCACAGAGATCCGCCTGGCTCTGCCTCCCGAGTGCTGGGATTAAAGGCGTGCGACACCACCGCCCGGCAGGACCTGGTCTTAAACAAACAAAAACAGACTCATTCAGTTTAACTGTGGATAGTGATCCCTCCCTTTTCTACTACTATCATGGGGATTAAATGAGAGACTTAAAAAGTGCTTTGTAGAGTGGAAAGTAACATGTACTGATTTTGCTCTTTGCTGATTTTGATACAAAGGAATTCAATGAAGTAAAAAGGAAGTACTTAATATTTGTATAATTTTCTAGAAGTAGAAAGCAGCAAGCTGGGAGTATCTTGGAAGACTGGCATAGTCATTCAGTTTGGCAGTGCTGAGGTTTTTTGGTTTTGTTGTTTAACGTTGTGTCAGGTGTCTCCTACTTTTTGAGGTAGAAAACTAATTTTGTTCACATAACTTAGAAAACTTAGATAGATGATATACTTAAGACATACCATTCAAAGTTTAGTTGAGATAATGGGAATATATTTCTTTCTAGTGGTTATATTACTGATGTGTATTGGCTATCTCCTTTTTGGTATTACATAGTATAAATAAAAAAATAGAAGATTTTTGAAGCACAAGGGGCAGAGGAAAATTAAGGCCAATATTAAAGATCATTTTTAAATGTCTTGTACAAAAGGAGTGTAAGTAAATCAATTCATAAAGACAAAAATAAATTTTTGTAGGAATTTTTATCTAGGCCATGGGAATATCTTATGGATTGTTCTTCCTTCATAAGAGATTACATTTTATTCTGCTTCTGCGCCTTCATTATATCCTGCCTGTGTGCCCCACCACAACCAGTGTTTTGATGTGGTAGCATATGCCTGTAATCTCACTACTTGGTTGATGGAGGAAGAAAGATCAGAAATTCAAGGTCATTGGTGGCTACAAAGTGAGTTTGAAGCCAGCCTGGGTTACATGTAATCCTGTCTCAAAAACAAAACAAACAAACAAACAAAACCAAAATAACTTGTTGTAGTGTCAAACACCTGGAATTCTAGCACTTGGGAAGTAGAGGCAGGAAGATAAGCAGTTCAGTCAGTCTGGAGCTACATAGGAAGTTGAGGGCAGCTTTCACTATCTGTACCCTGTCTCAAAACAACAAGCAAAGGTAACTGTCCCTATTTTTGGTAGATCTCATTGTAAATGAGATACAGTTGAGTTCCTTTGGTAGCAGACTCTGAATTGAGCATAGTCCTTAGAAGTTGGCTCAGGAAATTTTGGTATCATTACCTGTAAGAGAAGTGAGAAAGAAGTGGGAGGTACTGTATTGTGATGATGTTTGAATATACGTGGTAATGGAGATAGAACCTAGCTAGGCACTTACAAACACTAGGCAAGTATTAACTCTGACACACTCCTGTGTGATGCTATGTCTTATTTTTGTTTTTATGTATTGATTTTTTTATTTTTTATTTTTTTTATTTTTTTGTCTTTCAAGACAGGGTTTCTCTGTGTAGCTTTGGAGCCTTTCCTGGAACTCACTCTGTAGCCCAGGGTGGCCTCCAACTCACAGAGATCTGCCTGCCTCTGCCTCCCAAGTGCTGGGACTAAAGGCGTGCACCACCACTGCCCGGCTATTTTTCTTTTTAGTGGTAGAAAAGAATTGAACTTAGGACCCTTTCTGGGTAGGCAAGCACTCTACCCTAAGCTGTATTTCTAGAACTGTGGTGTCCTGATGAAGGTGTTAACCAATCCCATGAAAATTAAAAAGATGAAATTACCTGCCCTTTAGAGTTTTATACTGAGCTAGGGCCAAGAATCCTAGCATTGGCCATGGATTTTGGCTGTCCCAGGAAGAAAGTATGACCGTGGATGAGGCAGTCTTCAGTAGAGGCAGTTCTGAAAAGCACTGGCAGCTGAAGGCTGTCTCCCAGTACAGCAGCTGGTACAACAAATCTTCTACAGTCCTAAATGAAAGTCTGCATAGTTTAGTGTTTCACAGTGTCCAGGGTGGGAAGTAAGGGCCAAGAGAGCTATGTGTAGAGTTTATATTGTGTTATGGATGTCTAGAAGAATGCCATTGCTAGATGAAGTTAACATAGGTTTATAAAAGATACCAAACTGAAGTTTAATAGAGTGAATTGGGTTGTTTGGCAGCAACAAGAGTAAAGGGTGGATAGCTTTCACTGAGTCTGGTATACACAGCAGAGTTAGGAAAACGAATGGTTTGAAGAATTGAGTTTTCTGTGTTCACTAGTTTAGTTTTTGTTTTGTGATTGGGCCTCAGCCTAGGCTGGCCTCAAGCTCACTGAGTAGCTAAGGTTGATCCAAACTACTGATTCTCTTTCCTTTACCTCTCTAGTGCTGGGATTATAGGTGAACTCCAGTTCACCCAGTTTGCCATTCTTCATCAGTTTCTGTAGTTATGACAGCTTGTGAGGTTGTCTCTGATTTTGATTTGCTTCATTGTAATTTTGTTTCTATTGTGGTTTGTTTTGAGATAAGATCTATGTTACTGAGGATGACTTGAATTTTTTTTTAAAGATTTAGTTATTATGTATGCATGTATTCCTGTAGGCCAGAAGAGGGCACCAGATCTCATTACAGATGGTTGTGAGCCACCATGTGGTTGCTGAGAATTGAACTCAGGACCTCTGGAAGAACAGCCAATGCTCTTAACCACTGAGCCATTTCTCCAGCCCGACTTGAATTTTTGATCCTCCTAAATCTACATGCTAGAATTACAGACATGTGCTACCATTCTTCATTTATGCTGTTCTGGGGTTTTGTGCATGCTAGGCAAGTACTCTTGCCAGCTGAGCTAAATCCCTAGCCTCTGTTGTGATAATTTTAAGCAACAGACCTTGCTCAGCATGATAAATGAGAATAAACCAAGTTTGATCTTCTCAGAACCGAGAAAGTTGAGTGGGTAGGCTGATTCACACCTTTAATCCCAGCACGTGGGAGGCAGAGCCAGGTGGATCTCTGTGAATTCGAGGCCAGCCTGGTCTACAGAGTTCCAAGACAGCCAGGACTGTTTCACAGAGAAACCTTGTCTTGAAAAAAACAAAAAAAGAAAAGATAGGTTGCATTTGAATGAGACACTTTCTTCATGGGTTAAAGATATTTGCTGCCTTCTTTCCAAATCTAGTTTATCAATTGCATTTTTGTTTTGTTTTTCGAGACAGGGTTTCTCTGTATAGCTTTGCGCCTTTCCTGGAACTCACTTGGTAGCCCAGGCTGGCCTCAAACTCACAGAGATCTGCCTGCCTCCCGAGTGCTGGGATTAAAGGCGTGCGCCACCACCGCCCGGCTGTAACTACTAACTTTCATTGCCTCTGATCCTGTCAGCACTGAAACAGAAAAGTTCCCAGGGTCTGGGGTGACAGCTGGTATTTCTAGATAAGAAACCTGAGAAACATCAGTTCCCAAAGAGTTTTAGGGGGGAAATACTTCACAAAAAAGGGTTTCTGAGAATGATCACATCTTTCCCATGCCTGACTGACAAAAGTGAAACCAAAAACTGCTGAGAAAATCATCAATATTTATGAGAAAAGAGATCGTGCAGTCTGCTCGATCCCAGCAGTATTCTGAGCTGTCCTGAGATCCACTGGTCTCTCGAAGACCCGTTTGTAGTAAGAATTGTTAGAAGGTCTTATTAATAAAAACAAACCCGGAGCCAGGTATTGGAGTGAATGCTTAAGGATCAGAGAAACAGAACCAGCCACAGCTAACCTCACCTCGCCAATTCCTCAGCTGATCTCTTTCCTCAATCTAGAAGCCTCCTTGTCCTCATCCGAATGGATCTCAGCTGACCTGCTGCTCAAAAGCCTAAAAGCTTAACAGGCTCTAGTAGTTGATCCTCACGCCTTATATACCTTTCTGCCTCCTGCCATCAATCACTTCTTGGGATTAAAGGTGTGTGTCACCATGCCTGGTTGTTTCCAGTGTGGCTTTGAACTCACAGATCCAAATGGATCTCTGCCTCCAGAATGCTAGGATTAAAGGCATGTGCTACCATTGCCTAACCTCTGTTTAATATTGTGGCTCTTCTGTTCTCTGACCCCCAGATTAGTTTATTAGGGTGCATTATATTGGGGAACACTATCACCACACCTGTGGATAAGTGTTCATATGCTGATCTGAAACTAGACCACATGGCTCACAAGACATGAAAGTAATAGGGATATGGAAGGAATAAGGTTAAGTAAGGAATATGATCAAAGTATGTTTACATACACAGCACATGCTAAAAATAATAGTGATGAAAAGGACAAATAATCAAAAACATGCTAATAATAATAATAGTAATAAGGGCAAATAACAAACATCTCCCGACACTTACAATGATAGTTATAAATCTAAACTTCCTATATATAACCTCAAGCACTGTAACTAACCCTGTATCCAAAATCAAAAACACAAAAAAGTTGGAGGTGCCTGGCAAAAATCAACATAACTGGATAGCACTTGTTTGTTTTGAGGGGCACATGGTCCATGTGTCCAGGCTGGCCTTGAACTGTTTGTGTTATAAAATACAATTTCGAAAAGCTATGGTAGTACATATATAAATAAAATTTACCATTCATCTATTTTTTGCTAACAAGTCTGTTCAAATCTTGTTTTTCCTAACATATCTATTCAAATCTTTTGGCTTTTTTTGGGGGGGGGGGGGGTCTTTCTGTATAGCCCTGGCAATCCTGCCTGTTAAAGGCAATGTGCCACCACACCTGACTAAAGGTAGGGACCTTAAATCGGATCTCATTACTAAAGAGTAAGTGATGATGACATGAGCTTCTAGCTGTAAGGCTAGTAGGTAAGTACTCTTAGCCGCTGAGCTACCTCTCCAGCCCTGGCCAGGGAAACAGTTTAGATAGTTGAGATAACAGAATATGGTCATAATTGTTGATGCATATACTGTATAATCTCCTAGGTCTTGTTTTTTTGTTGTTGTTTTGAGACAGGGTCTCATGTAATCTCGACTGGCTTTGAGCTGTCTGTGTAGCTGAAGATGACCTTGAATTTCTGATCCCCTTGCCTCCCATCTCCAGACTGCTAATGTTATGGGTGTTTGCCACCACGTCCAATACTGGGGAGCAAACCTACAGCACCATGTATACTGTTTATACTGACCTATATTGATCTCTATTATGATATTTAAATAAAAGTTAGGTAAAAATTAAAAAAAAATCTGGGCAAATAAGATGTCTCATCTTTCTGCCAAGCCTGATGAATTGAGTTCAACTTCCAGAACTCAAAAGGAGAAGAACCTATTGCAGTCCCATCCTCTCACCTCCATACATGTGCTGTGGCATTTGTAGGGATGCATACGCTAAAAGTAATAAAAGTTAAATTGCCCAACAATTCAGCGTATACATGAAAAACATTTCAAAGGGATGGTCGTTGGTAGGATCAGAAATTTAATCTCACATTACAGTACTAGTTATTTTAGCAAGTGTGTAGATTAACGAACATTTTATAGGTTTTAATTATATTTAATTAAAATAATTTAATATATTTAATTTATTCATTCAAGGTTTTAGGATATTTAATAGCAGTATGCTATCATTTCTATGGGCCTAACTAATATTTGTAGAATGGTAGATTTCTTGAAATAAATTAATTTCTGTGGTGTCTCAAAAGAGTAACTTTTGTTTTACAGCTTTCTGAAGCAAACACTTGTTTGGAAGATGTTTAACAAATCATTTGGAACCCCCTTTGGGGGTGGGACAGGGGGCTTTGGCACAACTTCAACATTTGGACAAAGTAAGTTTTGAAAAATAATGAAAAAGGAGAAAATGTCTTAATTTGACTGTCTTTTGTTGGTTCAGTTGTTTTGTTTTGAGACTGGTTATCACTGTAGCCTGAGCCGGCTTATAACTATTTATGTAACTCAGGCTTCCAGCTCTCAATCCTCCTGTCTCAGTTTCTCAAGGCATGAGCCACTGTGATAGTTTCAACTATCAACTTCACATAATTGAGAGTTAGATCTGAGGCCATCTGTGAAGGATCCTTGTGGTTATCTTAACTGATGGGGGAGGATCCACCCACTGTAGATTGCTTATCTGTCCCTCCACTGCCTGTGCTAGGCAGGTACTCTACCACTGGGCAGCATGAACCCTGTGGTGGTTCAAAGTCACACCTTTTGACTTCAAGTTCATAGTCTTCTGGAGGTAATGAGTAAAATACCTTGGCTTGATTTCTATCCTGTAAGAATTTTGATGGAAATTTGAGAAAGGCTTCAAACTGTATTAGTGGTCCTACTTAATGCAGTGTTAAGAAATGTAGCTGGGCAGTGGTGGTGCAGGCCTTCAATCCCAGCGCTCTGGAGTTAGAGGTAAGAGGATCTCTGAGTTTGAGGCCGGCCTGGTCTACAGAGTGAGTTCTAGGACAGCCAAGACTACACAGAGAAACCCTGTCTCAAAAAACCAAACCAGAACAAAATAAAACAAATGTTTAAAACTGTTTTACTCACAGACCCTGGATTTTGCTGTTTCAGATACTGGCTTTGGTACTACTAGTGGAGGAGCATTTGGAACATCTGCATTTGGTTCTAGCAACAATACTGGAGGCTTATTTGGAAATTCACAGACCAAACCAGGTAAGAGATTTTGTTTAGAATACATCTGGTTTGTATGTAGCTGGTACAGAACTTTACTTGGTAACTACAATTTACTACATGAACTTTTTTTCCCCTTCCATCTCTTTAGGAGGATTATTTGGTACCAATTCATTTACCCAGCCAGCAACGTCCACAAGCACTGGCTTTGGGTTTGGTACATCAACAGGAACATCAAATAGTTTGTTTGGAACTGCAAGTACAGGAACCAGTCTTTTCTCATCCCAAAACAATGCATTTGCACAAAATAAACCAACTGGCTTTGGGAGTAAGTAGAACACCATTCTTTGTACTTCTAATAGTTTAGTATTTGATTTGTTTGTTGAATGTGTCCTCTCTTTGCTCTGTGCTCACTACCTCCTTTCCCACCAAGTGGTCAAAACCAGGAAATAGGAGAATCTGAAAATGTATTGAGTTGTAGGCTAGAGAAGAGGGCAGTAAATATATCTCTTAAAGAGTGGGGGCTTGAAGCAGTAGTATTTGTAATAGATGCAGAGAGGAAGAGATGCCTGACAGAGAATCTCAGAGTTCAAGGTCATACTGGTCTACAAAGTGAGTTCCAGGAGCCAGGGTTACAAAGAAACCCTGTCCAAAACAAGAAAAAGAAAACAAAAACCCACAAAAAGAGAGTCACAGAGATGCCTGATACAGAATACCCAGACATAGGATGAAAAACCAGGTCAGAGTAGTATTGTTAGAGCTATGCTGACAGGATGTCAAGAAGGATGTGTTCAAGTCAGTCAGTAGTGTTGTACTGCAAAGACAACTCTTTCTTTACCTGTGTCTCACATTTACAGCGAAAGGACTAGAGCACCTGGAATGAGAAGTACTGTGTATGCTTTGATTACTCCCCTCCATTCCTTGCTCATGGCAGATGTTTTTAATTTTTAACCCTTTAAATTCATGTGTCTAGTAACTGCTTCTTTACATAGTACTTTAAGGCAACCACTAAATGTGCCCTATGAGGTGATGCTATTTATGGTACAAGAGCACAGTAATATAAGTGGCTAACTAACCAACAGTATTTTTTGAAAGGCAAAATTGTGGGAATGTTGGGGAAAAAAATGTTTTTTGGTGTGTCTAAGTGAGACAAAGTCTCATGTAACCCAGGGTGGCCTCAAACTCTTGACTCTACCTCCCCAATTGTTGATATTATATACAGGCTTGTGCCACCATTTCTGGTAGGATGTTGAAATATTTAAACATGCCCTATAAAATGCAACCTTAGGGTGCTAATTCAAAAGTGATGTCCCCCCCCCCCCCCCCCAAAAAAAATTTAAAAGCCAGGCGGTGGTGGTGCATGCCTTTAATCCCAGTACTCAGGAGGCAGAGGCCAGCCTGGGCTACAGAGTAAGTTCCAGGAAAGGCACCAAAGCTACACAGAGAAACCCTGTCTCAAAAAAAAAAAAAATTAAAAGTGGTATTCCTACTAATTTGAACTATATATTAAGGTTAGAGTTAGTTAGAAATGATAGTTTGCCAGTGAGCAATCAAATGCTCATAATGGTTATTAGCATAGCACTTAAGTTAAACATTGACAGGTAGATTTTTCTTGTTTACTGACATTTCTGGCACTGTGTGATGTCTCTTTGGTTTTTCGAGACAGGGTTTCTCTGTGTAGCTTTGCACCTTTCCTGGAACTCACTCTGTAGACCAGGCTGGCCTCGAACTCACAGAGATCCGCCTGGCTCTGCCTCCCAAGTGCTGGGATTATAGGCGTGCGCCACCACCACCCAGCCTCCTGGAACTCACTCTGTAGCCCAGGCGGGCCTCAAACTCACAGAGATCCGCCTGCTTCTGCCTCCCAAGTGCTGGGATTAAAGGTTTTCCCCACCGTCCCCCCCACCCCCACCCTGGATGACTTCCCATATTTTAAGAAAGATAGTCTGGGGGCTGGAGAAGGATCAGTGGCTGCTCTTACAGAGGTCCCAAGTTCAATTACCAGCATCCACATGGCAGCTCACAACTGTCTGTACTCCAGTTCTAGTGGAGCCAGCATTCTTATCCAGACATACATGCAGGCAGAACATCAGTGGACATAAGATATAAATAAATAAATCATTATGAAAAAAGAAAGATAGTCTTTAATTTCTTTATTTCTTTTCTTTTCCCCTTTTTGAGACAGGTTTTCACAAAGTACTTCTAGCTGACCTGGAACTCACCATGTAGACAAAACTGGCCTCAGAGGTCTGCCTGTCTCTGCTTCCCTTCTGAGGTTAAAGGCATGGGCCACTATGCCCTGCTAGGTAGAGTCTGCTATTTCTATATTAGTTTCTTTTTAGATTTTGAGACAAGTGTCTCACTGTGTAGCCTGGGCTAGTCTGGAACTCACTGTGAAGCTAGCCCAAACTAGTGTTGAACTGAAAGCATTCCTGATACAGCCTCCCAAGTGCTTGGATTACAGTCCTGCTTCTGAGTTAGTTTCTATAAAATGACCAACAATGCCCTCTGATTTGACATTTTTTTAGGGATGGTCACATTTTATGTTAACCTGTCTATGTTTAATGCTTCTGTAGGACCGTTTACATGTTCAAAATATGGGTACATGAAATATATCTAAATAAAAAAACATAGGATATTTATGTGTTGTGATATCTGTTATGATGAGGTGTTTTCAGAAGGACAATTTTATTCAGCATTCATTCTTGCTTAGTAAGAAAAGGAGAAATGAGATAAAATACACAGTCAGTGTTTCTTTTTAGTCTTGTCTGTTATATCTAAGAACTACCTGCACATGTAGCTAATTCATGGGTTTGGATTAGTTTACCTTGAGAATTGTAGCCTGGAAGCATGTGTTGGTATGGAATGTTGCCTAAATAAATTTGCTCAGGAGAAATAAAGAATATTTGACAGTGTGAAAGCACTGCTGCCATTACCCTACCTTACTTCCAGGGTGTTCAAGATGAAGTTGTTTGCTATTTAATTCTCATTTTCTTTCTAATTGACAGATTTTGGAACAAGTACCAGCAGTGGAGGACTCTTTGGAACTACAAACACCACCTCTAACCCTTTTGGTGGCACATCTGGCTCTCTCTTTGGGCCAAGTAGTTTTACAGCAGCACCTACAGGAACCACTATTAAATTTAATGTATGTATTTTCTTCCAGAATGTTTTCTTTTCTATGTATTTCTTTGTAGAATGAATTGTCAAATTGCTCCTTTTTCCAGTAATTCATATCATAGTTTGGCTTTTTAAAAAAATAAGCTTATTTATTTTTATGTGTATGAATATTTGTTGCATGTGTGATTGTTTGCTATGTGCATGCCAGTACCCAGGGAGGCCAGAAGAGGATATCATGATCTCTTGGAATTGCAAGAACAGATGGTTGTGAACTTCCATCTGGTGCTGGTGTAATAGGCCCCAAGACCTTGGCATAATTGACAACACTTTAGAGGCCCCATTCTGACCTTAGAACCCAACACATAGATCCCAATACTTGCCAAAAACAGGAACAAAGACCTAATCCATCAAAGATCTATTCCGTACTTCCAGGATCCAGGGAAATCCTTAAATGTACTAACCTTGCTTTTTTGCTTCTGTAGTTTTTACTTGTTGGTAACTGTTCTTGCTAGCTGACCAGGTTGTGGTTTTATGTATGAAAGACAAAGATCAGTGAGGCTCGGGGCTGCGTGATTTGGGCAAGATCCCTATGTATGTAGCCTTCAGTGGGCAATATAGACTTTCTTTTCAGCTTTAAGAGTATCTGTGTGGGATGGGGGTGGGGGTCTATGCCGTTAACCCCAGCACTTGGGAAGCAGAAGCAGGTGGATCTCTGAGTTTGAAGCCAGCCTGATCTACAGAGCAAGTTCAAGAATGTCCAGGGCTACACAGAGAAACCTTGCCTAAAAAAAAAAAAAAAAAAAAGAAAGAAAGAAAGAAAAAAAAATCTAATTTTTTTTTTCTTTTTTATTGCCATAGTGGGCATTAAGTCAAGGTCTCATGCATGGTAGGTAAGTGCTCTACCACTGAGCTGAAATTAATTTCCAGCATGAAACATCATCTAGATTATAATATATATTAAAATTGTGCTCACTATAGTCAAGTTTGTATTTAGTGTTGATTATGGTAGCCATATAAAGCAGAATTCCTGAGGCAGGGTCTTGCTATGTAATCCAGGCTGACTTTTTATACTAACTACATAGTTCAGACTTGCCTTGAACTCAGTGATTTTGCTTTCCCTTTTTAGTGCTAGGATTACAAGTGTCTGTCAGTATTTTCTGTTCTAAAGCAGAACTGGGGTAATCATCTGTTTATAGAAATAAAGAATAATGGACAGATCATAGAAAAAGAACTGAAAATAAGACTTCTTCATGAAGATACGTAGAACAGTCTGTCATCTATTCAAGAATAAAACCTTGGATCTCTTGTCAGTTCCAGGCCAGCCTGGTCTACAAAGTGAGTTCCAGGACAAGCTCCAAAAGCTACACATAGAAACCCTGTCTCAGAAAACAAACAAACTAAAGAATAAAACCTTGGATGGAATGGAAAAATGGGACAATAAAGTAGATGGGAGGGTTAGTGCACTATGGGCCTTGGGATTAAACCCTGGCCTTCCAAGGCATGTGTGGGCTATATAGAATATTGTCTCAAAAAATAAAACTGGGTGTAGTGGCTCACACCATTCATTTATCCTAACACTGAGGAGCAGAGGCAGGTGGATTTCTGAGTTCAAGTCCTGCCTGGTTAATATAGAGTTCCAGGACAGCCATGGCTACATAGAGGCTCTGTCTCTAAATGAATTAATAAAAGAATGAAAAATAAAAAGCAGATAATTGAAGAACAGAGGATACTGCTTTAAAGATTTAAATATGTATACTTTTTTTTTTTAGTAAATTGAGTAAAACCATTGGTAAGAATATATTTCCTGTATTTTACCATATAATTGGATAGCTTGAGTTGAGAGGCTAATACTTAAGTTTGTGGTAAATTTGTTACCAAGATGGATTTATTCTGGGCTAGAGAGATGGCTTAGTAGTTAACAGTACTTGCTATTCTTACAGAGGACTGGAATTGGGTTCCCAATACCTACCTATTGGCTTACAACTGTCTATTAATTACTCTTAACTCCAAGAGATACAATGCCTCTAACCTCTGTACTCACATGTACATATCTACATTCAGGCACACACAGCTACATATAATTAAAAATAATAAAAATTTATCTTTAAAAATGAAGATTGGGTTTGTTCAGATAACTGTGATGTTGGAGAAAGATCAGAAATGTTGCCCTATATTTTAATCAAGCATCCTTGAAAAACAATTTGATTTTGCCTTGAGGGTCTTACTGTGATGCCCAGACGGGTCTTGAATTCCTGGTCTCAGATGATCATGCTTCAACTTCAAAAATATTTGGTTTGTGCCACTGTGCCCAGTTCCATCTTTAATTTGTTTGAGATAAGGTCTCTGTAGCCTTCCTGGGTTGGTTTGGTATTCACGGCTCCCTCTGGAGTGCTGGGATAGTAGATATAGGCCATCATGCCCTCCTAAAAGTGTTTTTTGAGTCAGGTGGAGGGGGGGGTGCCTTTGCATTAGGCATTTACCACTGAACTGTATCCAGCTCTTGGCTCTGTCTTGTTACAAAAGAAGAAATGGAATAATTTTAAAGTTCAGTGGTTGACAAACTGTGTGTCTGTAAGAGTTGGACTTTGGAAAAAAACTTGGACTTAGAAATGTGCCTTTGTCTTCCTTTGCAGCCTCCCACGGGTACAGATACTATGGTCAAAGCTGGAGTTAGCACTAACATCAGTACCAAGCATCAGTGTATTACTGCTATGAAAGAATATGAAAGCAAGTCACTAGAGGTCAGTAAAATGAAGTACAAAAAAATGAGCTTAATACTTTCATTATACATAAACAGCTTTTTCAAATATTTGATTCTTTTTAAGATTAAGTGGTTCTAATTGGGTCTGAGTAAAAGCTTTAAGGTGTTTTTAAAGATCATATATTATTATGAATACTTCTATTTTAGGCTGAGATAATATTCTCCACATACATAGGTCTACCTAGTATTCTATTCTGGTTAGATATTTACAATGCAGTGAGAATGCATGTTTGTGCATACATGACTTTTTAGTAAATTTATGCAAAATCCTAAGTACATGGCTTAATAAGTTTTTCATTAAGTGGAAAGATACTTATCAAGTGACAGTATAGAGAAAAGACAATAGGAAAAGAAACAAGAATAGCTAACATCCCAATGCCTTTATTAACCCTGCCCCTCATCATAATACTCTCCTTCCAAAATTAACTATCTTGATTGCCCAATTTTTGCCAGTCTTTGAGTTTTATATAGATGGACACTTACTTTTGTAATTCAGTATTACACTTCAGTGACGTTACTCTGTAATAGATTGTTGGGGAGTCTCTTCTAAGTAATTTTTTTGCCATATGTTAAGTTTGGTAATGTTCTTACCTTCAGGAACTTCGTTTGGAGGATTATCAGGCTAACCGTAAAGGCCCACAGAACCAAGTGGGAGCAGGTACCACAGCTGGCTTATTTGGGTCTTCTCCAGCAACTTCCAGTGCAACAGGACTCTTCAGCTCCTCCACCACTAATTCAGCCTTTTCATATGGTCAGAACAAAACTAGTGCCTTCGGAACTAGTAAGCACTTTTATTGTATCATAAAGAAAAATGGTCAGATAAAAGTAAATCATGACTCACTTCGTTACAAGAGCTGTGGAGAAAAAATAATTTGGGGATATTTATGAATAGGGAGAGATAGTTAAAAGTGAAGATGGCTAAGGAATCCTTCATTTCAGAGCTGATATTTGAGTAGTAACCTACTCAAAGGTAAAAGAAGTGGTTGTATGTATTTGTAGGAAAAATCTGCTAACTTGAAGCTATGAGTCTCAAAACTCAGGTTTTAGAGGCTTATATGAAGCAGGGTCTCACTCTAACTCAAGTTGACCTCAAACTCAAAGCAATCCTGCTTTAGCCTTCCAAATACTTGTGTTATAAGCATGAGCCACCAGGCCCAGCAAAACTCAAGTTTTTACCTAAGAGGTGAGAATGTTCCAGAATTTTAGGGGACACAAGGGCTGTGTTTAATAGGACTTTGTCAGTGGATCAGAGCTTGACTTTTTTGATACAGTCTTGCTATGTAAACTTGGCTGGCTTGGAACTTGCTACATAGGCCAAAGTAGCCTTAGATTATGGCAGTCTTCCTGCTTCTGCCTCCCAAGTGCTGGACTTGTAGGCATATGTGCCTCACCCTGCAAGACATGACTTTTATTTGCTTGGGAAACATTAAAGTTTATTTTGAAAGAGAAGTCATTTGATAATGAGTGAAGGTTCATTCTGAGGATTACTACTATATTCAGAGTAGTACAAGGTAGTACAAAATTAGTATAAAAATGCTGGGCATGGTGGTGCACATCTTTGATCCCACTTGGAGATCACTTGGAGCATTTGGAGACTGAGGCAGATGGCCCTGAGTTGGAGGCCAGCCTGGTCTGTAGAGCAAGTTCCTGGACAGCGAGGGCTACACAGAAATCCTATCTCGAAAAACAAAAGCAAAAAATAGTTGTACTTTCAACATGAAAGATTGATAGTGTCTTAGACAAAAGGGCTGGGGTTGAGTATGTAGCTCAAACATATATAAGGCCCTGTTTTGAGTCCCCAGGAATACATTATCAGTCAGATTCTAAAGCCTGATTAGATAACCGAGTTGATTCAGTATAGGGTGTGAAAGCATTTAGGGTGATGGCTAAGTTACTTGATAAAAATACTGCTTTTGCAAAAGTTACAATACAAAATTTATTTGTAGCTTGTCTGGGTCGTTCATGCTTGTAATTACAGGATTTGGGAGGTGAAGATAAAGAATTCAAGATTATCCTTAGCAACATAGTAAAGTGTGAGGCCACCCTGCCAGAAACCAGAGCAAACCAAAGATTTCTTTCCTGGATTTCTCCATTAGCCATAAGTTTACCTCTGTAAAGGCAAACAAAAGTTACAAAGTTTCCATAGCTTTCTAGAGAAATGTATACACAAATACTGTGTTTATCTAATTTACATTTAACATTCTTTTCAGCCTTAGTATTTCTGACTTAAAAGTTTTATTCCTTTCGTTTTGTTTTGATTTTTTTTTTTTTTTTTGAGACAGGATTTCTCTAGACTAGGCTGGCCTTGAACTCACGTAGATTCACCAGCCTCTGCCTCCCAAGAGCTGAGATTAAAAGGCTGTGCCACTATGCTCGATGAATATAGTACTGTATATAAAAGATGAGACTGAATATATTGATAGGAAGAAAAAAACCTCATTCTGTCAAAATTAATTTAAACATAGATTGAATATTTTTCCTTATAAAAAGGAAAGTTGAGTTTACAAAGGAAGGTCATTCAGTCTTATTAGAATTCTTGAGTTGAGGTATTATAGAAAGGAAAGTTTTAGTATAAAAGTAGAGCTAGCTGAAGATAAAAAATGAAGGCTATTAAATTAATAATGAATATAGAATAATTTGGATAGCAATAGACAAAGCTCAGATGATTGACTTACTGGCTCATTTGAGAGTTCCATTTGTTTTTTGTTTGTTTATTTCTCCTTTTCCTTTCTGAAAGGCACAACTGGATTTGGAACAAATCCAGGTGGTCTCTTTGGCCAACAGAATCAACAGACTACCAGTCTCTTCAGCAAACCATTTGGCCAGGCTACAACCACCCAGAATACTGGCTTTTCCTTTGGTAATACTAGTACCCTTGGGCAGCCGAGCACCAATACTATGGTAAGGAAACAGGCCCTTGGTTAACTCTAGGTCTTATATGTTAAGCTAAGTAATGAGACTAGTAATCATGTTCACCTTGTAAGTGCTAGAGTTCTTTAGAGCTGAGGTTATTTAGTATGGGGAAGAAAACAAATCTTTCAGTAATGAAGACCTGGATTTTGTCTCAGCCCATACTCTACTCATTGAGAGTTTGTTGAATGAATCATTTATCTTTTCTGACCATAGTTTTCTTATCACTAAGAGCTTAGTGGGCTACAGGTTGCTATCTTAAGGTTATATACCTTGTGATGTTGATGATTAATCGTTCCAGAGGGAGTTGGAGGGAGATAATGAGAAAGGACTGTGTATGAATCATCAAAGTACATTATGTACGTGGATGAGAGTGTTAAAAAAAAAAAGCATTGTAAGTAAAGAAAATGGTTACTGAAATTATAAGAGTAGAACTATAGAACTGGGCATACTATAATCTCAGTGTTTGGGAGGAGGATCCAGAGTTCAAGGATAGTATTGATTATCTAGTTCAAAGACAGTCTAGGTTGTATGAGATTAATCTCAAAAATTAAATGAGCATATGAATAAAATTGAGAATAAAGAAACCCAACAAGAGTACCACAACTGATTATCCATCTTCGAAAGAATGAGGTTAAATCCCTTATATAATTAACAGCCAGAGTTTACTCAATAGATCAAATACCTAGAATTACAAAACTCGTGGTTGTGTTTTATGTATGACCCAGGGTCTCACTGTGCAGTCCAGGCTTCCCTGAGACTTGCTTCAGCCTCATACATGATGGGATTATTTTATAAGTATGAGTTATGTCCAGTTTATAAAGCATTTAGAAGAAAATGAGGTGGGTTTTTTTTACTATTTGTTTTGATAACATAGTCTTGTTATAGCTTAGATTATTCTGGAACTCCTATGTAACCTAACACCTTAGAGCACCAGAATTCATGGAAAGCCTTAGTACATGCCCAGCATTTGAAGTTCATTGTTCTGGAAACAGGGACTTAGGGATGAAATCACAGTCCTGGACTCCAAAGTTTTAATAACTTTTAACTTCGCTGTTTTGGGAAGGATACCTTATTCTTGCTTTTCAATGTTCCAAGAATTTTATCACACATGCTTTTATAAGCAATGGTGACTTTTTTAAAAATTTTTTTTATTTATCTCTCTAAGACTTTAAAGAAAACTACTATGAATTGCCTTTTAATCTAAATTACCCGTTCCAGGGCCTGTTTGGAGTAACCCAAGCCTCACAGCCAGGAGGTCTTTTTGGGACAGCTACAAATACCAGCACTGGGACAGCATTTGGAACAGGAACAGGTCTCTTTGGGCAGCCCAGTACTGGATTTGGTGCAGTTGGTTCGGTAGGTGGTGACAGTTGATTGTAATCTGAAGTGTTTAAATCTGTTAAAGGAATATATAAAACAGATAATTGTCTTCCAAGAATTTAATATCTATATGTTTATTTTTTCTTTAATTATATAAAATTTTTAAAAATTATATTTTTATTTATTTTTTTGTATGTATGCCTATACCACACTGCACACATGACATTCAGAAACCACTGTGGAAGCCTAGCAGTGTTGGTGGTGCATACCTTTAATCCCAGCAAGGGCAGGTGGATCTCTGAGTTCAAAGACAACCTGGTCTAGAGAGTGAGTTCCAGGACAGCCAGGGCTACACAGAGAAAAAACAAACAAAAAACATGAAGCTACTTGTGGGAGTCCAGTATGGGTTCCAAGGATCAAACTCAAATCGGGTTTGGTGGCAAGTACCTTTACCCACTGAGCCATCTTGCCAGCTCCTCTCTTGGTCTTTATGTCAGGGTCTCAAGAGACTGGAACTTCTGTGTAGTCAAGGATAAGCTCAAACTCCTCATGCTGCTACTTCCTTAGTCCTGGGATTCAGGCATGTACTACTAATTAGAAGTTTGCCCCAAACTACTAGTTTTCATGTTTCAGCATCCCAGGTGCCAGGATTGCAAACATTTGCCATCATGCCCAGTTTCATGAACTGTTGGGGACTAAACTCTGGGCATTATGCATTCTTGGAAAGCACTGTAGTAACTACTGGCTGTCTCCTCTGCTCCATGGTTTTTTATTCAGTTACTAAATTGTCTTATCTCAGAGATGGTGTGGTGTACTTCTGTTTGAAAGTACTGTTAAGTGCTGGAAGGATGGCTCAGCAGTTAAGAGCACTGGCTGCTCTAGAGGACTTGGATATGACTACTAGCAGCCATGTGGCAGCTCACTTCCGGCTTCTGTAGGCATTAGGCATACACATGGTGCACAGACAGATGTAGGCAAAACATCCATACACATTAAAAAGAAAAACAAAATATCAGCCAGACTGATTTAAATTTAAAAGAGAAACTGTTATAGTTGGTTAGTTTTAATTTTTAAAGTGAGAAGTAAAGTTGCCCTTTTTTATTTTTCCGAGACAGAGTTTCTTCATGTAGCCCTGGCTGTCCTGGAACTCACTATGTAGACCAGACTCTCCTCAGAGTTAGAGATCAACCTGCCTCTGTCTCTTGAGTGCTGGGACTAAAGGCTTGTGCCACCACCTCGAAGCTTAACCCTGCTTGTTTTTTTGTTTTTTTTTTTGGTTTTTCAAGACAACGTTTCTCTGTGTAGCTTTGCGCCTTTCCTGGAACTCACTCTGTAGACCAGGCTGGCCTTCAACTCACAGAGATCCGCCTGGCTCTGCCTCCCAAGTGCTGGGATTATAGGCGTGCGCCACCACCACCTGGCTCAGATTTTTTTTTTTTTTTAAACAAAGACAGATTTTACTATGTAGCTCTGGCAAGCACGAACCTTGCTATATAGATCAGGGTGGCTTCAAATTTAAAAGAGATCGACCTGCCTCTGCTTGCAAAGTGTTGAAATTGAAGTCTTGTACCTTGTGTCCAGCCCAAATCAGATAATTCTTTTTTTTTTTTTTTTTTTTTTGGTTTTTCGAGAAAGGGTTTCTCTGTGTAGCTTTGCGCCTTTCCTGGAACTCACTTGGTAGTCCAGGCTGGCCTCGAACTCACAGAGATCCGCCTGGCTCTGCCTCCCGAGTGCTGGGATTTAAAGGCGTGCGCCACCACCGCCCAGCAGATAATTCTTAACTCCTAGTTTTCCCTTTTGTGTTTTGAGGGATAAACTAGAATGGTATTTGGAAATTTAATACTTTTGGAGTTGATCGAGTTCCTAGAATTATAGGGATTCTCATGCTGTGGAAGATGTAACTCAGTTATTTACCTTATTGAATTAAGTTGTATAGAACTACTGTTTTGAAATACACTTAAAAAGAGCAGTAAGTTTTATATTATAATACCATTTGGGGGAAAAGTGACTTTCGATGTAACTCAGGTGCAGAAATGTGTGACTGGCTTGAGCAAGGCCCTAGTTTTGGTCCCCAGTACTACCACCACCACTATAAAAAGCTGGTCAAACATAGCTGAGACAAGAAGATTGAAAGTTTGAATCCAACCTGGGCTATAGAGAGTTCAAGGCCAGCCTGAACTATATAATACACCACCTCAAACAAATTAAGAGCTGAAGATGTAACTTAGTATTAGAATGCTTGCTTAGCACACACACAAGGCTTTGGGTCTAGTTCCCGGTACTACAAACAAAGTGTTTTCTCTTTTCACCCTCCTTCCTCACTCCTTCTTGACTTTTCTCTCCCTCTTGTCTCCAAAAAAAGAAGCCTGGTCTTCCTCCTGGCTTAGTTTCCCAAATGCTGGTATTACAGGCCTATACTACCACACCTGGTCAATGAAAACATTTGATTGCCATGTTATTTTCACTTTGACTCACTGAAATCCTGTTTGCTAAGGTGTTAATTTTTTGCGTTAAAGCATTGTGCTTAGAATCTTGCTCAGATTATTATATCTTCTGATTAATCTGTCTTTTCATAAAAATTATAACTTTTTCTTCCATTACACACTTAATAGTTGGAGTAGCTTATTTGCATCCTTTATCTCTCTCATTACTTTAAATTATGTGTATTGTGTGTTAGCATGTGGGTATGTACGTATGAATGAGATACCTTGGGGGCCAGAAGTGTAGGATCTCCTGGAACTAGATTACAGTCAGTTTTGAGTCACCTGATACGTGTGCTAGGAACTGAACTTGGAAGAGCAGTTAGTGCTCTTAACCATTGATCCATCTCTCCAGCCTCTGTTATTTTAATTTCATCATTTTTAATTATGTGTGTATACATGAGTATAGGTGTCTGAAGAGTTGTCAGATCCTCCTGGAGCTGGCATGACAGGTGGTAGTAGCCATCTGATGTAGGGGCTGGGAATCAAGCTCAGTACACTCTTAACTATTGAGCCATCTCTCTAGCCTGCTTACTTTCTCTGTTGTGTTTATATTATTTTAAATTTTTTGTATTATTTTCCTTTTAGACCCTGTTTGGCAATAACAAGCTTACAACTTTTGGAACCAGCACAACCAGTGCTCCTTCATTTGGTACAACCAGTGGCGGGCTCTTCGGTAACAAACCAACCCTGACTTTAGGAACCAATACAAACACTTCCAATTTTGGTACATATAAAATGCAGGTTTGACTCTCTTAAAGTTACACTGACTATACCACACATCATTCTCCTGATTCATATGATTGGAAATGTTTAAAAATTCTCAGGTAAGCGATAGCCTGATGCTAGGTACCAGAAAGAAAGACTTTAAGTCATGGTACATGATATGAGATATTTAGTGTAGATAAATTGGTTTTCATTTTCTCTGGATTACCTCACCAGTAACTGAAGAAGCATATGTGAACCTCATTTGTCCGAAATAACCCATTCTATTCAGGTAGATTTCAAACAGGGGAGTGTAGTGTACAAGGGGAGATTGGTGATTGTTTCTGAATGTCAAAGCTTTGCTGAGTTGGAGGATTATTCTGGCAGTTTTGAGTGTAGTAGCTCATGCCTGTAACACCATACCTATTGAAGCAGGCCATCCTGGGGTACAGAATGAGACTTGTTTCAAAAAGAGCAACAACAAATTATTCTGAAGTTTTGAGATCCTGTTTCTTATTTAAAAATCAAGAAAATAGAAATAAGATTGAGCAAATTGTTTTAAAAAGGAACTTTATTCTTTTTAGATATCTTAGAAATATTTAAACCAGTTTAAAAGAAGCATCATGTTTCAGCTTTATCCATTCATGATTATGTTTTCAGACATTCAACATTGTGTAAGGTGTACAAAGTTCATTTTATTGACAGGGTTTAAATATTTGTTGAACATTTTGTTTACCAGAGTACCTCATTAGGTACTGGTTGGTTTTTCTAGGAAGATATGCGCAAAATGTTTTTTTTTTTTTCCAGAATTTTTGTTTCTTTGTGGGGTTTTTGTTTTGTTTTGAGACAGCTTTTTTGTTTTGTTTTGTTTTGTTTTTCAAAACAGAGTTTCCTGGCTGTCCTGGACCTGTCTCTGTAGACTAGGCTTGCCTCGAACCCCCTGCCCCTGCCTTCTAAGTGCTGGGATTAAAGGTGGGCACCACCACTCCCCGTCTGAGATGGAATCTTATTATGCAGCCCTGTTTGGCCCTGCATTTTACTGTGCAGACCAGGCTGGCCTCAAAAAAAAAATCCTCGGACTTTTTCTTCCCAAAGTCCTAGGATTAAAGATGTGTGCCACTACATCTGACTTCATGGTAGGGTTTTTTGTTTTGGTTTGGTTTGGTTTGGTTTTTTTCGAGAAGGGTTTCTCTGTGTAGCTTTGCACCTTTCCGGGAACTCACTCTGTAGCCCAGGCTGGCCTCGAACTCAGAGATCCACCTGCCTCTGCCTCCTGAGTGCTGGGATTAAAGGTGTGCGCCACCACCGCCCGGCTTGTTTTTTTGTTTTGTTTTGTTTTGTTTTTGGTTGTAAGATTGTATTTATACTCATGCTCACTGATTCCATTATGAAAGGTCTCATCTTTACCTGACTTGCCTCACTAGCTATATGCTGAATTTGAATTATTTTTACTTTGTAAAATTGTTTTGAAGTAACAGAGTCAGCGAGAATGGAGGAAATGTGTGGTATAAACAGTGTAAAGTTGGCACTTAGATCTCTCCTGTGGGTTTAAGGTTGGTCTTGAACAGCTTGTTTTGTGGTACAAGACTATGATCCTTTCTTGTTAAATTTTAGTTAAAAGAGAAAGAGCATCTTTAAGAACATTTTCTTTTTAAATTTTCTTTAAGGAAAGTTGATTGTGCTTGAGTGGGCAAAACTATGGGTCTGGGGGCTTAGCTAATAACACAATTCAAGAAAAACTTTAATGTAGACACATGAATCACTTGCTGATATTGAGTCAGATTAAATGCTTAGATTTTTTTTTTTTTTTCCTTTGAGGCAGGGTTTCTCTGTGTAGCTTTGCCTTTCCTGGAACTCACTCTGTAGCCCAGGCTGGCCTCAAACTCACAGAGATCCGCCTGGCTCTGCCTCCTGAGTGCTGGGATTAAAGGTGTGCGCTACCACCACCTGGCAAATGCTTAGATTTTAAAATGACCAAAATATGCTTGGTTTCGGACTTTATCTCCTTTAGCTTTATGGTCTTTTTCATTGGTAATATCCAGCCTGATACTGACATAAAAAAGTACAATCCCTCTAGTGATAGATACTGTTAAAATTCACTTTACCTTTGAAGTTTCTTTTCTCCTCAACCTTATTCTTCCTTCTTGAGACAGAGTCTTGCTATGTAATAAATTGACTCAGCCTTCGAAGAGCTTGATTGCAAACTAATAACACAAGCCTTCACACTGAGCTTTCATGATAGTTTTTGAATGAATTTGTCTTAAAACCAAGAATTCACCAGGTGGCAGGGGCACTCACCTTCAATCCATTTAATCCCAGTACTGGTAGGATAGAGGCAGACTGATCTCTGTGAGTTCAAAGCCAGCCTGGTCTACATAGTGAATTCTAGGACAGCCAGAGCTACATGGAGAAACTTTGTCTCAGAAAAACAAACACATACCCAAGAATTTTTTGGCCAGTGATTGATATTCCTTAGCATTATAGATTAATGACACATTCATTATTTGCTTTGTTGAAATTTCTTCGAAAGGAATTCTAGAATTTTGTTGTCTCATCAATGAAAAGAAAATAGTAATAAAATACTGATATCTTTGATACCTGTGTATTTCAAAGGGGAGTTAACAAGATTTTCTCTAATTAGCAAGTCAGAGTGAAAAAGAATGGTTTTCTCAACCCTTCATCATCGACGAAGAAAGTGTTGAACTCAAGATAGGCTGTTCATAGGATATAGTTTTTTGTTTAGTTTTTTTTTTTTTTAAGTTTTCTTGTTTTTAATTTATTTACTTTTATATGCACTGGTGTTTTGCCTGTAGGTATATCTCTGAGAATGTCAGATCTTGGAGTTAGAGACATTTGTGAGCCACCATGTGGGTGGGTGCTGGGAATTGAACCTAGGTCTTCTAGAAGAACAGTCAGTGTCCATCTCTCCAGCCCTGGTTATTATTATTTTTTTTTTATAGTATAGAGACAGTAGTGGTGGTGCATACCTGTGACCCCAGCACTTGGAAGGTAGAGATGATAAAAGCCACTGTTAATGCCTAGCTATTGCAGGTTCACTTGAGTTCTGTGAAACCTTCTTCAAAAAGCACCCCCTCCACACAAAAAAGTGGCTAGTTGAGCCTTTGAGTGTTTGTATGAATTAACTGAGTGTGACATTGTGAAAGAACCTCACATAATCTGCCACACATTACTGTCTGTGTCAGATCCATCAGTTTAAAACAAAAATTGCTATAGAGATTAGGGTGAGGGTGTTTCAAGTTAGGGTTTTTTTTGTGTTGCTGTAGAGATTTTTATGGGTTGTTTTCTATTCTTTTTTATTTGTTGACAATTTTTTTTTTTTTTTTGGTTTTTCGAGACAGGGTTTCTCTGTGTAGCTTTGCGCCTTTTCTGGAACTCACTTGGTAGTCCAGGCTGGCCTCGAACTCACAGAGATCCGCCTGACTCTGCCTCCCGAGTGCTGGGATTAAAGGCGTGCGCCACCACTGCCCGGCCCATTGTTGACAATTTTTTAAAGTGAAAGTTTGAGGGAATAAACTTTTGTGTTTGTAAGTAAGCGTGAAGCTTGTATGCTGACTCTGAGCCTTACAAACCTCAAACATCAAGCTGTGACCTTGCTTAGCTGTTGGGTATTACCCTATCCGGAATTGATATTTCAGGCTTGAAGATGCTATTAAAGCAGTTAAGTAAATGTAAAGACTTGTTTGCAGGTGTCAGAATTTTTTAACAAGTTCTATTAACTGATAATTTGGGATTCATAAATATTAGTATTAACTTAAGGATACAAAGCTTAAGATCAGTTGTCTTTGTGTTAAAACTCCCCTTTAAAGAAAATTGATAATTGTTTTAAAACTACAATCCACTCATTCTTCTTTTTCCTTAGGTTTTGGCACAAATAACAGTGGGAATAGTATTTTTGGAAGTAAGCCAGCACCTGGGACTCTGGGAACTGGACTTGGTACAGGATTTGGAACAGGTAAGAAAGTGTTCATATGAATTTTAGGAAGTAATTACAACTTGAGCTTATGAGTTTAGATCATATACTTATAAATAAGAGGCTTAGATTTCCATTTTTACAAATAGATTTATTAAAGCATTTCCAGCAGTTATATTTTACCAGGTCCTAAAATGTTAGTGCATTTATTAAATTCACAAAACGTAGATTTTGAATTATAGGAAAATTACCTTTTCCACATAAAAGTTTCTTCTCCTTTAGTCCTGTTTTAGCTGGGAGTTTTAGTTTAAAATGTAAGATTTATTAGTAGTGTTAGTAACTTTTAAATCCCTCTGTCTTAACTTCATATGAATAATTTAGACTTGGAATTTTTCACCAGTTAAGCCTCATGGTAAGACAGCATAGAGAATACATGCTATGGTTATTAACAAAAATGTTCTGCAGTTTTACAAGGTTTGTACATACCTTTCAGTTTTTTATCTTTCATCTCTCTTCCTCTTTTTTTTTTTTTTTTTTTTTGGAGACGGTTTCTCCGTGTAGTTTTGGTGTCTGTCCTGGATCTCACTCTGTAGACCAGGCTGGCCTCAAACTCAGAGAGATCCTCCTGCCTCTGCCTCCTGAGTGCTGGGATTAAAGGCGTGCGCCACCACCACCTGGCTATAGTTATTTTTCAGTACATTTAAAATATTGGTCTTTCTGTCTTCAGCAACTGGGGCAAGGGCTGTTACGGTGGTTACTTCTAAATATACAGTAAAATATGGTTTAGGCATACATATTTGCTTCCTTTGCCTAGTTCTCTCATCTTGGTATAGTAATTTATTTGCAGAATTACTTACTTTCATAATCTCTGCTTCTACTGCCTGGTTTTTGTTTTCTTTGCTTTTGTGGTGTGGTTTTTTCCTTTGCCATCTCCTTAATAGACACTTCTTTTATATTCATTTGAACTGTTAACCTTTTTTTTCCCTTGTTCTTTGAGGCAGAGTCTCACTATGTAGCTCTGGATGACCAAGAACTCGATGTGTAGACCAGACTGGCCTCGAACTCACAGAGATTTACCTGTCTCTGCCTCCCAAGTGTTGGGATTAAAAGTGTGCATAACCATACGCAGCTAACCTTTCTTTTTAAAATAAATGTTATTAAATATTTCAACAATTGAGAAATACCATGAAAAGTCTTAAGTGTTTCAGCTGTAAAGTAATCAGCTGTTTAGATTTTAACTGTAACTTGTCTATATCCCCTTTTTGTACTTTTTCAAACATGGTTACATGAGTATTTTATGTTTAGGGATTTTAGTGGCATTTTTAGTTGAACCTTACTTGAGATATTTCGCCCTGATCATATACAGCCAAGATCATATACAGGGTAGGAAAACGCTTTCCCACGGATCCACCCTCACTCCCCTAGTCCATTCCTCCATGAGTGGCTTTTGTTTTGGATTTTGTTTTTGTAGCAGAGAAAATGCAGATTTATTAAGGAAAAATGAGACTTGAGTGTGAGGATCTCTAAGGGAAGAATACTCATGGGTTAGCTTAGACCAAAGACCGAGATGGCATTGTTACACATTGTTGTCTTGGGCTGCAACCAGGATTTAAGAGAATGAACTGAAAATTACTGTACATAGTAAGATAATAACTATTTCCTGAAGCTTTGGGATGTATGCTATACTTTGTATCTCATTGTATTTCTTTCTTTTGTTTATCAGCTTATTTTTTTTTTATCCATGTGTACAGATTTCATTTCAAAATATTGGCTTTAATATTTGAGTGTATGTGTGTATGAACACAAAGTTGTATTTTGCATTAGCCATATATATCATAATCTATCTAACTTTCCACTACCATCAGTAATTGTGGTGTTTACTGTTAATAGCAAATCTCCTCAATGAAAATTTTTGTTAAATAATTTTGTATTTGTGTTACTATATAATTAATAAGTAAGATTAAAATTGCTATCTAGGGAGCTGGAGAGATGGCTCAGCAGTTAAGAGGATGACTGCTCTTCCAGAGGACCAGTGTTCAATTCCCAGTACCCACATACAGCTCACAACTCTGTTATTCCAGTTCCAGGGAAATCTAATACCCTCACACAGACATACATACAGATAAAAACACCATTGCACATAAGAATAAATTTAGAAAATTGCCATATAGAAGATATACATTATTATTAGTTGGTCTTGTTGATTTGTCTTTCAAAAACAGTGCCATTTTGCATTAGTTTTTACATTGTTTGATATGTTCATTTTTCCATACCTTTTCTGTATTGTTTGGCTTTTTCTTTTTGAAATGGAATCTTCCTTTCCTTTTAGCTGTATTTATCTTGTCCATGGTCCTTTCTGTATTTTTTGAAAACATGGTTACAAACTCCTAGGCTTGGAATCCTTCTAGTCAGGTAGCTGAGACTACTATAGGTATATCCTATCACATGAGCTTATTGGGTCTTTTCTTTTTTTAAAGATTCATTTTTTTTTTTTTTTTTTTTTTTTTGTGGATGAGTTTTGTTTTGCTTGCCTGTATGTCTGTGTATGCACTTGCCCACAGAGGCCTGAAGAGGACACTTGTGCCAGATCCCTTGGAACTGGAGTTACATATGATTGTTAGCTGCCATTTAGGTGCTGGGAACTGAACCTTGGACCTCTGGAAGTGCAGCCAGTATTAGTAATAGCTAAGGCATCTCTCCAGATCCCTTACTGGACTTCTTCATTTTTGCCTATGTGGTAGTGGAAATTGATATATTCCAATGATTAGTGATGAAAGTAGCAATCTTTATGTGAGCCTATTGGTTGTTTGAATCTTTCTGTTTCATATATTTGATCATGGCTTATTTTTAATAAATTATGCTTATTATGTATATATTATGGCTTCTAATGGCTGTATGGTAGAATTTTATGTAGCCTTGGTTTGTGTGTGTGTGTGTGTGTGTGTTACTATTTTTTCCTGGACTGATCTTGAACTTCTGGACTCAAGCAATAATGCCTTAGATTCCTGGGTAGTATACATTATGGGTGTTGGAGATTGAACCAAGGTCTTTCTCATGCTGGGCAAGCAACTGATTTAATTTAATTATTTTTGAGACAGGGTCTTACTGAGTAGCCCTAGCTATCTTGCAACTCCCTGAATAGACCAGGCTGGCCTCAAACTCACAGAGATCTATCTGCCTCTATCTCCTAGTTGCTAGGATTTAAGCCATGCTCCACCATACTGGGCCTTATGAAGGCTTTTAAAATCTATGCTCCTGCCTCTGCTATGTGTTAATTTGGCTATTTTTAGTTACCTCATTTAAAGTCTACTCCTTAGCTCTGTACTGATCAGTTCTTTTGCTGGTGCTAAAGATATGTGCTACCACAACAAACCAGCTTTGAATTTTCTTTCTTTTTTTTTTTTTTTTTTTTGAAATGGGGTTTCTCTATGTAGCCCTGGCTGGCTTTTCTTTAACTTGCTCTGTAGACCAGGCTGGCCTTGAACTCATAGAGATCCTCCTGCCTCTGTTTCTACCTCCCAAGGGCTGGAATTAAAGGCTTGCACCACCACCACGACTGCTCGGCTCCTTTTTTGTTGAGACAAGGTCTCTTTGTAGCTCTGGCTGTCTTAGAACACCAGGGTGGCCTTGGACTCAGAGATCTGCCAGCCTTTCTCTTCCTCTGGAATTCTGTGATTAAAGGCGGGCATCACCATGCCCTGTGACCCGTGATTGATTGGTTGATTGATTTTGGTTTTTTGAGATAAGGTTTTCTCTGTGTAGCCTGGCTGTCCTGGAGCTTGCTCTGAAACTCAGAGATTCACCTGCCTCTGCCATTCTGACTGCTGGGATTAAAGGCGTGTGCCAAAGGCTATATTTTTTTTTCTTTTTGCAATGCCATGTATTAAAGCCAGGACCTTATATATGCCATGCAAGTTATTCTACTTTGGGGCCACACCCCACCCCTCACACCCTTGAACTTTTTTTTTTTTTTTTTTTTTTTGAGACAGTATTTCTCTGTGTAGCTTTGGAGCCTTTCCTGGAACTCACTCTGTAGCCCAGGCTGTCCTCGAACTCACAGAGATCCACCTGCCTCTGCCTCTTGAGTGCTGGGACTAAAGGCGTGTGCCACAGCTGCCCGGCCCACCCTTGAACTTTTTAACATGCCAAAATTTATATTAAAAGCTAGGAAAAAAATGGTTATTTTTTTGTGGTGTGTGTGTGAGAGAGAGAGAGTGGGAGGGGGGAGAGAACATGATCCCAGAACACAAAAAACAGTATGCATCAATATTTTCTTCTAATCCTCTAGTTGGTAATAGCTTTGATATCAGCAAATTAAAGGAGACTGTAGCTGGAAGTTTTGTGTGTCCCGCCAAGTCCGCATCTGCTCAGACCCAAGTAAACACACAGAGGCTTATATTAATTAAAATTGCTCGGCCATTAGCTCAGACCTACCACTGACTAGCTCTTACACTTAAAACTTAGCCCATTTCTATTAAATCTATGTGTCGCCATGTGTTTTATGGCTTTACCCTTGTGCTATTATATGCTGCTCCGTGAATGGCTGACTGGCGTCTCCTGACTCAGCCTTCCTCTTCCCAGAATTCTCCTGGTCTGCTTATCCTGCCTATACTTCTTGCCTGGCTACTGGCCAATCAGCGTTTTATTAATCCAGTGTACAAAAGCATTATCCCACAGCAGGGGGCTTTTTGAAGAAAATTTATGTTTATACAGATATAAACACCAAAGGTTTTAGTTTTATTTTGAGGTAGTCTTATGTACTCCAGAATAGCATCACACTTTTTATGTAGCCAAACATGGATAACCCTGAAGTTCTGATCATCCAGCTTTCTCCTCCAAGTGTAAATGACAAGCCTGTGCTACTGCACACTGTTTATGTGGTGCTGTGGGATTCATCCTAGGGTTTTATGTACATTACAAGTGTTCTATCAGCTGAGCTACATTCCCAGCCAGTTTTTGTTGTTGTTTTTAAACAGTATCTCTTGTAACACAGCTGGGCTTAAATTTGCTGTCCGCTTTGGCCTTTGAGTACTAGATTACAGATGTGTGCTACTACCAAGGGTGGTGTTAAGTCCAAAGAGTCTGAGTATAAACATAAGACTTGGGTGCGAATTTTGTTTAGCCATGCAGTTAGTTGTCCATTGACTTATAAATTTGGTCACATCTTGATTGTATCATCAGTTGAAAATTTGTGTTTAATACATTTAGCCTGCCAAACATCATAGCCTTTCCTTGATTACTTTAAGCATGTTCAGAACATGCATGTGTGCCTGCAGTTGAGCATCCCACAGGAGTGTCAACTTGATAGCATTACCCGAGAAAACCTTCAAGCTCACAAATAGAAGTATAGTTTCTGCTAAATGACCATTATAAAGTCACAAAACTTCTTTATTTTCATTCACATCTTTTTGTTTGACATTTAATTTTATTTACATATTTTTCTCATGTTTGAGTTTTATTCTTACATGATTACATTTCTGTTTGGGTTCTGGATCTTGAGAACTGTGATTACCAGTGTCTTTGCCTTTAGTACAAGCCTTTAAATTGTTCTGTACCCAGGCTGGACAGATAGCTCAGTGGTTAAGAGCATTCACTGACTGCTCTTCCAGAGGACCTGGGTTCGATTCCTAGCACCCATGTGGCAGCTCACAACTGTCTGTAATTCCAATTCCAAGGGATCTGACACCCATGGCAAAACCCCATTGGGCACTAAATAAATAAATAAACAAACAGACAAATAAATAAATAAATAAAAGCCTTGTAATTAAAAAAATAATAATAAAATGTTCTGTACCTTTTTTCCCTGATATTATCCCTTAATTCCACAATTTAATAGTTTAACTTTTAATATTTTACCTTGACAATTATTCTTTATAGTCTACAGATCACGTTTTTGTTGCTATATTTTCCTTCTTCATGCCTTGTCTATATGAATAAACTAAAAGACAAAATCAGTAAAGAATTTTACACTTCTAACTTTAGTAACAATAGATCATATATGGAAATTAGGATTTTGAGAGTTATCAAGCAAACATTGTAGAGATTCTATATTTACTAAAACAGACCTTAAGCTTTAAGAAGAATGTGTTCTTAAATTTGAACTCTGCATTTCACAGTATTACACGTAAACTAACACTATGGAACTCGATACTATTTGTGGGGAGAACATGAGCTAAATGGATGTCATTTGCAGTTTTCATTTTGAGTGATGGAGATTCAAACTCATTCCTTAGTAGAAGTACGTGGGGCCTTTGGATTTTGTCTTTTGTTTTGGACTGTGTTTTGTTTTGTTTTTTTCAATTCTTAAGTTTAGGTAACCAGTCTTCTCTAAGAAGAATTTGATTCCCAAGACTGAGACACTAAATAATAATAAATAGAAAACAATTTCTCTGCTACATTAAGAATTTTCAAGATCTATTTGTAACTTTATGTGTATGAGTGTTTTGCCTGCATATATGTATGTGCATTATGTGTATGCCTAGTGCCTGCGAAGGTCATGAAGAGGGCTTCACATTTCCTGGAATTGGAATTACAGACTGTTAGAAGTCACCATATGGGTACTGGAGTCAAGCCTGGGTCCTCTATAAGAGCAGCAAGTGTTCTTAACCACTGAGCCATCTCACTAGCTCCATATATATTTGTTGTTGTTTTTAATAATGCTGGTGCATATCTGTAATTCTAGGATTTAGGTAGAGGAAAGAGCTCTTATTCCAACCAGTCTAGTTTGTGTTAAAACTTGAATATGTTTAGTTCTTACATCATGAGACATTTGGCATTTTGAAGAAAAACAAGTTTGTTTAGTTAAAGCTGGTTTCAGGAGATACATAATTAAAAGTATTATTCTTTTTTGACTATTCAAAGGAGATAATTTGATTTCCTGTAGTTTGGCTTATATGCCAGCTTAAAATGTTAACATTGGGGCTGGAGAGATGGCTCAGTGGTTAAGAGGCTGGTCTTCCAGAAGACCTGAGTTTGATTCCCAGCACCTACCTGGCAGCTCTCTACTGTTGCAGGGGATTTGATACCTCTTATGGCTTCCAGGAACACCAGACTTGCATGGGGTGCATAGATATGCATGGCAGGCAAAACACACATACACATAAAAATAATTTTTTTAAGTTGACAGTATGATTTGATCACTTAAGTATTTTGGTTTGTAAATACTAAAATACACAGGGAATTTTTTTTAATTTGAAAATCTCTTTTAGTAGAGTGGTAGTTAATGTCTGTTATTCTGTCAGATAGAGCTGGCTTTGACCCTCCTTTCTATCCCAGCGTTTGTAACTCTTCTAAAATGGGATAACAGTTCCTATTTTAGGTATATTTGTTAATACTTTGTGTGTCTGATAGATGCCATGCTTCTTGGAAATGTAATGAGAATGTTTATTCATTTTAATAATTAGGAAAATATCTTAAGTTATCCATTATTGTCACATGTTGTAGTTGAGGGAACTAATGAACGATGGTTTTGACTCTACTGTACCCAACCCAGTGCCTAGTATGAAGTCAGCATTTACCACATTAGCTCTTTTCTTGAAATGACTGGTCATGATGAAGCTTCCAAATGTATTATATCTTTAAGTAACTGACCTCTGGCACAATAGTCAAAGGATCTTCTGTGGCACTTGTTCTTTCCTCTTGTCTCCATAGCTCTTGGTGCTGGACAGGCATCTTTGTTTGGAAACAACCAACCTAAGATTGGAGGGCCTCTTGGTACAGGAGCCTTTGGGGCCCCTGGATTTAATACTACGACAGCCATTTTGGGTTTTGGCGCCCCCCAGGCCCCAGTAGGTAAGTGTCAGTCACTTTAGAAGGCTTTACAGTTTATTTCTTGCTAATACTTAGCTTGCTGACTTGATTTTCTACTGTCCCATCCTTACTAAAGCAGTGTGCATGTGCACATTATTAAATAGCTATGTAATATAGAAGGATTTAGATTCTAGTCTTCTTTATCTCCTCATTCCTAGGATTGGTCTCCCTTAGAAAATTTAAATTTATCTAGCATATGATGAAGTTTGTTTCACTAAGTAATGTGCTTGTATTTCTGTGTTTTGTTTTAACATAAGTAAATTTAACTTGTTAAAGTAGAAACTTACCTATCTCCTGTCTGTTTTGTTTATTCCCCTAGTGTTAATGTTCTACTTGATAAATCTCCTAAGCTTTTACTTTTTATCTGTTGAGATATTTTATGTACTTCATTCATGTGAATGTACTTCCCTAGTTTTTACTGTATCTTCCACCTTATTTCTAAAAAAAAAAAAATTCTTAGTTTACTTTAAATATCTATTTTAAACTGTGTATCACTGGAAATGAAAACCTAGTATCACCTGGTATTAATAGTGTGAGATGGAAAGAAATGAGTTGGATTTTTTTTTTCAAGATTTTATAATTTTAGCCGGGCGATGGTGGCGCACGCCTTTAATCCCAGCACTTGGGAGGCAGAGGCAGGCGGATCTCTGTGAGTTCAAGGCCAGCCTGGTCTACAGAGCGAGATTCAGGAAAGGCGCAAAACTACACAGAGAAACCCTGTCTCGAAAAACCAAAAAAAAAAAAAAAGATTTTATAATTTTATTTTATGTGTGTGAATGTTTGGTTTGCATGTACCTGTGGACCTTGTATGTGCCTAGTGTTTGTGGAAGCCATAAAAGGTCATCAGATTCCCTGGAATTGAAAATAGTCGTGTGATACCCTATGGGTGCTGAGAACCAAACCTGAGTCCTCTGTAAGAAGAGCCAGTACTCTTAACTGCTGAACTGTCTCTCTGGCCCTAGAAAGGAAGTTTGGTTTTGGTTTTGTTCTTTTGGGTTTTTTTTTTTTTTCTGTTGTTCCCCCACCCCGAGACAGGGTTTCTCTGTGCAGCTTTGGAACCTGTCCTGAACTCACGCTATAGCATAGGCTAGCCTCAGATTCACAGAGATCCACCTGCTTCTGCCTCCCAAGTGCTGAGATTAAAGGCGTACGCCGTGTGTTTTTTTGTTTTGTTTTTGTTGTTTTGTTTTGTTTTGTTTTTTAACAGTGTGTGTGTGTGTATCCCTGGCCGTCCTAGAACTCACTCTGTAGACCTGGCTTGCTTTTGCCTCCCGAGTACTAGGATTAAAGGCATGTGTCACCATGCCCTGCTAGGATGCCAGGAGTGAGTTTATGTAACTAAATTCATAAATTGTTCAGTCATAATACTTGAATTACATTTTGAGATCATTATATATTTAAGCTGTGTGTACTAATTCTGCCAACTAATTGATAGTTTCTTGAATTTCCTTTATCGAATGGGTTATCAGTGCCCTTCCCTAGTCTTCTCTTTTCCCCTTTCTTCTTTTCATGTATGTAAATATATTTGAAGTTTTTAGATGTAATTTTATGTGGATGAATATTTTGCTTGCATGTATGTAAGTACAGCAAGTGTGTACCAGGTGCACAAGGAGATCAGAAGAGGGCATCGGATCCCCTGGCACTTGCAGTTACAGTTTTGAGTTATCACATGAGTGCTGGGAATTGAATCAGGGTCCTCTCTGCAAGAGCAACAAGTACTCTTAACTGGTGAGCCAACTCTATGGCTCCCTGTCTTCATATTTTTGTATGTTGATAGTTGATGTGGCTTGTGAAAGCTAGGCATAGTGGCACCCACTTGTAAGTGGCACTTGAGGAGGCACAAGGATCAAGAATTTAAGGTATTTCTCAGCTGCATAGCAAATTCAGAGCCACCCTCAGTTACATAGGTTCCTATCTCAAAAGAACAAAGGAACCCCAAGGATTTCTTGAATGCTTCTCTTTTCAAGCATCTGGTTTTAGACATTGATTTTTCTTCAAACTTTGGGTTTGCTTATTGATACCAAAATTTTCAGATATCTCTTGTTCCTTAATTCATTAGGATTGTTTTAATTTTGATCCTGCTTCATGATCTTATCCATTCATATTTAAAAATAAAATACTTAAAACCTAACTGGCAACTTTGTGTTTGTATTTCCCAGCATCTTTCATTACATAATTTGTAGTCTGGAAACAGATATTCAAAAGTTCCCTAAATGAGAATGTGAATTCTCAGTTAGTGGATAATGCCATTTCTCTCAGTAGTTGCTTTTGTTCTCTCCATGAGCTTATTTCATTTTTATGCTCTATGACACTATAGTCTGTTGAGTATCAGGGAAGTTAGCAGCATGACAGTGGGTAGTTTATAAAGTGATCCTCCAGCTTCCAAACCCCAGTACTTGGATTACAGGAGTATTCCACTCAACCCTTTTGATGTTGTAGTGTAGGGATCAATCAGACCAAGAACTCTATGCAAAATAGACACTGCCAGCCAAGTTATATTCCTGGCCTCTGCATATGGACTATACGTTTACATTTCTGTCCTGTTTTAGTCCTGCTTGATCAAATCTGGTGTTTTGTTCCCCCTCTCCCTCTATTTTTGAGATGATCATATGTAGCTTGTATTGTATAACAGAGACTGGCCTTGAACTCCTGATCCTCCTTGCCTCTACCTGCCAAGTGCTTGGAATGTTAGGCATGCATGACTACACTTGACTCTTGATTCAAGGGTTTTATATTACAGTTGTATATTATTGCCCATTTAAAAATAGTTCTATTAACGTTTAGAATGTCTACCTTTGTATCAAAAACATCTTAATTAAAAGGTGCTAGATTTATTATAGTCGGCCATTATTGGGCAGAGGCCTTATCTTCAATTTTGTCATGATAGTATCCCTATAGGTTCTAGTCCAGTGACCTCATTTGGTTTGTTATTACCTAAACCTGTCTCTTTAGGAATCCTACTCAAGTGTTGCTTTTTCACTTCCTAACCCCAAGCAGAATTGGTGTGCTGGAATTTTTTTCCCCAGAGGCAGGGGCAGGTGGATCTCCGAGTTTGAGGCCAGCCTGGTCTAAGAACAAGTTTCAGGACAGCCAGAGCTACAGAGAAACCCTGTCACAAAAAACTGAAAAAAAGAACATTTGTCTCTTCTCTGTCATTAGAAAGGCTTGATTTTGTTGTTTTCTCAACCCCTTTAATAATTTGGTCATAATTTAATTATTTGATATGTTTTCAAATTCTTATTACCAAAATATGCCAATAGTAATTTCACTAGTACTTGTTCTCTTAATTTTTGCTCACATGTCAGCTTCCTTCTCTATCTTCAAAAAATTGTTTAGATTATTTTATGTGTATGAGTGTTTGGCTGCATGGAATATATGTATACCATATGTGTGCCTGGTGCCTGGAGAGGTCAGAAGAGGGTGTTGGTTTCCCTGGAACTGGAATTACAGATGGTTGTGAGTCACCCTGTAGATGCTGGGTACTGAACTCAACTTCTCTGTAAAAGTAGCAAGTGCTTTTAACTGTTTACCCATACCCCCCATACACAACCTTGTATTTTAAGACATTTTATTTTTAAGCTGTGTGTGTGTCTGTGTCTGTCTGTCTGTTAGTGAGTGTCTGTGTATGCTAAGTGTGTATAAATGTTCAAGTAGGCCAGAGGCATCATATCCGCTGGAGCTGAAGTTCCAGATATTTGTGGTCTGCCTAGTATGGGTGCTAGGCACTGAACTCTGGTTCTTTGGAAGACCAGCATGTGCTCTTAACTGCTGAACCTTCTTTCTGGACCTTAGACCTTTTTTTGAGACAGAAATTTTCATATTTATAATGTAAAGCAAATTTTCCTAATATGCTTGGGTTTGTTAATGATTCCCCCCCCCCTTTTTTTAATTCATTTTACATACCAACCACAGATTCCCCTCTCATCCCTCTTCCTGCTCCTCCCCTTCCCCCTCTTCCCCCATCCTCTCTTCCAACAGGGTAAGTTCTCCCATGGGGGTTGTTAATGATTTTTAAGCAATTAATGTATGTAGGTGTTTTGCTTGCATGTATTTCTGTATACCTCCTGCCTTCTAGTGGCCATAAGAAGATGTCAGATGCTCTGGAACTGTAGTTACATAGAGTTATAAGCCACTGTGTGGGTACTGCAAACTGAACCCAGTCCTCTGGGAAAAACAAAACAAAACAGTTCTCTTAACTGCTGTTCTATCTTTCCAGCCCCCCTTTTTTTCATTCTTGTGAGCAAGTCCACTTAGTTTGACCCATAGGTCAGTTTTTAGAGATCAGATTATTTTCTTTAAGGGATAAGTGATTGTCAAGTAACAAAATGCTGAGTAAAAATAACAGAATTTTTGGGTAAGGAATATAGCACCCTGGTAGTATTTGCCAAGTATGTATGAAACCCTAACTTCAATTCCCAGTACCAAAGGAAAAAGTTCATTGTTTCTGAAACTTAGTCTCCTTGCCTAACTTCTCACAATAATACTGTTTTGTTTATTGGTAATGCCATGTTACAGAAGATAACTTGTATATATTTTTTGTTTATATGTAGTCTTTTCTTTTTTAATTATTAGTTTGTGACAGAATCTTAATGTTACCTGGGTTAACCTTGGACTCACCCCTCCTTTTTCTTTAGCTTTCCAAGTAGCTGGAGTTACAGATGTGCCCCCATGGCTGACTTTTGTTTTAGTGACTTGTCTGAATTCAGATGACTTACTATATGCTCTTTAAATATTATCTCCTCTGGGTCTCAAATTCTTGACCATATTTATACTATTCCTTAAATATCAATAGTGTCTTAACCTTTTTTACATTGTGTAGCTGTGTGTGTATTTCGGACAGGGTCTCTCTTTATCCCAAGTGGCCTCGAATTTATAGCAATCCTTAAGCCTTCCACCTGATAGATAGGGTTACAGGTTTGAGCCATAAGCCTGACTACATTCATCCAGTTTTACCAATTTGTTTGACTGAGTAGGATCTACTATGGTGTGATTGTACGCTGAACTTCCTATTCTTCTGGTGATGATGGTGGTGGTTGCTCCTGTAGCTGCTGCTGCTCTTTTTATTTTCCCCATTATGAGAACTTAGAGTTTTGATATGAGAACTCTTTTAATATACATTCTTACTATATTCGGGCTTTAGCCTATTTCTTTGTAAGAGGAATCTTTGTAAGAGGAAAACTTTTTTCTCTCAGATGATTGATTTAATCTTTGATAAGTATTTTTGGAATGATTCTCTTGAAAATTGGTTTCTTTATCAGAAGTATACTACACTAGTTTTACTTTTCATTTTTATACACTAGATTTTTATACATTATGACCATCTATAATCTTTTTGGTTTTTCAAGACACGGTTCCTCTGTATAGTTTTGGTGCCTGTCCTGGATCTCGCTCCATAGACCAGGCTGGCGTCGGACTCACAGAGATCCGCCTGGCTCTGCCTCCAAGTTCTCTGAATTTTCTGTGGCTGATGGGAAATGTTCTGTTTTGTTTTTTGTTTTGTTTGTTTGGTTTGGTTTTTTGAGACAGTGTTTCTCTGTATATCTCTGGCTGTCCTAGAACTCGCTTTGTAGACCAGGCTGGCCTTGAATGCACAGAGAACTACCCACCTCTGCCTCCCCAGTGTGACACCACTGCCTGGTAGGAAATGTTCATTTATGCTTTGAGAGAAAATTAAAATAGCCGGCCAGCGTAGAACTTGGTTTGTGGTATAAACTAGACTTGAACTCCTGATTATTGTGTTCCAGCCTCTAGAATGCTGGGCTTTATAAATAAGTATGTGCCATCTTACCCCGCTAAAACTACCTTTGTTTCTAGAGATCAAAAACTATAGCTTTTGTAATGTGTGCTAGTGGTAGATAAGTACAAAGCAGTCTTTCTAGGCTATTTTAATTTACATGTATTTAATTACGAGTTAGCGAATTTTTGTATGTAATGTCTCTTATGAAATGGCTTTCCATATCTTTGCTTACTTTTATTTAATTGATGGTTTTGTGCTTTTAGTTGGCTCATTGTCTTGCTAAATAATACCATTGAGTGGGTCTGAATATTTAAAGATTTCATTTCTTTAAAGAGTGTTGAGTTCTCTGATAGTAATGTATTGGATCATTGAACTTACTCCCCACCCCCATCCTTTTCTTTTTTGAATAGCTTTGACAGATCCAAATGCTTCTGCTGCCCAGCAGGCTGTTCTCCAGCAGCACCTCAATAGTCTAACATACTCACCCTTTGGAGACTCCCCTCTCTTCCGGAATCCTATGTCGGATCCTAAGAAGAAAGAAGAGGTAATTATTTATTCTTTTTAGGAGAGACTAAAAACGAGTTTATTTATCAAAGGGACCACAGTTAACAGATATTTTCAAGTAAAGTATGGATAGCTCCAGAGCACTGCCTTTTGACATTTGACATTGATAGATCACAAATCACAATTCATTGAGAAAGAGGATTTGTAGTTGACAAGGGATGAGGAGGAATTGGAATGTACAGAGTATCTTTGAAGTGATGGAAATGTGCTTGAATTAGATAGTGATAATGGTTATACAACCTTGTAAAAACTATAAAAATTACTGAATTATTATAATGGTTATTTATCAAAGGGACCACGGTTTTTCTTGAATGAAATTTTAGTTAATGTGAAACAATTTCTGTAAATCTTAAGATTTTTTGTTATATTTTCTTAAAATAAGTATAAATATTGTCATGTGTGTTTTATAAAGTTAAACTATTGTGAGCTGATAATTTTTCTTTTTTGGGGGTGGCTGGGATGGTGGTGGTTTTGTTTTTTCAAGACAGGGTTCCTCTGTGTAGCAGCCCTGGCTGTCCTGGAACTCTCAGAAATCCACTTGCCTCTGCCTCCCAAGTACTGGAATTAAAGACGTGTGCCACCATGCCTGGCAAGCTGATAATTTTTCATAAGAAGAAAATGTACAGAATGTATTAAGAATGTTGTATTAGTATGTCTTCATTTATAAAGCACTTTCCAAATGTAGTTTATCAATTGCATTTTTTTTTTTGTGGGGGGGGGTTTTTTCGAGACAGGGTTTCTCTGTGTAGCTTTGCGCCTTTCCTGGAACTCACTTGGTAGCCCAGGCTGGCCTCAAACTCACAGAGATCTTCCTGGCTCTGCCTCCCAAGTGCTGGGATTAAAGGCGTGCACCACCACCGCCCGGCATCAATTGCATTTTAAAGGCTGTTAGATCAGTGGTTGTAGAGATGGCTCAGTTATTTAGAGCACTTCCTGCTTTTGCAGAGGACCCAGACGCAGTGTCTCCTTCTGGCCTTCTCGGTTATCTGCTTGTGAACCTGGTGCACATACATACACTTGCGTGCACACACATATACTCAGAAAATAAGAGAAGTAATTTTTTTTAAAGGTGTTTGACAAGTCAATTGAAATGAGAACTGGAAAGATGGATAAATAAATACCAATTCTGTAGAAAGATAAATATTTCAAATGTCTGACACTAGTCTTAATAATCAGAAAAACCAGACCAGGCCCAGGGCTCCATATATATATATACACATATGATATTAGGTGTTAGTGTCCTTGGTTTAAGGGAGCTGATACTTCAAGAAAAGATGAAATTTGAAATTTGGTTAACCTTGTCTGCCCACAACTTGCAGTCCTCCTGACTCTGTCTCTTAAGTGCTGGGATTAAAGGTGTAAAAGCCAAACATGTAATGTATGCCTTTAATCCTCACACTTGAGAGGTAGAGCCAAGTGTTTCTCTGCATTCAAGGCCATCCTGGTCTACATAGCAAGTTCCAGGCAGACCAAGCTGTATAGACCTGTCTGAGAATAAAAGGGAATGGGGGCTGGATGGGTATGATGTGAGTACTGGGCCTGGCCTGGTTTTCCTGTTATTAAGAATAGTGCCATACATTTAAAATAAACAATAATCTTTGATGCTTCTTCTTGAGACAGTGAAACAATGCCTTGCCAGATAGACCTGTCAGGTCTGGGCTCTCTGTGTAATAAGGCTGGCCTTGAATAGATGATGGTCCTACCATAGTCTGCCAGCTGCCAGGGTTACAGATGTAAACATTCATAGCAAGTTGGCTTGATGCTTTTCTTTTCCTTTTCAGAGACTGAAACCAACCAATCCAGCAGCTCAGAAGGCTCTTACTACACCTACTCATTATAAACTTACACCTCGCCCTGCCACCAGAGTCAGGCCAAAGGCTTTGCAAACAACTGGTACAGCCAAATCACATCTCTTTGATGGGCTGGATGATGATGAACCATCCTTAGCCAACGGAGCATTCATGCCCAAGTGAGTTTATTTTTGTTAAACAATAGTTATTTAAGCAATAAAACCTATTTTAATTATCCTAAGGTAATATTAACATAAATATTTTGATGACTGTGAGTCTAATTTTACATGTTCATATTTTTATTTTGGTTTTGTAAAATTATTACCTTTGTATTTACAGTATTTACAACTCAAATAATCAAGGCCTAGAGATTTAGCTCAATGGTAGAGCACTTGCCTAGCTTGTATAAGGCTGCCTTTGGATTCCCTAGCAGTATAATAAAGATTTTTTTTTTTTTAAGTTAAAGATTAGGTTAAGAAGAATCTGTATTTCTCATTTGCTTTCCCACATGAGAGTTGTTTGTAGATATAGAACTAAGAATAATTAGAAAGTAATAAGATAGGACAAGAAAATGGAAGCACTATTGCTAAGCATAGGAAAATCCACATAAATGATATCTTAGAGTATTGAGATGGGAAAAGACCTGAGGAAAATTACATAGCAGATTGTTGGTATCAGGAGACAGGGCATTTCATTTCTGAGTTGCTTATTCTAGATATGTAGCTATTTAGACACAGGCAGACACACAAACATTTTTGAAAAAGCCAGTAGCTTTTTAATCAGAAAAGGGTAAGGTTTGTTTTTAATTCATTACTTACAATTCTTTGTTTATGAATGACGATAAGTTAGTTTGGTTTTTTTGAGACAGGGTTTCTCTGTGTAACTTTGGCTGTCCTGGAACTCACTTTCCAGACCAGGCTGGCCTCGAACTCACAGAGATAAAAAGCATGTGCCACTACTGCCCAGTGCATTACAGCTCCACATCTTAAAAATGTGGGTTAGGAAAAGCAGGGGATGGGGGTACATGCCTTTAGTCCCAACACTCAGGAGGCAGAGGCGGATGGATCTCTAGTGGTCTACAGAACAAGTTCCCAGGACAGCCAGGGCGATACAGAGAAACTGTCCTACAAAAAACAAAAATAGGCCAGGCGGTGGTGGTGCATACCTTAGTCACAGCCTTTGGGAGGCAGAGACAGGAGTTTGAGTGAGTTACAAGACAGCCAGGGCTACACAGAGAAACTCTTGTCTGGAACACCACCACCACCCCCCCCCAAAAAAAAAAAAGAAAGAATGAAAGAAAGAAAAAGAAAAACCAAAATATAAAGGGGGATGGGGCTGTGATTGGAGAGTAGTAGCTCTGTGGTTTAAAGCACTTTTTGCTCCTTCTCTTTCTGAGGACCTCAGGTCAGTTCTAAGCACCCTCATGGTGTCTCACAAACCATCCTTTGCTCTAGTTCCAGAGGATCCGAAATGCTCTTCTGGCCTTCTTTGAGCACCAGGCACACACATGGTGCAGGCAAAACATCATACACATAAAACAAATAAAGCTAGAACCATTTTTGTTGTTGTTTTGTTTTTTAAGACAGGGTTTCTAAGCTTTTGCTGTCCTGAAACTTGCTCTGTAGACGGGGCTGACCTCAAACTCAGAGATCTTCTTGCCTCTGCCTCCCAAGTGCTTGGATTAAAAGCATGCATCACCAGATCCTGGCCAAAATCTTTAAATACGGATTGAAAACTGGGGAGATAGCTGAGTGGGTAAGGCCATTTGCTGCGCAAGCATGAGGACCTGAACTCAAAGCTCAGCACACGCATAAGAAGCCATACATAGAAGACCACATCCTTGTCTGTACTCTGTACATTGTAGTGGTAGAGACAGGACAGTTGCTGGCATTTTTCTTGTCTGTCTGCTTATCTCCAAGATAAGTGAAAGACCCTATCTCAGCAAAATAAGGTGGAAAGTAGTATAAAGCAGGACAAACAGCCTTGATACTTTTCTACTTTCCATCCTTTTGCTCTTGTAAAATGCTGACCAAAAAGCACTTTAGGGAAGGAAAGGATTTATTTGGCTTACACATCCGGTTTATACTCCCATAATTGAGGGAAGTCAGGGCAGAAATGCAAAGTAGGAACTTGAAATAGAAACCTTGAGGGAATGCATTATTTTTAAAATGTGTGTGTGTGTGTGTGTGTGTGTGTGTGTGTGTGTGGTAAGTTGATAAGGTTTCTCTATGTAGCCCAGGTTATCATGGAACTCAATATGTAGACCAGGTTTACCTCCACCTCCAGAGATTGCCTGCCTCTCTCTGCCTCTGGAGTGCTGGGATTAAAAGTGTATACTGCCTCTTGAGTGCTGGGATTAAAATTGTGTGCCATACACTCAGCTTCAAGGATATTTTCCACTTAAATCTATATCTTCTCAGCTTTATTGTTCAAAACAAGTACAATGTGTTTGAGACTGTATGATGTGATCACACCACTAAGAAATCTACTATATATGCATCAGGCAGTGGTGCCACACCCCTTTAATCTCACTCCCAGCACTCGGGAGGCAGAGGCAGGTAGATCTCTGAGTTCCAGGACAGCCAGGACTGTTATACGAGAATCCTTATCTGGAAAAACAAAACAAAACAAATTATATGCAACTTACTAGGTGAGTTTTGGGTATATAAGAGTGCCCTTTTGAGGTCCAGATTTTTAAAATATTTAGTACACTGGTATGCACCTTAATTTTTTCTGTTTCTTTTGGTCTCTATTTTTAGGAAAAGCATCAAGAAGTTGGTTTTGAAAAATCTTAACAATAGCAATCTCTTTTCTCCTGTTAATCATGATTCAGAAGATCTAGCTTCACCATCTGAGTACCCAGAAAATGGAGACAGGTAAGCTGAATTCTGTCTGCAAATGTTCCTAATAGTTCTGTTTGAGACAGTTCTCATTGTAGCTTTGGTGCCTGTCCTGGATCTCACTCTGTAAATCAAGCTGGCCTTTAACTCACAGAGATCCGACTGTCTGCCTCCTAAGTACTGGGATCAAAGGTGTGCGCCACCACGCCCAGCCTGTTTTGTTTTATTTTATTTTATTTTAATTTTAATTTTAATTTTTTTTTTTTTGGTTTTTCGAGAAAGGGTTTCTCTGTGTAGCTTTGCGCCTTTCCTGGAACTCACTTGGTAGCCCAGGCTGGCCTCGAACTCACAGAGATCCACCTGCCTCTGCCTCCCAAGTGCTGGGATTAAAGGCATGCGTCACCACCGCCCAGCTCTGTTTTATTTTAAAATATTCTAACTTTATAAAGATTGACAAATGTTATATTGAAGTACTGTAGTTCAGGGACCCTAGATGTTATTACTTCTTGAGTACTTTAAACCTTAAAATTTTGGAGCTCTGCCAGGCACTGGTGACACACGCCTTTAATCCTGGCAGGTGACTCCTGAGTTCAAGGCCAGTCTGGTCTGGAGAGTGAGCAGGATAGCCAGGGCTACACAGAAACCCTGTCTCAAAAAAAAAGAAAGAAAGAAAGCACCAGGAATTTATTGAGCCCAAGGACCCTCATAATAAAATAAAACTGGCTGGCAAAATGGCTTAACAGTTAAGATCACTGGCTACTTTTGCAAAGGACTGAGGTTCGGTTCCCAACATCTACATGGTGACTGACTCAAAACCATCCCTAACTAGTTCCAGGGGATCCTGTGGGCACCAAGTATGCATGTTGTACACATACATACATAGAGGCAAAACACTCATGCACATAAAATAAAAATAAATAGTATTAGAATGAGTAAGTTAGGGCTTGGAGAGGTGGTCATCAAGAACATTTGTTGCTCTTACAGAGGACCTGAGTTTGGTTCTCAGCACCCACGTGGTGTCTCATAGCTGCCTATAACTCCAGTTCCTGGGGATCTAGTGTCTTTTATGACCTCTGTAGGCACCAAGCATGTATGTGATGCACATATATTCATGTAGGCAAAATACTCAGACATATTATAACCGTGAATCTTTAAATTAAAAAAAAAATGTCCAAGCATAGTGGTGTACACCTTTAAACCTAGCGCTTGGAGGCAGAGGCAGGTGGATCCCTTGAGTTTGAGGACAGTCTAGTCAACATGGGACATTTCAGGATAGCCATGACTATGTAGAGAGACCCTGTCTCAACTAAACAATAAATGAATGAACAGCCAGTGATGACGGTATGCATTTACAATCCCAGGAGTAGAGTTGGTTGTTGTTTTGCATTCAGTATAGTGGCTGCACCTTAAAGCAACTGCTGCCCCAACTGACATTTGCAACTCCGCAGCTACCAGCAGCAGCTTCAGCCAGGTGGGAACTCTGTTCCCTCAGGCACCACCTCTGTCAAGGCTGCTAAAACAAACTATCTAAATCTTTGTCCTTCTATAGAACTCAGGATTCCAAGGTTGACATGGAATCCTGCTAATCCAGAGAGGCTGAATAACAAGTAGCCACCCTGCTCAGTCCCCACTAAAGAACCCTTGCTACACTTCGTTCCTCCCCACCACTTCCTGTCAGCTAGTTGCTGACTCAGCCTCCTCACCCCAGGGTAATTTCACTTAATCAAACAAATGTAACACGTCTTTATACAGTTAAAATAATAATCCACAACGGTTGGTTCTCTTTTTCTGCCATGTAGGTCCCAGGGATTAAACTTGGATTATTTAGTCTTTGTTTTACCCACTGAGCCCTCTTGTCAGCCCTACCTCCTCATATCCCACCCTCCCCCCAACCCCACCCCCAACCCCAAGACAGGGTTTGTCTGTGTAGCCCTGACTGTCCTGGAAATCTCTCTGTAGACCAGGCTGGCCTGGAACTCACAGAGATCCTCCTTCCCCTGCCTCCTGAATGCTGGGATTTTAATGTACTCCACCACATCTGGCTTACCTCCTCATTCTTAATGGTTTGCTGGTCATTGTGGTGAATAAAAGATAATTTAATTAGTTCTCCATTAGTGAACATATAAAGATTATTTGATATTCTTTTACTCAAAATAATGGGCCTTTTTTAAAATTATAATTAGATATCGCATTAAAATATTTCCAAACCTCTTGTGCTTGTAATATTAAAGTTTAAATTCAGATTTTGAGATTGTTAAATTTTATGTGTATGAATGAATCTTTTGCCTTCAAGTATGTATGTGCATTGTGTGCATGCAGTGCCTTTAGAGGCTATGTATGGTGTCGTTTGGGATCCATTGGAACTGAGATACAGCTGTTGATAGCTTCCTGTGAGTGCTGGAAATCAAACCCTGGGCCTCTCTGAAACAGCATCCAGTGCTCATAAAAGCTGAGTCATGCCGGGCGGTGGTGGCGCACGCCTTTAATCCCAGCACTCGGGAGGCAGAGCCAGGCGGATCTCTGTGAGTTCGAGGCCAGCCTGGGCTACCAAGTGAGTTCCAGGAAAGGCGCAAAGCTACACAGAGAAACCCTTTCTCGAAAAACCAAAAAAAAAAAAAAAAAAAAAAAGTTGAGTCATCGCTACAACCCAGTTTAAAATTTCTTTTGGTGTTTTATCTTGACATTAACCACTAATCATTTATTTCCACATAGTAGCAAATACTTTTTGTGTTTGTTTTAGTCAAAGATTTGAGAGGCTGGTAGGATGGCTCAAGGAGTAAAGGTTTTTAATCATCAAGCCTGGTGACCTAAGTTTGATCCCTAGAACACACCCACACAGCAAGAGGGGAGTATTCAGATTCATCCCTTTGAAAATGAGCAGTGGGGTTGGTTTGGTTGTTTTTTATTTTATGTGCATGGGTGTTTTGGATGCTTGAATGTCTATATACCACTTGTGTGCCTGGTACCTGAGTGGACCAGGATAGGGTATCAGATCCCCTAGAATTGGACTTACAACAGTTGTGAGCCACCATGTGGGTGCTGGAAATTGAACCCAGGTCCTCTAGAAAAGCAGTACATGCTCTTAACTACTGAGCCATCTCTCCAGCCCAACATTTTCTATTTTAAAACCTCAACTCTAGTTAGTACTCACAACTTTGTGATATTATGCAAGGTTATTAATATTTTGCCTCCATTTTCTTGTTTATAAATTAGAGACAGTAGTTAAATCTATTTCACATGATTACTGTAAGGACTAATTTTAAATTTATTAAATTGTCCAGAGTAGTGTCATATACTTAATAGAGATTAACTGCTGTCATTGTTATTACTGTTGCTAGGGGCTAAGGTCTTATTATTTTTTTCTCTCTTTTCAGATTTAGCTTCCTGAGCAAACCTGTTGATGAGAACCATCAGCAGGATGGAGATGATGACTCTTTTGTATCACGTTTTTACACTAACCCTATTGCCAAACCCATCCCTCAAACCCCAGAGAGTGCTGGAAACAAAAATAACAGCAGCAGCAGTGTGGACGATACCATTGTTGCTTTGAACATGCGTGCTGCTTTGCGCAATGGACTTGAAGGAAGCAGTGAAGAAACGTCTTTCCATGATGAGTCATTGCAAGATGACCGCGAGGAAATAGAAAATAATGCTTACCATATACATCCAGCAGGTCAGATTCACACCTTTTATACCTTTGAAACAGTTTACTTTATAATTAATGATGTAGTCAGAGGAGCTCACTTTTTTTAATATATTTTATTTTTTTTATTTTTATGTGCATTTGTGTTTTTGCCATGGGTGTCAGGGTCCCCTGAAACTGGAGTTTCAGACAGGTGTGAGCTGCCATGTGGGTGCTGGGAATGGAACTCAGGTACTCTGGAAGAATAGTCAGCACTCTTAACCCCTAAGCCATCTCTCCAGCCCAAGAGCTCACTTTTTATATCCTGTCTACCTAACTTTAAATTCAAGTGTAGTGTGGTCTGTCGACTACCTACCATATTGTAGTATGTACCCATTAAAAAGAGGGCTCTATAGTAAATAAAATCTATAAATTTTAGGTTAAGCAAAGTTAAGTAGACTTCATTACATTTTAAATGTTTTTGTTTTTGTTTTTTTGCGGGGGGCGGTTTCAAGACAGGGTTTCTCTGTGTAGTTTTGGTGCCTGTGCTGGATCTTGCTCTGTAGACCAGGCTGACCTCAAACTCACAGAGATCACCTGGCTCTGCCTCCCGAGTGCTGGGACTAAAGGCGTGCACCATCACTGCCTGGCTTGTTTTTCTTTTATGGTGGGGATAGAGTAGGAGTTTTGCTTGTGCTTTCTCAGAACTTTCAGTGATCCTTCTGTGTCTGCATCCTAAGTTCAGCACTCAGTAGGTGGAGACAGGAGGCTCAGAGACTCAGGGTCTCAGCTTCATAGTAACTTGAAGGCCAGACTGTGATGCATGAGACCCAGTCTCAAGAAAAATCAAAACAAAAACCCAAACTTGTTTCATGGAATTTTTTTTTGCTTTATTTTGTTTTTGTTTTTTGTGTGTTTGTTCTTTTGTTTTTTGTTCGTTTGTTTTTTGTTTTTTGTTTTTTTTGGGAGACAGAGTTTCTCTGTGTAGAACAGGTTGATTTTACTTGAAGATCCACCTGCCTCTGCCTCCTGAGTTTTGGGATTAAAGGTGTGTACTAACATTGCCAGGCGATAGAAACACTTTTTATATGAAAGTAAAATGAATATTACTAAGAACTGTTCTACCCAGGATAATCACAATATTTTCTGACTTTTGGTCACAGGCATTGTTCTCACAAAAGTTGGTTACTATACAATTCCATCTATGGATGACCTTGCTAAAATTACCAATGAAAAGGGAGAATGCATTGTTTCTGACTTCACCATTGGTCGTAAAGGTAGGTGTGAGTTTAGGAGTGAGTATGTAATTCAGAGATTGCATCTTTTGTAATTAAGGGCAGCACTTGATTTTAGGGTCTGTTTTTTCCTGTATTTAGTTCCTCCTTGACTTTGAAGATTAGAAACATTGACAAGTAACAGAACAAAGAAAACTAGAACTGTGTAACATTTGGGGGCTTAGACATACCTGTTTGAGTCTTATAATTATTTGTTTCATTATAATTCTTCAGAATTAAAAAAACTTTAAGGTTGGAGTTGGGGATTTAGCTTGGTGGTAGAGCGCTTGCTAGACCCTGGGTTCAGTCCTCAGCTCAAAACAGAAAAACTTCTAAGGTATATTAATTTTAATACTTTGGTTCAGTTTCGTACTATTAATTGTTACAATTTTCTTTGAACAAATTTACTTTGTGATACTGTATTTTAAAAGGGCTCAAGTATTTTAATTTACCTAGCAGACTAGGAACCAAGTTGTTTATAGAGCAACACTGCAGATACTTGGGAAGATTTGAGGCTAGCAAAAATGTAAAGTGGAGGTATACATCTGATAAAAATGTAATGCCATTCCTCTTTCTCCATTCTTGCCATATTCAGGAGGTAGGAAGCCACTTGATGAATTTCTGGAAGGTTTAAAATACTGATATTACAGGATGCGTATTCTTCTTGCTAATCACTACAGATTAAAAGGTTTGCTCCTTTTATATAAGGTCTTTTTAACTATTTGCTCTGAATTTTAGGGTATGGCTCAATCTATTTCGAAGGAGATGTGAATTTGACAAATCTAAATTTGGATGATATTGTGCATATCCGAAGGAAAGAAGTTATTGTCTATGTAGATGATAACCAAAAGCCACCTGTGGGTGAAGGGCTAAATAGGTATGAATTTAATTACATATTGAAAATAGCAAACTATTGGTTTATTTTTCTATAAACTTGCTATAAAGTATAATTGTTTCTCTACTTTTATTTGAATGTATACGTGGTAATGATATACTGTGACTTTAGGACTCATACCTTTTCCCTAACAGTAATGTCCAGGTGCTGCTTCAGGAACTTTCAGCACTGGAAATTTTCTTTTGATTTGGTTTAATTTTGCTTTTCAGAGCTAGGGATCAAACCAGAGTAGTCAATTTGCCAGTGAGCACCAACCCCAAAAAGGTGTTTGTTTGTTTTCTATATTTCCTCTTGTTCACTTAACTTTTTTGGGGTTTTTTTTTGGGGGGAGGGTTTCGAGACAGGGTTTCTCCTTGTAGTTTTGGTGCCTGTCCTGGATCTCGCTCTGTAGACCAGGCTGGCCTCGAACTCACAGAGATCCTCCTGGCTCTGCCTCCCAAGTGCTGGGATTAAAGGCGTGCGCCACCACCGGCCGGCATTCACTTAACTATTTTACTGTGAGATTTTAACCTTTGCTTTGTCTTAGGCATTTTATTGCCATATATTGCTTGGGGTGGGGCTTAGACAAGGTCTCACACTACAGCCCTGTATGGTCTTGAATTCAAAATGTACCCCAGCCTGGCCTCGATTTGTGGTAGTCCTGCTTTAGCCTCCAGAGTGCTGTAATTATAGTTGTGTGCTACTACACCCATCTTCTTCTGAATTAATAGATTATTGGTTGATTGAATTCACATTTGCAGAACTCTAGTACAGAGTTGTGTTTCCCAAAGAATTGACAATAATGGGGATTGGGAGTAGGAGGTGAAGGCAAAACAAAATAATCTTTTTTAGAAAAAGATTGACAGTAGGATCATGAAATATTTTACGTGTGTTCATGATTCATAGGTTGCGTTTAATTTTTTTGACTGCTAAGAATGTTAATGGATGAATCGATAAAGTGTGGCATGTACGTACAAGGAATTATAATTCAGCCTTATAAAGAAAGGAGGTAATTTGGAATCAGAAAGATCCTGAGGCCAGCTTGGGATTTGCAGTGTATCTGGGGCTATAACAAGAACCTTTTTCTTTTAATCCCAGGACTCGGGACAGAGACAGGCAAATCTCTGAATTCCAGGGTAGCCAATGCTACACTTAGAAACCCTGTTTTGGGGGTAGGGGGAAAGAATATAACAAGAACCTTTTTCTAAAAACAGAAATAGCAAAAAGGAGGAAATTCTGACACATTTAGTATGGATGAACCTTAATATTATACTAAGTGAAATAAACAGTCACAAGAAGATAAATACTGTTAATAGAAACAAAGTAGAATGGTAATTACAAGGAACTACGGGGAAAGAGAAATGGGGAATTAATTGCTGTATCAATTTTCCATTGCTAATAACACAATATATAAATTGAGTCTTGAGAAAAGAATGCTTGTTTGGAGGGTCCAAGATCAAGTAGCTACATTTGATGGTTTTCTAACCAGTCCTGAGGAAGTATAGGGTACCACATGGCAAGAGACAGGAAGTACAGGTATGAATGTGTAACCACCTGCTTTCTCTCTTCCTTATAAAGACAAAAGGATTCAGTTAAGAGAGCTCCACTGTAATGATTCTGTCAGAACTCTTCCCAGAAGTCCAAGTGTCCCCTTTTGACTACCTTCTGAGGAAGATTTCAGCACATGAAGCTTTAAGGAGTACACAGACCATAGCTAGTAGATACGGAGTTTCAGGTTTACAAGACCATTTTGGAAATAGGTTGCCCAGCAATGTGAATAATCTTTTTTTTTTTTGTTTTTGGTTTTGGTTTTTTTTGAGACAGGGTTTCTCTGTGTAGCTTTGCGCCTTTCCTGGAACTCACTTGGTAGCCCAGGCTGGCCTCGAACTCACAGAAATTCACCTGGCTCTGCCTCCCGAGTGCTGGGATTAAAGGCGTGCGCCACCACCGCCTGGCCAATCTTTTTTTTTTTTAAACATACTTTTTATTGCTATAAGAGGCCTAGAATAAAATGTTCAGTAAAAGCAGAACGGAGGCTCTGAGAGATGATTTACTGGGTAAAGGTGCCTGCTTCTAATGACCTAAGTTCAATGCTTCGGACCTACACTGTGAAAAGAGAGGGGACAAACTCATTCAAGTCCTCTGACCTGCACATGAACATCATGGCGGGTGTGCGCGCGCGCGCGCGCACACACACACACACACACACACAAATTACATTGTTATTGTTATTAAAGCAGAACAGAGGGTGAGGGTGTAGCTCAGTTGTAGAACATGTGCTTAGCATGAATGAGGCCCTGAGTTTCATCTCTAGCACCACTGCTTGCTGCTTCTCCTGCAGCATGTCCTCAGCTCTCAATAGTCTTAACAGTACTGAAATACCTGGTTAGACTAGTTAGGATGATAAATTTCATATTAACTTTTTTGCCACAATAAAAATGTAACCTTAAAATCATCTACATAATCATATGCTAATCCCTGTCCTAGGTAAAAGGCATGTAAATGAGGACATAGCACCTGAACCCTGAGATGGATAGAAGATATATTACGACATATATATTCACTTTTATTTACCATATTCAAAACACATCTACACATAAAAAGAGTAATTTATGCCGGGTGGTGGTGACTCACGCCTTTAATCCCAGCACTCAGGAGGCAGAGCCAGGTAGATCTCTGTGAGTTCAAGGCCAGCCTGGTCTACAGAGTGAGTTCCAGGACAGCCAAAGCTACATAGAAACCCTGTCTCCAAAAAAAAAAAGTATATATTAATTTATTAAAAGCTAATGAATAAGAAGTATTGTTTTTGTTTCTTGTGGGACTCAAGATGTTCATCTGGGCAGGCTCTTGTAAGCTGCATCTCCAGCCCAGTGGCTGTTAAGTAGAGTAGCACATTTGTGACCTACACTTCAGTGTTACTAAAATCAGACTGTAAATAACTGGTAATACTATTACACTTTAAATGAATGCAGTCTTACTTAGAACTATTTTGAATTAGTTCAGATAGAAGTTATGCTGTCTTAAGCTCTTTAACTACTTTGGAGGTAACAGTGTAGCCGTGTGTGTTTATGAGTTTGTTTATGTGAGTGCATGTGCCTGAGAAGGTCAGAGGCATTACTTCCCTCTGGATCTGGAATTACAGGCAGTTGTGAGCTGCTTGATATGGGTGCTGGGAGTATGTGCTTTTTTTTTTTTTTTTTTTTAATAATTATGTGTGTGGGTATTTTGGCTACACATATGTCTGTACACTACACTCCTACGTGGTGTTCTCAGTTAGAAGAAGCTGTGACAGATCCCTTGGAACTGGAATTACAGACCGTTGTTAGCTGTCATGTGTGTACTAAGAAGCAAACCCTGGTCCTCTGCAATAGTAGCCAGTGCTCTTAACCATTAAGCCATTTTTCTTGCCCCTGCAGTATGCACTCTTTTGTTGTTGTTATTTTGTTTTTGTTTGTTTGTTTTGGCTTTTTGAGACAGAGTTTCTCCGTAACAGCCCTAGCTGTCCTGGAACTAGCTCTATAGACCAGGCTGGCTGTTCACAGAGATCCGCCTGCCTCTGCCTCCCGAGTGCTGGGATTAAAGGTGTGGGCTGCCAGCACTGCCCGGCTGCAGTATGCATTCTTAATCATTGAGTCATTTCCAACCTCAAGACCCAAGTTTTGAAACACCTGCAGAATAGTTCACTTCCTCCTTCCCTTCCTCTCTCCCTCTATGTTGGTATTTTGTTGTTTGTTGTTGTTATTAATTTGGTTTTAGTTTAAATTTATTTTTATTTTATCCATACGAATGTTTTGACTGCATGTATGTCTTTGTATCATATACATGCAGTGCCCCATGAAGGGGGTTTGAGATATCCTGGAACTGGAATTATAGATAGTTATCAGCTAATGTGTTTTGGGAATTGAACCCGAGTCTTCTGGAAAAAGTACCTGTCAGTGTTCTGTGTTTTGTGTGACAGTCAAAGAAAGACAGTCACTCCAAGATGCAATTCAGGCTCTGTGGCAGCAGGGAGGGGCAGTTTAGGGAGCTGAACCTTGAACAGCTGTGCAAAAGGGAAATTTATTGACTGTTACACAGAAGTTGATTTTTGGGTAAAACAAGTTCCTCATACCAAAGCCCCTGGTCTACTCTCTATGTTTTCTAAAGGAAAGCATCACACTCCTGTAACTTTAGTCCTGATAGTGTATTGTTTGCAGTACCTAATAATGCATGATGCTCCTGGTGTGCCAGGACCATCCCAAAGTCCTGAAAAAGCTGTGATCTTGAGAAAACCAGCTGTTAGATAACAGAGAACAATCACTTCAGGGTCCAAGTACTTCAGGAAAACATTCTGAAGTTTACCCTTGATACAGAGAAAACAATTGTCTCATCCTAATGTTTACCCCAGATACAGTGATTCTAATTTTTCTCTACAGTACCCAGTGATCTTAACCACTGAGCCATTTCTATCCCCCTTGTTTGTTTTTTTAGGTAGTATCTAACTCTATAACCCTGACTGCCCTCTGCTTCTCTCTCCTGAGTGCTGGACTTGAAGGCAGGAACCTCCATACCCAGTCTCAGACCTACCTTTGCTATTTATAGTGGTGTTAGTTAGATCTCATAGTGGGTCTCACTATGTTTTTTTCTTTATCTGAGGGGAAAAACATTTGGTTTGTGTATATACCACTTCTTTTATCCATTCATCAATGATTGATATCTAGGCTGGTACCACATCTTGGCTATTGTATGCCTAGGGTTCTTCAAGTATTTATATAACCAGGAGTGGTATAACTGGGTCACATTCATTGTAGTTCTATTATTAGTCTTTTAAGGAAAGCATCAGGCTTCCATAGTGGTTACATTTCCATTTGTAAATATAAATCATTTCTATTTTGCCTGTTTATACTTCACAGAAAGGCTGAAGTTACATTGGATGGAGTTTGGCCAACAGATAAAACATCCCGATGTTTAATAAAGAGCCCAGATCGACTTGCTGATATCAACTATGAGGGGAGATTGGAAGCAGTCTCAAGGAAGCAGGGAGCCCAATTCAAGGAGTACCGACCTGAAACTGGTTCTTGGGTGTTTAAGGTATAGTTACTTAGTCCAGTTCCAACTTTTGGCCTCATGAAATGAATTCATAAGAAATCTTTGTCTCTTTGTAAAGTAGGTCTTCAAAAAAACTTTGTGAGTGTATGTATCAATGTCAGGTATCTTCCTCTGTTACTCTTTACCTTATCATTTTTTATTTTTGTGAGACAGAGTTTCACTGTGTAGCCCTGGCTGACCTGCAGCTGGGTTTGTAGGCACTGTCCTTGAACTCACAGATATCTGTCTGCTTCTATCTTAACGCTAGGATTAAAGGCATACGCCACTACACCCTACTCATCTTTTTGTTTGAAGTAGTCAACAGAACCTGAAGTAACAGCTGAACCTGAAGCTCTCTAATCCTGGAAGTCTGGCTGGCCAGCATCAAGGCCCAAGTGTCTCTGCCTCTGCAGTGCTAGGGTTGTAGTTATGGTGGCTATGCCTAGCTTCTTTTTGTTAGGGTAGGGGGAGGATCTGCTGGACTCAGATACTCATGATTACATGGTAAACACTTTACCAACTGAGCCGTCTCCTTAGCTCTGATAAATGCAACAATTCTTGTGTGTGTGGTGGGGGGCGGGGGTTACAGAAAATGTCACAGTGTACAAGCCCATGTCAGTAGACAACCTATGGGAGTCTATTCTCTGTACCGTGGTCCCGGGGATCAAAATCAGATTGTCAGACTTGGCAATAGGTACCTTACCTTCTGAGCCATCCATCCATCTCACCAACCTTGTCATTTTTACTTCTAAACACTTTTGAAAGTGGGAAGGTTGGCTGTTACTTGTTCTAGATAATCTTACCCAGTAGTTTCTTCTTGTAGGCTGGTTGGATGATTTAGCTGGTTGAAAGCCCTTGTGTAGGTAGAGAACAATTAAGTAGTAAATGTCAGGAACCATGGATAATTACATTTTAATCTTATTGTTTTGTTTGGTTTTTTTTTGGTTTTGGTTTTTCAAGTCAGGGTTTTTCTGTGTAGCCCTGGCTGTCCTGGAATTGGCTTTGTAGACCAGGCTGGCCTCAAACCTCAAGTAGATCGACTTGCCTCTGCCTCCGAAGTGCTAGGATTAAAGGTGCACACCACTACACCTGGTTCATCCTAATCATAGAAAAGGAACACGCTAATTAACATTTTGCTTTACTTTAATTATTTAAAATTTATTTGTATTTATTTCTATGTGTTGTGCCTTTGGAAGCAGAGCAGGGTATTGGGTCCCCTGGAGCTAGAGTTTTACAGACACTTAGGAGCTGACATGTGGATCCTCTGGAAGACCAACTAGTACTTTTGAATTGCTGAGCTCTCTCTCCAGCTCCTGCTTTAACTGTTTTAATACCTTCCTTTTGTGTTTTTTCAAAGGTAGATATTATGGAAGAGAGCACTGTTAAAAATTAACTTTGCTGGGTTTCTTTTCTTCTTAGGTCTCCCATTTTTCTAAATATGGCCTTCAGGATTCTGATGAAGAGGAGGAGGAACACCCACCCAAAACTACTTCAAAGAAGTTGAAGACTGCCCCTTTGCCCCCTGCAGGCCAGGCAGCCACTTTCCAGATGGCTCTTAATGGCAAACCTGCAGCTCCACCTCAGGTAGAGAAAGGACAGTGAATGTGAATGGAACGGTGATAAAGAAGGCAGAGCAGTCCCTCAGCTTCTCAGCTGCACAACCCTGGGACCTGACAAGTACAAGGGAGGCCGAGGTGGTACGGGCTGCTAGTGTTTACTCAGCAGTTAAAGAATTCTCTTGCTGTTTCGATCATTCTTCTACAGATTGTAATTCTCAATTTTTCTCGTTTGGACTTGTAATTTTTTGATCAGTGATCAACTTGAGATAGCATTTTGCTTGTGTAGGGTTGATGCAAAGTCAATCCTACTTTTATTGACTTCATGATGTGCAGTCTGATCTTGATCTTTACCTCCATTGCTTTTTAAAAGTCAGATTAGCTTTCTATAAGAGTTTTAAATTTCATTTTCTCAAGTTGTTGGCTTATACTTCAATTAAACCCATGATACTGTATTTTAATAATCTCTATGAAAATAGATAATTTTAAAAAGCAAGTAAATTATTTAGTGTGTAGAAAATAGGGACTGTGTTGTTTATTACAAATATTTGTATCATATCCTTTTTCAGTATTGTTAAACCAGTATAAAGTTTTTGTCCTTACAGGGAAAGGTTTGTAAATTAATTGAATGCCTACTGGTAAAGAGATTTACTTTCATTTGGATGTTGTTTATACTCAATCAAGTTATAGAAATATTTTTAACTTACTGACATAATCCCTCAAAGAAGAGTTGTTTATGGGACTTTGTAAAACACCCTCTACCTCTCAGCTGCTAAAAGCAGGACTTTTGGGATTTTCCATGCTATAATTCTTTCAGCTGCTCAGATGTGTGATTTTTATGATTTATTAAATAATTTCTGGGGAGGTACTTTCTGGAGAATCTTGTGTGTGTTCACATTTATGTGTACAGAGTGGAAGGGGAGGGTATGATAAACATGAAAGTTGGAACTGTTGACTTTTAAGGTTTTTTTTTCTTTGTTGTTTTTGGTTTTTCGAGACAGGGTTTCTCTGTGTAGCCTTGGCTGGTCCTGGCACTAGCTCTGTCAAACTCCTAGAGATCTGCTTGCCTTGGCTTCCTGAGTGCTGGAATTAAAGGCATGCGCCACCAATGCCTGGCTGACTTTTATAATATTTGTGCTTTTTAAAATATCCCATTAAAAACCTCTCCTAATAAATCTGTAAATGACTTAGGAGGCAGAGGAAGGCAGATCTCTGAGTTTGAGGCCAGCCTGATCAACTTGGTAAGACATTCTCAAGAAATCTGTAAATGAACGTGGTTCTTTTGTTTGTCTGGTTGGTTGGTTGGTTTTTGTTTTTTGTTTTTTGCTCTCCCCCCCCCCCCCTTTTTTTTTCCGTTATTTTAAGATAGGGTTTCTCTGTGTAGCCCTGATTGTCCTGGAATTCACTTTGTAAAGTCAGAGATCTGCCTGCCTGCCTCTGCCTGGGCAAACATGGTTATTTTTTATTTATCCATCTTTTTTGTGTCTGTGTGACTCCTATCCCGTATTTTTTTCAATCTTTTCAAAAAACAGAATCAAACAGCATTTTTGTTTGTTTGTTTTGTTTTTTACTTCCTGCTGATAAACATATTATGTAAGGTATTAAAGATATGGCAGGAAAAAAGCTTCATCTGAAGTTAAACAGAACAAATTTATGTAATACTGGTATTTAGTAGTCAGCTTTAATCACCAGAATCAAACACTAGGGGAAAAAAATCTAAATTCCTGAAATGACAGTGTAGTAGGCAAGACTCATCACAAAACTGAGAGCAAAAGCTGTCTCAGGATGAGTTCTAGCCAAGACAGGGCTGGTAAGGGCTCAGATTGGGCAAATAGAATACAGTGAGCAGGGGTACTATGGGGGAGAGAAGTTGATGGGCAGTGAGTGAGCAGGGGGGAGAAAGAGAAAGATGTTTTGTTTACATGTTTACATTCAGCATTATGAAGACTTTACTCTTAGTGTGTTAGCAACATGGGGCTCTGGAACACTCCTTCCTATTCCCTGGTAACATTTCAGGGACTGGCTGATTATTAATATTAGTTGCTTTACTTGGCATAGGAAACTACCTGAACTATCTAAATGCACTGAGAACAGATGGCATGTTTTCATTCTTGAGTCAAAGTTGCTATTGTCACACATCACGCTGTTGCATTCTTCTCAGAGAGGCTGATTTCCATCAGGTGCTCCTGAGGTCTGATGGAGGACTCCCTCAACCCCACTCCCACCCTCCAAGTATAGCACAAATGGAAGGTTGTTTCTTGAGCTGTTTAACAAAGTTTGTATTTTATTTTAAGGGTCACATTTATACAACACTGATTTTTATCCAGTAATCTCAGGTCCCTGTTTCTAGGGGGTCTATAAACCTTACCTTTGCTCCTAAAAAAGCAGGTATGACAAAGCAACCAGAACACACATTTTGTATGATCTTCTGTAACTTTTAGGTGAGAGAAAATGTTGACAGATCATCCTTGGCTGCAGGTAAATTATAGCTACTGTGGGAAAGTTGTTTTCTGTAGTTAATAGTTTCAAGCTCCTGATTTGAGATTCCAGTTTCCAGACGACTAATCAACAGTCTGGAGAGCTTGACATTGGTTCTTAGATCAGCCATCACTTCAGTCAGTTCCATGGAACTCCCATGGAGTTCAGACGTACTTAATTTTCAATAATTCTCCTCTGCTGATGGAGATGTATGGGCAGATTTTGAAGCAGAAAGACCTGAAACCTTTGACACTCAGGTAGACTTAGATGGAGCTTTTACCCCAACCTTATAATTGAAATGAACCTGAGTTCAATAACAACAAGTCAAGATAGCTTTCCCAGAAACATGTATAAAGAAATGTTAAAAAAAAAATTTAAGTTTTTTTTTCTATGTATGAATATTTTGTCTGCATGTATATATGTGTATCTATTGTATTCCTGTGCCTGTACAAGACCTGAAAGCATCAGATTTCCTGGAACTGGTGTTATGGATGGTTGTGAGCCACCGTGTCGATACTGGAAATCTGGGTCCCCTGAAAGAGCAGTAAGTGCTCTTCACTACTGAGCCATCTCTCCAATCCCAATTTTAAACTCCCCCCCCCCCCCCCAACTCCAGGAAAAAAGTATCAGGATTCAGGATTTCGGATATAAGATTTGTATATGCTGTGACTTGAAATAAAAGGACACTATTCTAAACATGGAAGAGTGAGTGAGTGAGAGAGAGTGTGTGTGTGTGTGTGTGTGTGTGTGTAGTGACAATTTTCTTTTAGATATTAATGGACATGTTGATTTTTTTTCTTTCTTTTTCCTAGACAGGATTTCTCCGTGTCACTTTGGAGCCTGCCCTGGAACTCATTCTGTAGACCAGACTGGCCTTGAACTCACAGAGATCCACCTGCCTCTGCCTCCCAAGTGCTGGAATTAAAGGGGTGCACCACCACTGTCCGGCATTGATTTTCTTATTAAACATCAAATATAAGCTAATATAATTAAGACTTATTCCTCATACAGAATTTTTTTAGTGTATAAATAAAAGACACAAGCCTTTGAAACCCTAATGTGTTAACTTCTTTTGAAGAGAACACAGTATTATTGGCAGGTAGTTTTCAAACAAAACTATGTGAAAATACTCTTTACAGTTAGAAGACAAGTTATATTGGAGGTCGACAACAATAGTAGTCATATTGGACCAAATTAATTGGCTGAAAGGATAATATCAACTATATTAAAATCTGATCTTGGGCTGGCCATTTATTTATTTATTTTTTTAGATTTAAGAACACCTGAGTTATTTCACTTTTCCCTTGGAATTAAGAAAGTATGTATTTAAGTCCTGACCATGTTGATTAAATATAGAAGGTTCTTTTGAGTGTAAAAATTAACCTTGCTTGCCGGTTGCTGAGTGCATGCCTTTAATCCTAGCTCTCTGGAGACAGAGGCAGGCAGATCTCTATGATTTGAGGCCAGCCTGGTCTATCTACAGAGTGAGTTCCAGGATAGCCAAGGCTACAGAGAGAAACCCTGTCTTGAAAAAAAGAGAGAAAGAGAAATTGTAGCAGACTAGACACTTCTTCAAAGTTAGTTTTCAGAAGTCAGAATGATAAAAAATGCTGTAAGCTGAGGATGAATGGGGAGAAACAACTCCTGAGATCTGTGGGAAGGAAAGATATTTACTGGGAAAAGTTGACTAGGCATCATCTTAACTTCCTTTTCCTACAGTGTAATCTCTTGAAGACGGGATGTTTGGCTTCCTTCTAAATATAAGAACAGTGCATTATAAATATTACTTATAGAAATTATCTCTAAAATGATAATCTGAAATACTGAGGATAGGGTTCACAATTAAAAACCTGTTATCTAAGACAGGGTTCACAATTGAAAACCTGTTATCTAAGACAGGGTTTCTAGAAGTCAGAGATCCACTTGCCTGTGCCTCCCGAATGCTGGGATTAAAGTCATACACTACCACCACCTGGCCAGGATTTCTTAAAAGATTTATTTTAGGATAGTTTATTGAAATTTCTTAGGTATGTTCTACTAAAGTCCATGCACGGGGATTCCCAGAATGTTGCTGTTTCTCAGCCGTATAGTATTTCCCTTCCTACTTGTCCATTCACCAGGCAATGTCATCTACCTTTAATGGCTGTGTGGGAAGGTGGAACACAGAAAACGTCGATCTTCAGCACTCTTCGTCAGTGTGTCCTGGATCACCTTGTCTCTAATCTGGTGTTTCATAGAATCCTCCCACTTTGCCCACAAGTGCTGTGGGTAAGGGTTTCTTGGTGCACGGTTATCCCTGTGTTAAGCAGTATAGTAAGTTGGTACCATTCTTCCTCCATCTTCACCCAGCTGTCCTCAGCCCTTGTCCTTTTATGGTAAGTTGCTTTTTTTGCTGTGTGCCAGATGCTGTATTAGGTAGAAAGCACAAAGCATGTGTTCATTGAATGTGGAACTTAATTAGTTGATGTGCTTGTTACTAGATACAGAAAACAGTCTACCATAATTCCTGTTTTCAAGCCTTCACTGCCTGGCAGATCAAACATGTAAGAAATTATAATAAATTTTGATACATGATGTTAAATAGGAAGTAGCAGGTACTGTGGAAGCCAAAACCACTATGGTGTCCTGCTGATAGGATGGGTAGTATCGTAATGTTTGTTGAAAGGGAACTCCGGCTGAGGGTGTAACTCACCTTAGCATGTGCTTACAGCATGCACAAATGGCACAAGGTTCTTGCTTTCATTCCCAGTACCATCGCTCCCCAAATGCGTTGTAGTTGCCAGGTGTGGAACCTCAAACCTTTAGTCCTAGCACTTGGGACACAGGTGAGCAAATCTCTGAGTTTGAGGCTAGTCTGGTCCACATAGTGAGTTTCAGTGCAGTTAGGACTACGTAGTGAGACCCTGTCTAAAGAAAAGGGAACTTACGGGGTGACAGTTTTCCCATAATTATTAGCATGGGAGCATCATTCCAGGATTATTTTCACTGGACCCACTGCTTTACCACTGAGCTCCCATCCCCACGGTTTTAAAGCATGAAAGTAGTCTGATGTGCTCGTAGCTCCACCTTCAGGAGTCATTTCGTTTGCCAGTGCCTGTTGTCAAACTCTTCTGTGTCCTTGAACAGGTCAGGAGTGTGCTGTGCCTCTGAGCTAAGCTTTGGGGACATTACCTGGTTTTGTTAAAGCAGTCTTTGGATAATGTCCACATTTTAAGTGGCAATACACCTTGTACCTTAATGCAGTTTTTTTTGTAATTGTTCATGGGGTAACACTCATTCTTTTAGTAAAGGTAACACTCATTCTTTGAGTAAGGGTTATTGTTAAAGGAATGCTTATAAAGGAATAGCCATAGTAAATGTCCAGTTAAAGAAGAAATTGAAAATGTTGGTTAATGGTGGGTATTTTTGTCCATAAAACTTGTTAGCCAAGTGTGGTGACATATAACTGTAACGCCTCAGCACTGGGGAGACTGAGACAGCAGGATATGTGTTCAAGGCCAACCTGGCCTACATAGTAAGACATTGTCTCCAAAATAAATTAATAAAGGTACAAAAATGTAAATGTTTTTATTTCTAGATGTTTTGCCTGTGTCTGTCTGTGCTCCTTGTGTGCATTACCTTCAGAGGCCAGAAGAGGGCATTGGATCCCTTGGGAACTGTAGTTATAGACCACCAGTGTTAGCTGCCATGTGGGTGCTAGGAATCAAACCTGAGTTCTCTGTAAGATCAGCCAGTATTCTAACCACTGAGCCATCTCTCCAGCCGCTGCAAAACTTGTATTTTTTTAAGTGACATTGAAACCCTTATCTTAAAAAAAAAAAGACTTACTATATAACAGCTTTCATTTAAAATGTAACATAAAATAGGCCACTCATGAAAAAATCAGCCAAACCTTGTGCAGCAATCATATATGTAAGTTATAGCTTGATAAGAGAAGTATTTAATAGTACCTTTTGTCTTGAAAATGTTCCATACATTGTTGCAGTCACTTGTTAACACTGTACTAGGTTCTGTGTGTGTGTTTAGGACATACGATACAAATATGTTTTGAACTAGTTAATTTATAGTGCACTTCCATTTTATAAGCATTAACCTTTTACCATAAGCTATCTTGTATGTGTGGTGTGTGTGTGTATGCATGTGTGTGGTACACGTGTACAGGTATGTATAGAGACCAACGGTTGGTGATGGGTGTCTTCCTCTATCACTCTTCACTTTACATCTTTGAGACAAGGTTTCTAACTGAACCTGGTGTTCACCATTTGATTTGGCTAGCTGGCCAGCATGCTTCAGAGAGCCTTGTGCTTGTGCCCCACAGTCACTGACTTCTTATATTGGTGTTAGGGATCTAAACTCAGGTCCTCGAACGGTACTGACTGAGCCATCTCCTTAGCCCATCGTTAATTATTTTGCCATAATTTATCTTTAAAATGCTTTATAATGTAAATGTAACCTTTTGAAAACAATTTGTTTTTATTTTATGAGCACTGATTGGTGGTTTGCCTGCCTGTCTGTGTGAGGGTTTCAGATCCTCTGGAATCGGAGTTACAGACAGTTGTGAGCTGTCATGTGGATGCTGGAAATTGAACCCAGATCCTCTGAAGAGCAGCCAGTGTTCTTAACCACTGAGCCATCTCCAGCCCCATAAATGTAATTTTTGATTCTTTAAAACATAAAAAGATTATTCCCCGATTAAATGTCCGTAATACTGTTGCTTGTTTATCCTTTTAGGGGAAATTAAGTGTGGACCTTCCTCATGTCTCACATAAGATTGCACCTACACTGTACAGCTGACTCTAGTCGCCCAAAAGATTAAATTCCAGAACCAAAACTATTAGCTAGAAATTGACTTATAGCTGGGCAGTGGTGGTGCATGGCTTTAGTCCAAACATTTGGGAGGCAGAGGCAGGTAGATCTGAGTTCAAGTCCAACCTGGTCTACAAAGCAAGTTCCAGGACAGCCAGGGTATACAGAGAAACCCTGTCTCGAGAAACAAAGCAGAACAAGAAATGTAAAGTTTGGGGCTGGAGAGACCCAGATTCGGATCCCAGCACCCACATGGTGGCTCCTAGCCATTTATAACTCCAGTGCCAGTGCATCTAAGGCGTCTTCTAGCTTTTTCTAGCACCAGGCACACAAGGGTCCTTGTACATACATGCAAGCAAGCAAACACATTAAATACAAAAAAAATTAACAAAATGGAATTATTTGTGGACTAAGTATAGTTTGGGAGAGTGCCTATGCTTAATAATTGTGCCTCTTTTCTCTTCCCAATTACCTCCAATTCCAAGTCATTGGGAGGGCAAGGTGACACTCTGTAAATCAGGAAATTATGGTTGCTAACAAAGGGAGGTACAATATAATCTTTGCCTCTGAGGACCACTGTTTGGGCGTTGACTTAGATCGTAGGCCCTGCCTTATGATAATTCCAAAAGGATAGCCCATAAACCATTTGTGTCCCAGATACTTACAGAGACAATTAATGTTAAATCCCTCTTAGCAAATCTGCTTTTATCTATTGGAACATGCAGAATATTTCTAGATCATACTATGAGTAAAGTTATCTGATCTACCATGAATCTGTTTGGCTTATTTTAATGTTGCTTCTCTATTTTTGCTGTCTGCAGAGCCAGAGCCCAGAAGTGGAGCAGTTAGGGAGGGTTGTGGAACTGGACAGTGACATGGTAGATATCACCCAGGAGCCAGTTTTGGATTCTGTGTTAGAAGAGAGTGTGCCTGAAGATCAGGAGCCTGTGTCTGCTTCAACACACATTGCATCTTCACTGGGAATTAATCCACATGTCTTACAGGTGAAGTTCTGGCACATCCTTACTATGGCAGAAAGCCAAACTTAATATTTAATCTCTTGTATAACATCATATCTCTTCTTTGATTATTCACTTAAGACTATTGAGAGTTAAATATCTCCTGGAAAAGGAAATAGGCCAATGTCATAGGCCTCATTTTCCCATTCAGTAAGGAAGTTTTATACTGAGGATGAGAAGGTGATTTCTGTTTTTACTGCATAAAATCAAAAGATATGTTTCTCAGCCAAGTTTTGTCACTTTACTCCTCTGACTTTAGATGACAAATTTATCAACTTATCAACACTAAGTTCTATTAAATACCATAACTTTGTCTGCAGTGTAGTGTTGGGATTTCAGATGTAGACACTTTAGAAACATGGTCAATGAGTGCTGAATTTCTCTCTTCCTCTAGCTGCAGCCTTTTTTTTTTTTTTTTTATGTGTTTAGCTTTTGACTTATGCTTGACTTTAAAATCATTTATTCAGCAAATAATAGGAACCACTGTGTGCCAGGACATGGTGGAACAGGTAAATACAAAGCAGAGAATGCATGACTTCAGTCCTTTGGGCACATGTAGTGTAGTGGTGTGTTAGTCACAAAAATGCTATACTTGTTCTGGACACAGGCTTTAAAGAAACAGCTTTTTTGTTTTGTTTGGCTCATATAAACCGCATTTTTCTTTTATGGTCTTTAATTTGTGGGAAATAGTCATTCTATAGATACTGACTTTTTTAGATCATGAAAGCATCATTGCTTGTTGATGAAGAAGATGTAGATGCCATGGATCAACGCTTCAGTCACTTCCCCTCCAAAGGAGATACTGCTCAAGAAATCTGTTCTCCTAGACTCCCCATTTCAGCCTCCCACTCAGCAAAATCCCGCTCAATAGGTACAGTATAAAATACGCTGTTTTTCAAGAAACTGTTGAGTTAGATCCTATTTCTCACATCTTCTAACCTGAATGGATTTCTCTAGCACAACCCCTAAAAGCCATATGAATAACAATAGACATGGGAGATTGCTATGAGTTTGAGGTTAACCAGAGTAACACAGCAAGACTCAAGGAGCTGAAGAGATGGCTCAACAGTTAAGGGCACTTGTTCTTGGAGAGGACCCCCAATTCAGTTCTCAGAACCTACGTGGTGGCTTATAACCCTCTGTGTCTGGTTTCAAAGGATCTGACACCCTCTTCTGGGCTCCCTAGCCAACAGGCACACACATGGTGTATATACATACATTTAGGCACTCACACATACACATTAAATAATTTTTTTTAAAAAATGTAAATAAGTCAGTGAAGTAGCTTAGCGTGTAAAAGTGCTTGCCACCAAGCCTGATGTCCTGAGCTTGATCACTGGAATTCATGTGGTGGAAGGAAAGACCTCCATATGCTCACCATGGTACATGCATGCCACCTACATGCACACACAAGATAAATAACGTTTTAAAACAAAAAAAAGAAAAAATGCAGACAGTGGCAAGTTTTTAAGCACCTGTCCCCTGCTTTCACTAGTCAGCTTTGATCCCGACAGTTTTTCTTTCCTGTCATCAGTACATAAATAATATGAGGTATCTATAACATCTAAGACCTATAAATAAGAGAAAACATGCAACATTTGTATATCTGGAACTGATGTAATTCAGTGTATATAATTATCTCCAGTTGCATCTGTCATTTTAAAAATAATTCTGTTGCACATTTGTTTTTCAGTAAGGATATGACCCTTGAGTTTTACCCAGGCTTCTCATCCAGTCTTGCTACTGATAGCTTTGTGTATTAGAAAGGTTACTTTGGCCGGGAGGCAGTGGCACACGCCTTTAATCCCACCACTCAGGAGGCAGAGCCAGTTTGAGTTTGAGGAGAGTTTGAGGCCAGCCTGGTCTACAGAGTGAGATCCAGGACAGGAACCAAAGCTACACAAAGAAACCCTGTCTCGAAAAACAGAAAAAAGAAAAAGAAAAGTTACTTTGCTGAGTCTAGTTTCCTCACCCTTTGGGTTTTTCAAGACAAGGTTTCTCTGTGTAATTTCCCTGGCTGTCCTGAAACTCTGTAGACCAGGCTGGTCTCGAACTTTCAGAGATCACGTACCTCTGCCTCTTGAGTGCTGGGATTAAAGGGATGTGCCACCACTTCCCAGCCCAGTTTCCTCACTTTTAAAATGTGAGTGGTAATGATAATGCTTACTGATTAAAGCTACTGAAAAGCAAAGTGTACACATCTTTTATTTTTAATACTGTTATTAACATTGTAATCTTCAAGGGGTTTTTTTTTTGTTTTGTTTGTTGTTTTTGTTTTTTTTGTTGTTGTTGTTGTTATTTTGGTTTTTCAAGATAGGGTTTCTCTGTGTAACAGCTGTAATTGTCCCAGAACTTGCTTTGTAGACCAGGCTGGCATTGAACTCACAGAGATATGCCCACCTCTGCAGGCATTGAAGGCATGCACCACCACACCTGGCTGTTTTTTCTTTATAAAACCATTAAAGTTCTTGCTTTGATTTCATGCCTGAAAAGGTAATTATTATGGGCTGGAGTAGTGGCTCAGTGGTAGAGAGCTTGTACTGCTCTTACAGGGGACTCAGATTTGATTCCCAGCATACACAAGCAGCTCACAACCACCTGTAACTCTGGTTCCAGAGGGATTGGACACGTGGCATCCACATGCAGCTACAGTGGCACACTTTAATCCTAGCACTAGTGAGGCAGAGGCGATCGGATCTCTGAGTTCAAGGACAGCTTGGTCTACATAGTGAGTTCCAAAATAGCCAGAGCTATATTGTAGCCAGGTATGGTGGTGAGGCCAGCCTGATCTACCTTGTCAGTTCTTGGACATAAGCTGCATAATGACTGTGTCTCCAGAAAAAAACAAAACAAAAGTAGTAACGATTGTAAAATCTGACTGAATATCTTCACCCTTAGTGATCTTTGTTGTTACTGAAGAAATAAACTGTTGTTTAGAATCTTTTCTTCTTTGTTTCAGTTGGTGGGTTGCTGCAGTCAAAATTTGCAAGTGGAGCTTTTCTTTCACCAAGTGCCTCTGTGCAAGAATCTCGCACTCCTAGAACATCATCTCTAATGAATGTCCCATCCACATCCCCCTGGTCTGTACCTCTGCCACTGGCCACTGTGTTCACAGTGCCCAGCCCAGCTCCTGAGGTTCAGCTGAAAACAGTGGGGATACGCAGGCAACCAGGCCTAGTTCCTCTTGAAAAATCTGTTACATATGGCAAGGGGAAACTTTTGATGGACATGGCCCTATTCATGGGACGTTCCTTTCGGGTTGGTTGGGGCCCCAACTGGATTCTTGCTAACAGTGGAGAACAACTACATGGTTCCCATGAACTGGAAAGTCAGCAGGTTGCCGATTCGATGGACTATGGATTCCTACCCAATCCAGTAGCTGTTAAATCGTGAGTTATATTTCCTGATGCTTTTTGGGAATGACAACATTGAAATTGGGGGCTGTTCTGTTATCAACAAACCCAAGGTCAGCATGCTGCTTTGCGATCGTTCTATATAAATTTCTTAGCCCAAGTATAAGTATTTCATGTATTTTGTACACACAGTATCATACATATTCCTATGTAGTCCCTGCAATTAAGTCTTCTGGTATTTACCATACAGAATGTATTGAGTTTACACAAAATAAATACAATTTTCTTAGGTATTTTTTATAATACATAACAAGATTGTGTACATTTACTATGGATTAAATGAATATGATTACTTATTTTTGAAAAAATAAAAATCATCAGTGTCTTGAACCTCACAGTAAAATCCATTTTAAATTTAGTAATTGACTCTAGATTATGGTATTATAATATTTTGGAGATTGTTAATATCTTAAAATGTATCAGTCAGACTGACTTCATGCTCATCTCAATGTAGAGCATTTCTAGGCTTGGAGGCACATACCTGTAATCCCAGCACTCATACAGAAGAGATCACAAGTTGGAGGACAGCCTGAGCTGTATAGCAAGAATCTAAGAAGAACCTATCTTAGAAACTCAAGTGCTAGGATATAGCCCAGTGGAATAGTGGAACAGCACTTTCCTAGCATGCCCTGGCTTCATTCTCTAGAACTTCAATTTAAAACAGAAACAAAGGAGTAATTTTAGAATCTGGCCGTGTGTGGTGGTATACACCTATAATCTAGTCGCTACATACCAAGTTCGAGGGCTATGTGAGACCTGTCTCAAAAAGTATTTAGTATCTATAAGCTTGGCTTCATAACTTTTGACATTTGTGTATTTGCAAACTAGATATTCCACATACAGCTTTGGCCTTTGAATTTTGTAGTGTCGTCACAAATGAGTGATGAAACCAGTAACTACTGACTGCCATCCACAGTTGTACCTTGAGCTGTGCTGTTGCATTACAGTTCATTGGTCTGTTCTACATTGTATCATTTATGCATTATTTTATAAACATCAGTATTGGTCATTAGGAATTACTGTTTACAGAGTTTATACATGTTTAGACCTATTTATATAAACAGTTCTTAATATTTCAATCCATCTCATTAGTCTTTTTAAGATTTAAGAAAGCCGGGCGGTGGTAGTGCACACCTTTAATCCCAGCACTCGGGAGGCAGAGCCAGGCGGATCTCTATGAGTTCGAGGCCAGGCTGGGCAACAGAGTAAGATCCAGGAAAGGCACAAAGCTACACAGAGAAACCCTGTCTCAAAAAACAAAAAACAAAAAAATTTTAAGAAGCTGAGGCTAGAAAGATGGCTGAGTGGCCAAGAGTATTTCCTACTCTTCGGAGGGCCCAGGTTTGGTTCCCAGCACCCACATTGGGCAACTTTCACTGTAACTCTCAATGCAGGTTATCTGACACCTACTCCTGGCTTCTACAGGCATCATCTGCCTCTGACCACAGCATACACATATATACTTACATACAAATAAATCTTGAAAAAATCATTTCTGAGGGCCTTGAATGTAGCTCTGTTGGTAGAGTGTTTGCATAGTATGCTCAAGGTCCATGGTTTCATTCCCAGCACAGCATAAACCCAGGATGGTGGTCCATGCCTGCATGCTGTAATCCCATCGCTTGGGGAAGTGGAGGCAAGAAATTGAGAGATTCAATGTGATCCTTGCTTACATGCTTTAAGACCAGCCTGGCCTACATGAAACCCTGTCTCAAAAAAACAAACATTACGGTGAAATGCTTTTTATTCTGTTGGAAGTCAGCAAAGGTTGGTTGTAGGGAAATTTCAGCCATTTCTTCATTTTCTGACTCATTTTTGTTTCTCCTAGTCTATCTGAATCCCCATTCAAAGTTCATTTGGAAAAACTCGGTTTGAGACAAAGGAAGCTGGATGAAGATCTGCAGTTATACCAGACGCCTCTGGAGCTCAAGTTAAAACATAGCACTGTGCATGTAGACGAGCTGTGTCCTCTTATTGTCCCCAACCCCGGGGTCTCAGTCATTCATGATTACGCAGATTGGGTTAAGGAGTCACCCAGAGATCTGCTAGAAGTACAGAGTGAGTATACATCGTGCTGCTAGCCTTTGATGTCCAAGGAGTCAGGTTAGCAGTAGCATATGTTTCTAGGAGACGTGTTTCTTTACAGGTATAAGGTGATTTCCTCCGCGTACGCATTTCTGCAGCTCACCTAGGACAAGAAGAAAAATTAGGAGTTACCATTTGTAATCATTCTTGTGCCTTCTAATATATAAGTACTCCTCAAAGAAGTATAGCTAGTCAAATCCCTTGGATTTTTGTAATTGTATTCCTTCTGTTTCAAACCGAGATATTTAACCATGTGATTTGCAAATCATCTTTATGGGGAGGGGCTCTTCCCTCTAAAATGTTATTGACTTAAAAGCTTTTAGTTTGACTTAAAAAATAATGGTGGTGGCATGAAAGTAAGTGAAAGGAAACCCTCTAACTGACAAATGACAAAGACATTTAGTAACAATGTTTGAAGTTATATATAAGAAGTTTAGATTTATAATTATCATTGTGTCAGGAGATATGCAATTGTTATTTGCCCTTTATCATTATTATTGACATGTGCTAACTGTGCATGTGTGTATCTTAGATGCTTTGATTATATTCACACTCTCTTATCCCTTTTACTATAGCCCTTCTGTATCCCTATTAGTCCCTTTTTACTGTCAGGTATATCTTTCTGTCTGTTTTTGTTTTTTGAGGCAAGGTAGCCCTGTGTAGCCTTGGCTATCCTGGAACTCAATCTATAGACCAGGCTATCCTCTAACTCAGAGATATCCCCTGCCTGCCTCTAACTCCTAAGTGCTCGGGTTAAAGGCATGTGCCACTAAGCATGGCTTTTCTTTCTTTTTATAGCTTCCTTCTTTTCTAAATTCCACTTATAAAAGAGAACATGGAATTCCAATTTTATTTTGTTTTGTTTGGAGTCTGGCTTAATTTTGGTTACCATGCATTTACCTGCAGATGCCCTAGTTTAAATCTTCCTTATTGCTCAGTAAACCTCCGCCATGTATATAGAGCACACTTTCTCTATCCATATACCTCTATTAGCATTCAAGACTGATTTCCCTGACCTGGCTGTTTGAAATCATGCTGCAGTCACAGTGGGTGTACAGGCATCTCTTTTATGAGTTGACTTTCATTCTTTGGGGTCAGAAGTCATATGGCTAAATCACACTGTAGTTACATTTTAATTTTTTCAGGAACCTCCATACTTGTTGCTGTATTGACTGAACTAATTTACATTTCTAACAAGAACACATGAAAGATCCTTTTCTCTACATGCTGTCAACCAGTATTTGTCATTTTTTGAATGGTCTGGTTTTCCTTTTTTCTTGATGTTAATGTTGATCATTCCAACTGGGGTAAAATGGAAACTCAAGGGAGTCTTGATTTGCATTTCCCTGGTGGCTAAAGATTTGTACTTCATTTGAAATGTGTTGGTTCATTTGTTTAATCATTTATTGATTTGTTTGATTTATTTATCTAGTTATTTTTTAGTTATCTTTTATTCTGGATACTAATCCCTTGTTAGACAAGCAGCTGGCAAGGATTTCCTCCCGTTTCATAATCTGTCTTTTGACCATCGATTCTTCTCCATGCAGGAGCTCTTTGCTCTGGTACATTTTGTTAATACTTGCTGCTTATTAGGTCTTCTGCAGGAAGTCACTGCCTGGTCCTGTATCTTAGTGTTTAACCAGTGTTTTCCTGTTACAGTATAAATGTCTCGGGTCTTAGATAAAGGTCTTTGTCCATTGGAGTTGAGGGAGATTCAAAGTGAGGAGTAGGAATCTATCCTCAGTCCCCTACACTTGAATATTCAGTTTTGCTATCATTTCTTGTTCAGCAGCTGTCTTTCTTTCTCTGCTGTTTTGGCACCTTTAATAAGACTCATATGCCAGGCCCAACATTACTGTGTGTGTGTGTGTGTGTGTTTTACATGTATATGTATGTGCCACTCAAATGTGTGGCGGTCAGCTTGCAGGACAATAGCCCTAGCTGTGGCTATATTTGCTATATTAGCAAACCAACTAAAGCAGTCTGCTGCTGCTGTGGGGAAGTGAGGTGCAGATGGTGAATGATTGCCAGCACCTACATGGAGGCTCACAACCATCTATAGCTCCAGTTCCAAGGGAGCTTCTGTGGGCACTAGGCACACATGGTGCACAGACACACATACGTACAAAACACCCATGTACATAAAATTATTTTTTAAAGTGTTTTGTAGCAGAATTTCAAATTGGAAAATCTTTTCTTGACTATCACAGTTAATAGCCACAATTAGGCTAGAAGAATTTAAGGGAGCATCCATTATGTTTTGTTTGTTATGTAAGTATCACAGGTACATGGAGTGAGCAAATATACCCTGTACCTGTGCAACTTATATGAAGTGTAATCCTAATGAGTCTTAACAATTAAAACCTGGAGTCAGATGTTAGGGTGAAAGATCAGAGAAGCAGAGCAGCCAGCCACTGGAGACTACCTGTACGAAACCTCAGACCAAATGGAGCGGGGCGTTGCTCCTGTCTCTACAAATCCTCAGGCTGAATGGGGCCAAGATCCTGTCTCCACCTCCCTAGTGTTGGGATTAAAGGCGTGAGCCTCCCATGTGCTGGGATCCTAAGTGCTTAGGATTGGAGGTGTGAGCTACCACCATCCTGCTGTTTTCTGTTTTAAACTGATTTAATCTGTAGCCAAGGGTGGCCTTGAACTCCTGATCTTCCTGCTTCCTCCCCCCAAGTGCTGGGATTAAAGGTGTGTGCCACCACTGCCTGGCCTCTGTGGTTAACTAGTGGCTAGCTCCACCCTCTGATCTCCAGGCAAGTTTTGTCAGAACACAAAACACTTATAAGTTGAGATGACCAGTTTGGGAGTAGTGAGCTCACAAACTTGAATGAGTGCTTATGGTGGTAATTGATGTGTTTTGCACCACAATAAGTGATGAGCTCTCAGGAGTGATTTCCAGACTCTGATAGCATTGCTTTTTGTACTTTCTTAGTTGTGAAGCACTGGAGCCTGACGTGGACATTATGTGAAGCCCTATGGGGCCACCTGAAGGAGCTTGACAGCCAGCTGGATGAGCCCACTGAATACATTCAGGTTCTGGAGCGAAGAAGAGCTTTTTCCCGATGGCTGTCCCGTACTGCTGCACCCCAGATTGAAGAGGAAGTTTCCTTAACCCGAAGAGACAATCCCATAGAAGCTGTCTTCAGCTACCTCACAGGCAGTAGGATTAGTGAGGCCTGTTCTCTGGCACAACAGTCAGGTAGGGATGAGATCCTCTGCATCACTACCTACTTCCTCTGCACTATCCCTGCTCCTTAATTGTAATTTGCCTTTTAACTGTATCCCAAGAAGATTGTTGGTTCCTCTAGAGACCATGCCTTGTTCTTTTAAACAACTCTGGAAACTTAAATATTGTTTATTTAATTAAAATTGTGTTGATTTTGTTATATGCGTTTGTAGTAAATCAGAAACTTCAGATAAGTAGAAAAAAATAGGACAAAATCACCCAAATTCTAAGACTTAGAGTCATCGTAACATTTTCAGTGGTTATCCTTATAATACATAAAGTATATACAAATGCATGCATACTGAACAACATACATATAAATGGTTCAGACTTGGTGTCCTAGTGGTCCTCAGTAATATAGAGGTGACTATCCTTGCCTGTCAAAGATTTCCTGATGTACATTCTGTTCTTTCATTTAAAATATCATAGATAGCTATAATTGTTTCTTAGCAGTCTTTTAATATAACATTAGCATATTCCTTTGACATTTTATTTTTGTGTGTGTGTGTGCACACACATGAACAAATGAACATTTGTACACACAGGAGGAGGCCAGAAGAGGCTGATGATAGATGTCATCTTCTATCACTGTCTACTTATTTCTTTGTGGCAAGGTCTCACCTTGAAATAGGGGCTAGCTAGCGTTCTCTCAATTAGGCTGGAAGCTAGCAAGCCTCAGCAGTCCTCCTGTCTCCAGCCCCGCTTGGACTTGGGTTTATAGGTGTGCATGAGACACCCAACTTTTACATAGGTGCTAGAGGCCAAATGATTGCACAGCAAACCCCCCTTTTTGTTTGTTGGTGTTCGAGACAGAGTTTTTCTGTGTAACAACTCTGGCTGTCCTGAAACTCACTTTGTAGACTAGGCAGACCTTGAATTCAGAGATCCACCAGTCTCTGCCTCCCTAAGTGATGGGGTTAAAGGCATGTATCCCCCACCGCCACCACCTCCCAGCTACAGCAAACCCTCATAACCACTGAGCCATCCTCAAGCCTCCTTTGTTGACATTCTTTTTTCTTTTTACATCCCGTTTCCAGAAACAATAATCTGAACATCTTATACATAGATCTTTTGTAATAACTCACTATTTCATCCACTGATGTCCAAGTCTTTCCTCCGAAGGCCTGGAAGAAGTACAGTGGTCTGTGTTTCATCAGGTCAGTTAATCCTTAGTCCTCACTTGAAAACTTGTGTTCCTCTTACAGGTGATCATCGCCTTGCTCTTCTTTTGTCTCAGTTGGTGGGTAGCCAGTCAGTCCGAGAGCTGCTCACCATGCAGTTAGCCGATTGGCATCAGCTCCAGGCTGACTGCTTCATCCAGGATGAAAGGTTGCGCATATTTGCCCTGTTAGCTGGAAAACCGGTAATGTCATATTAATTTTTCTTGTAAACTGTACACTGTTAATATAACTGCCAGTTTGGTCTTATTTCTAGGTAGAAATATTTTCAAACTAAAATGTCAGGCAGCCAAGCACAATGGCTCACACCATTAGTCCTAGTGCTGTGAGATCTAGACCAAGTTCAAGGCAAACCTGGTCTAGAGAAGTCCAGTAAAGTTTGAGCTACATAAAGAGACCCTGTCTCGCAACATCATGTCAGGCTGGGCAGTGGTGGTGCAGGCCTTTAATCCTACACTTGAGAGGCAAAGATCAGTGAATCTCTGTGAGTTTGAGGCAAACCTGGTCTACAGAGCAAGTTCCAGAATAGCTAGGGCTACACAGAGAAACCTTTTCTAGAAAAACAAACAAACAAAAAACCATGTCACACAATTAACCAAACAAACAAAAAAAAAAATCTAATGTTAGCTGTATTGTGCGCCTCTAATCTCAGTACACAGAGGGCATGGCCAAAGGATTGCCATGGCTTCAAGACCAACCTGAGCTACTTAGTGAGTACTTAGTCAGGACTACATAAGGCCCTGTCTCAAAAATAATTTTTAGAAAAATCTTATTACATTTGTTTATTTGTATGTTCTCACTCTCAAGCATGTGTGTGTATATGGCATGGTACATGCATGAACAACAAAGGATAACTTGCCAATGTCTTGGGAGTCAAACTCAGTTTCCCACGCTTTACCCACTCAGCCATCTCACTGGCCTGATTATTTTCTTTTTTTTTTTTTTTTGGTTTTTCGAGACAGGGTTTCTCTGTATAGCTTTGCACCTCTCCTGGAACTCACTTGGTAGCCCAGGCTGGCCTCGAACTCACAGAGATCCGCCTGGCTCTGCCTCCCGAGTGCTGGGATTAAAGGCGTGCGCCACCACCACCCGGCTGAGGTGTTATTTTCTTTTTTTTTTTTTTTTGGGCACTGGCCTGATTATATAAATGTTAAAATTGGAGCTGGCAAGATGACACAGCCGGTGAAAAAAGGCACTTGCTGTCGAGCTTGACAACCTGAGTTCAGTCAGTCCAGGGAACCCCCGTGGTAGAAGGAGAGAAGAACTGATTCTCACAAACTCTCACCTAACACATACACCATGCCATGCCACGCATATGCACACCTACATACAATAATAAGTAAATACAAAGATTTAACGTTGAAATCTGGATCCCATATCATAGGAATGTTTACGTAGGAAACTGTATAATTATCTGTATTCATCTGTGTTGATGTATAGGTTCATATTTGCATGTGTGTATATCAAGCAAAGTCAGTTATAGAGAATGATTCTGAATTTTTTTTTTTCTTCAATTTACTGTGTATGGACATTTTTCCATGTAATGTAGTATCATTCTTTTTAATAGCCACCACACTTCATTTTACCAAAAATGAAGTAATTATTTTAAGCCAGTTTTTGCTGCTTACTCATTGATTATCTGATTCTGTGTCTTTATGTCTGTCTTGTTAATTATGGGAGGGGAGATTTCATATTCAAACCATTACATTAAGATTGGGTATTGTAGCACACTCCTTTAATACTAGCACGAGGGAGAGGCAGTAGGATCTTAGTTCAAGGCCAGCCTGGTATACATAGTGAGGTCCTGTCTCAAAAAAAAAAAACCATAAGGAGCAGCTTGTAGACAGGCAGTAATAACCAAGGCAACATAAAGTTGTCATGGTGATGCTTTTGTCTCCTGCAGGTGTGGCAACTCTCAGAACAGAAGCAAATCAATGTGTGCTCCCAGCTGGATTGGAAACGTGCACTTGCTGTCCATCTTTGGTATTTGCTTCCACCAACAGCCTCCATTTCCAGGGCTCTCAGCATGTATGAAGAAGCATTTCAGGTATGTGTGTTCACAGGAGCCAGGTGAGAACTCTGGTTGGTGTGTGTTTTGTCTTTCCAGAGAAGTCCTGCAAACTGGGTGTGACAACTTTAATCCCAGCACTTGGGAGGCAGAAGCAGGTGGCTAGTGGTGAAGACCCTGTCTCAAAAAAGAAAAAAAAAAAAATTTAAAGGAATATAGAGAAAAAGCCATCGAATCACATTTTATGATATAATACTTACTACTGACTGCCCTCTTTGAAAATACTGTAAAATCAAAACAGACACAACAAGGTCAAAACATCATCCTTTACCTTGTCTCTTCAACTCCATTGAAGTTGCTATTTACATTACACAGATATTTATATTATGATTCATAACAGTAGCAAAATTACAGTTACGAAGTAGCAACAAAATTAATTTTATGGTTGGGGGTCATTACAACATGAGGAATTATAATTAAAGGGTCGCAGCATTAGGAAGGTTGAGAACCACTGACATAAAAAGGCCTTGTCTCAAAACTGAGGGGAAAAAACAGTTGTGGCAAGTGGACAAGTAAGGGAATCTACTGAGCTCCTTTTAAGTCTTTACCAGGTTGAAAACAGGTGTATCAAAAACGTTTAAAAGCCTTGATTCTTTTAAGCACTACAGCATCCTTAATGCATGTTTCATTAATTAATGCATGAATAATTGAGACATGACAATGCTAGTTGATAAAACTCACAACTTTGTATTGCTATATCAAATTCTTCCTTTACAGAATACTTCAGAAGGTGATAAGTATGCCTGCTCCCCTCTTCCTTCATACCTGGAGGGTTTGGGCTGTGTGGTAGAGGAAGAAAAGGACACACGGAGACCACTTCAGGATGTTTGCTTCCATCTCCTAAAACTCTATAGTGACAGGTAAACCAGCACCAGGCGTGGTAATTGTGTCAGTTAATTTCGGTGCGATACAGTTTGCATACAAATAAGCATGCAGTTGGATAGACATCACAGAATAACTACCAACACAATTGAAACATTTCTGTCACCTCCAGAAATTCCCTAATGTGATTTAGGAATTAATCCTAAGTCCTATACAATGATTGGGGGTTGTTGACTATAAGGTTTTTTTTTTTTTTGATTTTTCAAGACAGGGTTTCTCTGTGCAGCTTTGCGCCTTTCCTATCTCTCGTTCTGTAGACCAGGCTGGCCTCGAACTCACAAAGATCCGCCTGCCTCTGCCTCCCGAGTGCTGGGATTAAAGGCGTGCGCCACTACCACCCGGCGACTATAAGTTAATTTTGATGTTTCAGGAATTTACATATTTAAGTCATTCTGTACTCTTTTTGTACCTGGCTTCTTACCACTCAGCATGGTGGTGAGATTTATCAATTTTAATGTGAACAGCAGAGGTTTGGGGGAATCTTTATTCTAACTCTGTAGATTTTTACATAATTTCATAGTGATTTGCTGGTGAGTAGTTAGATGTTGTTGGTTGGGTGTGAGGAATAAAGTGTTGTGAATATTTATTCACCCACTAGCTGTAATAAGCCAGAACTTTGGCACAAGCTACTGTGGTGATATATTGTGTACCCTAATAAACTTGCCTGAGGATCAGAGGACAGAGCCAGCCACTAGATTAGACATAAAGGTCAGGCAGTGGTGGCACACACCTTTAATCCTAGCACTTGAGATCTCGTGCCTTTGCTTGGGAAACACACATGTCTTTAATCCCAGGAAGTAACATGGCAGGGCAGAGAAAGGTATATAAGGCATAAGGAAACAGGAAATCACTCTCTTTAGGCTGAGGATTTCGTAGAGGTCAGAACTAGTGTCTGGCTGTTCTACTTCTCTGATCTTTCAGCTTTCACCCTAATATCTGGATCTGGATTTTTTATTAAAAGACCATCTAAGATTTGAACAACAAGCTACTAGAGACACTGAGGTGTGAGAGTTTCACTGGAGTCCATAAGTTCAGTCCACCAGGCATAGCAAGACCCATCTAAAGCAAAGTGATTGTTGTTTTCCATTCTCACTAGTAATGTATAAATCTCTAATTGTTACATGTCCTCTCCAGGACTTAGTATAGTACGTAGTGATATTCTCTGTGTGTTGTATATGTTTGTTTTGATACATTCATTTATTTATTTGTCTTTATTTTGGTAGTTTGAGACTGGGTCTCTAAACAGACTGGCCTAGAACTTATTCTGCGTAGCCTAGGCTAGCCTTGAACACTCAAATTCCTCCTGTTTTAGTCTCCCATGAGTTAGGATTATAGTAATGTGCCTCCATGAAATGTTTTTAATAAATGGAGAATGGCTTATTTAGCAGTAATAAATTAACTCATGCAATTATTATATCTAAATGATTAAAATTATTTTGATACTTCTTTTTACTTTATCTTAGAAATAACTAGGATTTTTAGTTTTCGGTTTTCTGTTCACAACTAATAGGTCACAGCTTGTTTCTGCTTTTCAGGATGCTTTCTTTAAATACAGAATACTAGTGTTAGTTATAAAAAAGAAATTGTAGTACGTATATAAGTAAAATTTATCATTTATCTATTTTTTGCTAACATCTATTTAAGTCTTTTGGCTTTTTTGGATTTTGGTTTTTTGATAGTTGGTTTGCTTTTGAGACAGGGTCTCTATGTAGACGAGGCTGGCCTTGAACCTACAGAGATCTTCTCACCTCTGCCTCTGCCTCATGCATGAGTGCTTGGGAGTACAAGTGTGCTCCACCATGCCTGGCCTAGATTTAATTATTGTATTTTATGAGTATAACTGTTTTTGGCTGTGTATATCAATGCAACACTCCAGTGTCTGGTGCCCTTAAAGGTCAGAAAAGGGTGTCAGATTACCTAGAATTAGAGTTATGGATATTTTCTTTGTAATTCATGTGCATATTTGTGCATATGTGAGTTAGAGCACACCTGGAGAAGGTGTCCATTCTGTCTATATGGGCCCTGGGGATTGAACTCAAGTTGGCAGACTTGAAAGCAAGAGCCATAACCCAGGGCTATCTTGACAAGTCCAAAAGTTTTATATTTTTTAAGTTCCAGTTTGCTAAAGTTTTTTTAAATGTATACAGTGTTCTGCCTGCACGCATCCTTGTAGGCCAGAAGAGGGCACCAGATCTCATTACAGATGGTTGTGAGCCACCATGTGGTTGCTGGGAATTGAACTCAGGACCTCTGGAAGAGCAGTCAGTGCTCTTAACTGCTGAGCCATCTCTCCAGGCCTCCCATCCCCCAGTTTGCTAAAGTTTTAACACTGTATAACTTGCTTATTGTTATAGAACTTTTGACATTTTCTATTTATCCTCAAGTCAAGTTGCTATCATTTCTATGCTCTGGAGGGTTTATTTTACTGAAGTAAAATTTTTACATCAAGTTTTTCACAGCCCTGGCACTCAGGAGACAGCGGCGGTAGATCTCTGCATCCAGCCTGGTCTACATAGCAAGTTCCAGGACAAACAGGGCTATCTCAAAAAATAGAAAAAAAGTTATTCATAGCTTTTTCTTACCCTTTTAAAATATTTGTAGAATCTATAATAGTCACAAACTCCTGACACTGATAATTTTTGTCTTCTCTTAGTCTATGCAGTTACAATTTCATTGGTCTTTTAAAGAACCAGGTTTCACTGGGTTTTATTCCTGTTACTTATCCTGCACAGAATGAAAGAGAAAAGCTTTAATGGTTAAAGAGTAAAACCATCACTCAACTCAATGACCAAAATTGCCAGGCTATGGTGGTTCATGCCTTTAATTCCTGTACTTGGGAGGGAGAGGCAGGCAGATCTCTGTGAGTTCAAGGCCAGCCTGGTTTACAGTGTGTGACCTTGTTTCTGTCACACAGCTATGAACATTACAAGCTGTAGGAAGAAATGACCTTCATGAAGATCAGTTAACTGACAACTGAAAACTAACATTCAATGACATCAGTTAACAGAACAGTCTGAAAAGGCCTGAGGTTTTTAGCATGGTTAGGAATCACCTAGCAGAGCCAGGCGATGGTGGCACACACCTTTAATTCCAGCACTCGGAAGGCAGAGGCAGGCGGATCTCTGTGGGTTCGAGGTCAGCCTGGTCTACAGAGCGAGATCCAGGACAGGCACCAAAATTACACAGAGAAACCCTGTCTCGAAAAACCAAAAAAAAAGTAGCAGATACCAAACCTGTTGGATGGCACACCCTTGTGAGAGAGGTGTCTCGTATTACTGATAAGACCTCTCACTCTTTGCCCTCTGGTTCTTTTATTGTCTTCTGAGACACAGAACAGTTTTTTTCAGTACAGATGATCTGCTAGCTGAGTATCCTAACTGAATACTTTCTTCTCCTCAGACATTACGATCTCAATCAGCTTTTGGAACCTCAAAGTGTAACTGCAGATCCTTTGGACTACCGCCTAAGCTGGCACCTTTGGGAAGTGCTGCGGGCTCTTAACTATACCCATCTGTCTGAACAATGTGAGGGTGTGCTACAGGCCAGTTATGCTGGCCAACTGGAAAGTGAAGGGCTATGGGAGTGGGCCATTTTTGTCTTCCTACACATTGAGGACTCAAGGTGAGTGAAAAGCCTTTGAACCTAGTGAATATGTCTAGCACCTTAAGACGATACCTCAGAATTCAGTCTTTTCAGGTTCTGTTCAACACGTTACTGCTTAGAACACCTGTTAGATACAGCCATGTGATAAATCTCAAGACCTGCGGCCTGGGAGATGGCCCAGCAGTTAAGAGCACTTGCTCCTTTTCCATAGGGTCTGAGTTCATTCTCTGCATCTGTGTCAGGCAGCTCACACTGCCTATAATAACTCTAGCTCTGTGGGATCCAACACCTCTGATGTCCAAGGGCACCAACATTCATATGCACATACATACCAACACACATGTACACATATAACTCAAAACAATAAAATAAATACTTTAAGAAAAGTCTTAATTTAAAAGAATGACTTTGTGGTATGTTTTGCTTTTTAAGTTTGAAGTGGTCACCTAAAGATGTAGATTACCCATTTGAGTGACTGTCCAAAGGCCCACTCTTAGCCTTGTCTGTGCCCAGGGTGATGTTCTGGCTTCTTTCTTCCCCGTAGCCTGCGTGAGAAGGCTGTTCGTGAGCTGCTTACCCGGCACTGCCAGCTGTCAGAGACCCCTGAGTCCTGGGCTAAGGAGGCTTTCCTTATGCAGAAGCTCTGTGTGCCTGCTGAGTGGATTCATGAGGCCAAAGCAGTTCGAGCACACATGGAATCCAATAAGCACTTGGAGGCCCTCTATTTATTTAAAGCTGGCCACTGGAACCGCTGCCACAAACTTGTTATCCGGCACCTCGCTTCTGGTGAGTGCAAAGGCCTACATCTCCTGGAATCATCCCATGTTTTTCTAACCTGTTGAGCCTTCATGATGGCTGAGGCAGAGATGATGTCAGTTTAGGACATAACAGACTTAGATCAATATTCTACCAAAATGCTACAGAGGAGGCTTGGTCTGGGCAAGGGGCTATGGGACAGGGAAAGATGGCACTATTGTAGTTATTATCTGCCACTGATGTCCTTGCTGTGCACTAAGCTCTCTGCTTACATGTGGGAATGTTAACACCACCAGAGACAGCTGCTCCGAGGCCTGCAGCCAGAAGTTATTGGCCACCACAACATCTGCTTCTCCAGCCTGCCTGCCTTAGATTTGTGCCTGGTCCTCTATACCATTGGGAACTACACCCTTATACACTGAAGTCAATGTTTTGTTTCTTCAGATGCTATTATCAACGAAAACTATGACTACCTGAAAGGGTTCTTAGAAGATCTGGCACCTCCAGAGCTTAGCAGCCTAATTCAGGACTGGGAAACATCTGGGCTTGTTTACCTGGATTATATTCGAGTAATTGAAATGCTCCACCGTATTCAGCAGGTACCTAAATTCCTTAAACCATTGTCTAGTTTTCTTTTTCATCGGCACTTAAAACCAGCCATTTCAAGAAGTCATACTGTAGCAGTGTGTGGTGGTACATGGCTTTAACCCCAGCGCTCGGGAGACAGAGGCAGGTGGATCTCTGTGAATTCCAGGATAGCCAGACTGTAGAGACACCTTTCTCAAAAAAAAAAAAAAAAAAAACCACAAAAGCCATGCTGTACAATACAAAAGGAAACATGGCGGCACACATACAGTCCCAGCATTGAGAAATGGAGGCAAAAGGATCAGAAGTGTGAGGCCAGTGTGGAACTTTAGATCAAAAATTTTTTTAATTTATTGATAAATATGTGTTGAAGATGGGACTTAGGGTTTTTTATTTTTTGGTTTTTTTTTTTTTTTTTTTTTGTTTGCTTGTTTGTTTTAGCTAGTCTTACCCTATAACCTAGGCCAGCCAGGAACTCACTGTGTAGCCCAGGATAGCCCTTTTTTGTTGAGAAGAGAGTAAGTGTGCTGCACACCCTAGCACAGGTGTGGAGATGCAAGGACAAGTTGTAGAAGTATGAAGCAAACTCAAGTCATCAGGCCCTGCAGCACACACCTGCGGCACCATCTCACTGGCTAGCTCTACTTTTCCCCTGGAAGTGTGAGCTGTACTCTCCCTTGCTACCAAAACTTGTGGTATGTTTTTTGTACCTGCCAGATCATACTGTATTTTTTTCTTTCACATCTATATGTTCTTGAAGTTTGGGGGGAGATCTTTTCTGTTAATGAGGTTACATACCATTGAACAGAAGTTCATAGCTCAAGCTTCTCAGGTCAAACTATTAGATTCAATTTAGGTTTCCCACATTGACTAAGGAACTAAGTTAATTAGCCACTCTATCTCCCTGGGAGGGTGGCAGGGAGTGGACAGTGGCATAGACTATAAAGTGTATCCAACAGGGTTTTCATGAAGGTTACACAAAATAGGCACAGGGCTTCGGCAGAGGACCTTAACACTAAACTTTTGACAAGGGTTCCTATTTTCATCCACTTCTAATTCCTCACACTGGGTCAGACGTATAATGGACATAATTCAGGAATCACTGAAGAAGCCTTTCTAGTTGATATCAGTTCATTGATGCAACTTAGTCATTAAGAACCCCAAATATGCTGAGTACTGTGATGGATTTGGGAGCTGTGGAGGTAAACAGTATGTTTTTCCCTTACTAAAAGTACTGACTCAGTGGGAGAAGACGTATACAAGTAAGGCAGAAAGAAATCACCGTAGAGTAAAAGATTTATCACGATTGCTGACATTGTGCCAGGACAAAAGAGAGAGCCTGATGTAGTCTGAGGGAGTCAGTGGTGCTGTGCAGCTCAGTCTCCACATTCACAACCTAATGAAACAGTCTTCACTTAAAAGTCTCCATTTGGGGCTCTGCAGTAAGAGCAGTTGCTGCACTTGCAGAGGTTCAGGTCCTAGTACCCACATGATGGTTCACAACCATTATTAACTTCAGTTAATCCAGGAAATCTAGTGCCCTCTTCTTCCCTCATACATGTAGACAGAACACTCACAGTAAAAATAAATGTTTAAACCTTCCCAGTTCTCTCTTGCTGTTTTCCTCTTTATTCCATGTGTAAACATGGCTGTTTGCTTTACCTGGAAAGCTTGACTTTCTCTTGTTAGGAAGGTCTCAGCTTACATATAGTCTCCCCAAGGATGCTTCTCCTGATGCCCCTACTCTAAAATAGACATCCAGTTTCTTTATGCCCACAGCTTATGATTCTTGAAGGTTAATTACTACTTGATATTTTCTTGTCTGTAAAGTTCATGAAAGCAAAGACCTCATTTTGTTTACCACTATTTAAAGTCAGTGATAAGGTTCTGGCAGAGGGTAAGAGTGTGTATATAGACATAAATCAGTGAATTCTGCAAGCCTTCTTCAAAGTGAGTTTCAGAGCTAGTCAGATAACTCAGCAGATAAAGTGCTTGTAGCCAAGCTTGACAGGCTGAGTTCAAACCCCAGAACGGACATGGTAAAAGGAGAGAATGGATTCACACATGTTGTCCTTTGACCTCCACATGCTTCCATACCAGCCATTCACCAACACAGAATAAGTAGTAAATTCCATGGAAAATGCATCTTGGAAAGCATCTTGAATAAACCTGTAAAAGGAGGGAGGTGGCTGGAGACTTTGGGTGGTCCACAGTGAGAAGATAGGTTAACTGAGAGTCAGGGTTGAGGTAAATGGGATAAGCTGTTGCTGCAGAGTATAAAGAATATAAGTAATGGATAAAAGTAAATCAGCTTTGTTTTTTAAAAATGTGGCTGAAATAGGAGGATAGTAGAAAGTTTGGGACTAGCCTGGGATATACAGTGAGTTCCAGGCCAGCTGGGGCTACATATCAAGACCCTATCTCAAAAACCAATTGGTTATAAAATGGTCACAAATTAGATGTAGAAGGTGACGCCAACAGTAGTGTGGTAAGTTGTTTGAGGTGAGAAGTAATGGTGGCCCAAGCCACAGTAAAACCCATGGCAGAGAACCAGAAGATTGGCATATTAGGCCAGCATTGACTATAATTGGAATCATAGGGGGTGGATCTGGAGAGTGTATAGATTGAGGTCGGTCCTGCACTGCTTTAGGAATGGCTAAGAACTTTTTGTTTGTTTTTGAGACAGGGTTTCTCTGTGTAGTTTTGGTGTCTGTCCTAGATCTCGCTCTGTAGACCAGGCTGGCCTTGAACTCACAAAGATCCACCTGGCTCTGCCTCCTGAGTGCTGGGATTGAGTGGTGGGATTAAAGGCGTGCGCCACCACCGCCCTGCGGCTATGAATAAAGAGATGTAAATTAAATGCTGGTTTGAAAACCACCTCTTACAATGTCTCTGAATCACATTTGCCCTAAAGTTTTTTTGGTGCTGTGTTAAAACCATGTGGTTTATGAATCATTATCCCAAGACCTGCCCAAGCCCAAGGCTAAGTATACTTTCTCTTGTCTTCAGCAAATAGATGCTGTGGTAGTATGCCACCAGCTTCTTGTTTTTTCTCCTCCCTCCTATCAGGTGTCATTGGGATTTTGTGTAATCTGTGGGTAGGGTTGAGGTAGAAGTTTCTTTTGTCCTTACTGGTCTATTTCTCCGCAGGTGGATTGCTCAGGTTATGAACTAGAGCACTTACACACCAAAGTGACTTCACTGTGCAACCGGATAGAGCAGATTCCATGTTACAATGCCAAGGACCGCCTGGCTCAGTCAGGTAAGCATGTGGGCTCTACTTGCTTGTGGCTTACTTCCTGTCTTATGACACCCCACATCAGTGCCGTGTAGTCAGCACTCACTGTGGTTTTCTCTCTAGATATGGCCAAACGTGTAGCCAACTTGCTTCGGGTAGTGCTGAGCCTGCAGCACGCTCCTGATGCCACCTCCAACTCAACACCAGACCCTCAACGAGTCCCTTTGCGTCTGTTGGCTCCCCACATTGGCAGGCTCCCCATGCCTGAGGACTATGCCTTGGAGGAACTTCGTGGCCTTACACAGTCCTACCTGCGAGAACTGACAGTTGGGAGCCAGTGACCCTAGCTCTTGCCATCACACTCATGCCCATTCATACTCACACACAGCAGTTTCTAGCATTGTTTTAATTGACAGTTTTCCGATTTCGGGGTTGATGTGGAATCCTCCCTCCCCTTCTGCTGCCCTAAGCAGCATCCACTAGTTGTTCAGGGTTTCCTAATACTGAACATAGCATACAAGGGCTTTTAGAACAACAACAACAAAAAACAACAAAACAAAACCAGGTCTCCATTTGCCAACTTCAAGACTATTCAATTTCTCTTTCTTTTGAAAAATTGTCAATAAAACCTCTTTGGCAGAACCTCCAAAAAAAACGGAATTCTTTTCCACACCAAGTTCTGAGTCTTGTGACACACACACCCTATGCCAACGTCTAACCTGCTCTGCTGCGGCTCTTCTGTGTCACTGCTGTTTGAAAAGACTGAGACAAATGACAAATGTCTGGTAGATGACCGTCCATCCCTGATGCTTGTCCCTGAAGATTTCTTAACAATGAGTATGGGAGTCAAAAGAGGGTTGGACCTTGTTCTTTGACACATTGAAGATAGAAGGGCTGTCTGCTATGGAAGCAGAGATCTTAAAGGCTCTTTTGTTCATGCCTCGTATATCCTATGGACACTATACCTGCCCTACTATCATGTGCAGTGGCCTCAAACCACAGAAAATGTGTCTCTGGGAAGCTCCTGATTTATCAGTCATCTTCCTGGATTTGCCAGAGGAGTTTGGATGAAGAATGTGAAAGGTGTTCCTCTCAATCCTCCCATTTAGCCAAGACCATTTCCCACCTTTCACCCACACTCCCAGAAGGTAAAACTGTCACTAAGACAGGTCTGGTTGGGCCCTGGGGGCAGGTAGAAGGCCTTCACCACATTGCTGCTGGCTGTGGGGAGTCCCAGGCTCTGGCCTGAGACAGCTGATATTTGGGGCTGTCACAGACAATATGGCCACCCCTGGGTCTTTATGCATGAAGATTATGTAAAGGTTTTTATTAAAAAAATTATATATATATAAATGATCTAGATTATTTTCCTCTTTCTGAAGCTACTTTCTTAAAAAAAATAAAATGAAATGTTTATAGTATTCTTGGTGGTATTGACTTCCTCTTTGTGTTTTGGGGGACTCCGGAGATTCCTTATCTAAATGTAAACATCTTAAGTTAAAGAGAACAGAGGGCTAAGGAGTTAGTTCAGCAGGTCAAAGCACTAGCTACACAAGCCTGACAACCCAAATTTAGGATCCATGTAAAAAGCCAGACGTGGGGTTGGGGATTTAGCTCAGTGGTAGAGTGCTTACCTAGCAAGCACATGTATTGTGATCATCTAGCCTGGAGAAGGCGTCACAGCTGCAGGTACTAGAGACTCTGCCTCAGGAGGAAGGCCATAGCCAACTCCCAAAAGTTCCTGACCTCAGGCACACCAGGCAATTCACAAATAAACGTTTTGAACAGTTAGTGCTGCACTGAGATTCAGAGGAGCCCAAACACTTTTTTTTCCTTGCAGTAGTGGGAATTAAACCCAGGGTCTTTGCATGCTAGGCAAGATCTCTACAGTTGGCTACCTCTCAGCTCTGTGGGAGCCCACAGAGACTTCCTAGTGAGAACTGGGTCAGAATCTGAGCTTGCTTTATCCAGCAGGGCTATGTAAGGAGATGACTTGACCACGGGTGTTTACCAGGTGTTTGGAAGGGTCTACACTTGGCTATATGGTGTGCTTTAATCATGCAAGGGGGGAGGTCTTTTGCCTTGCCCTTTGGCATATTATTAAAAGCCCTTTTGACTAAACCTCAGGTCTGTTGGGTATTGACTCAGGCCCTCCCAAAACTATCCTGTGTTTCTGTCTTCTAGTCTAGGTCTCTCTGGTATTTTCTTATCCCTCTCTCCTCCACCTAAGAACCCACACAGCCCAAAGGCTTTTGTAAGGCCAGATTTAGGGACAAGAAAGTTACTGACTAGTAAATACAGATTTATACACATAGATTCTGGGTTCAAATTGTTCCACTGAATATACTTTCTATTCAAAGCTTTCTGCTGATGATTGTTTTAAACCATGAGTCACTCCTTCCCAAAGGCAGTAATGATCCCTGAACTGGCTGTTTTACGATGGCCTGTTTTGAGGATCAAAAGTCTACTCGTGTCTTGTTGAACTGAGGTGTGAGCAAATTCCAGGTAGATTTAAACCAAAGACATGCAACATCACAGAATTATATAAAACAACAGTGTGTCTGCCTTGTCTGAGTCTTCAGTTTGGACCCCTGAGGCCAGAGGTTAGTCAGCTGGCAATCCCCTTCCTCCACAGCTGACTCAAAACAATGGAGCTGCTGACAGAATTCTTGCTTTCCATGTGCCAGAGATATTTTTCAAAAAGCATGTGCTACAGAAATGGCTAGTGGTTTTAGGAGCATTAAGGATTATTGGTATGGGATGTACTTACTCTTAGGACAAGTACTATTTTTTTTTTCCCCCTGGAGGTGAGGACCGAACCCAGGGCCTTGCACTTGCTAGGCAAGCGCTCTACCACTGAGCTAAATCCCCAACCCGACAAGTACTATTTCTATTAATAAAGAAAAGGAAGGCTGGGCGGTGGTGGTGCTTTTAATCTTTTAATCCCAGCACTCGGGAGGCAGAGCCAGGAGGACCTCTGAGTTCTAGGCCAACCTGGTCTACAGAGTGAGTTCCAGGACAGGCTCCAAAACTACACAGAGAAACCCTGTCTCAGAAATAAAGGGGGGGGGGGGGGGGAGGCTGGGTTGTAGTTCAGCTGTTAGAGTCCTTGCCTACCATGCATGAGGCTTAGGGTTCAGTTCCCAGCATTGCAGAAACAGCATGGTAGTATATGCCTGTATCCCAGCACTTAGGAGGTCGAGGCAGGAGAGTCCAGAGCTCAAAGCCATCCTTGACTATTGGGACTTCAAGGCCAGCACATAAACTGGTGAGCACATACTTGTAATCCCAAATATTTTCGAGGTGGAGGCAGAAAGAAGTTCAACGTCATCTTTGATACACAGGATTCTGAAGTGTGTGCCTTCTTGACTGTATAATCCTCACTCTAACCCTTAGCCTCTAATCCCTAACTTTAACCATAACCAGCCCCTCCCTCCTGCCCACAGTAAAGTATTAGCCTAGAGTGGCTACAGGGACTGAGGAAATGGTGTACACTGCATACCTGCTCCACAGGACCATCTGGAGTGGTCTAAGACTCAACACCACTCCAATGAGGAGTGGCAGAGTTAACCTGGCACCGAACACCAGAGTCTAAGGTGTTGAGTCGCTCCCTGGGAGGAAAGCTGCTGGGTCTCAAAGGAGCCTCCAGAATTGAAGCAGTGAATGTAGCTGAGCTGGGACGCACAGTTCTCACCCACAGGCCCCAGCCCCATATACCCTTAAAGCCTAAGGTTTTGCACTTTCAGATCCTAAACCAACCCCCAGGATGGGCCTTCATGCTGATTCGCAGAATTTGAATAATTTAGGGCCCAGCACCCTCCCTCGGGTGTCCATTTCAGTTGCTCTGTTCCCATGGGCACCGATACGTCAGCCCTGCAATTAAGCTAATAAAACGGTCAATGGAAGAAGGGCTGCTCTCCTGTGCCTCAGACCTCAGTGAGTGCTGATAGAGTTCTTGGCCCTGCTCTGCTGAAAGCAGCAGGCTCACTCAGAGACCAGGTACAGGGAATGGATTCGGGGTTGGGGGAGGGGAGCTGTAGGGGGTTACAGAGGAAGAAGCAAATTGAGACAGAGGTAAAAAAGGGCACTGGTCATACAGAAGGGCAGAAGCTGAGGCCAGAGAGGCTGGGAACAGCAGCAAGGGAGAAACCACAGATTCCAGGGGCCAGGTGTAGAATTGAGGGCAAGGAAAACAGGCTGGAAGGAAGACCTCAGGCTCTGATTCCCAGGTACTACACACATCAGCCAGCTGGACCTATTGTCCTACATCTGTCCTGAAAACTTGCCCACCCTCTGGCTGTGGTAGGGCCATGGAGACCAGGAGCCACCACCTCGGCCTGGGATTTCTGCTCCTGCTGTGTCTCCCTGCAGGTAGGAACCAACCCTCTTCTGACACTGCCGATGCTCCCGTCCACCTCAAACCTCCACCTGTCTTCACCTCCTCAGTGAGAACAAGCTGTCTGGGGAATGTGGAGGAGGGCATGCTGAAGAGAAAGAAGGGAGGCTTGCCTGATGAGATGGGGTGATGGTGGTGGGCGGTAACCATGTAAACACCTCTAACCCCAGTGCTGCAGGGACCTGAGCAGGAAGATTGCTGAAAAATGGCAAGATGTAATTTCAGTAAGAGACCCTGTCTCAAGAGAATAAGGTAGAAAGTGACAGCCAGACATCCAGTGCCCTCCTCTGGCTTCTATGCATATCTGAACACACACACACACACCCGACCACCAAAAGTGTGGGAGACCATGAACCAGGTGATAAGGCTCCAGGTGGGGGTGGAGGGTGCAGACAGCGGCCCCTGAACTGCAGTCAAAGTGGACAATCCCCCTCCTCCATCCTCCAGAATGCCTGGGAGCCGAGGGCAGACTGGCTCACAAGCTGTTTCGTGACCTGTTTGTCAACTATACAAATGCCCTGAGACCTGTGGCAGACACAGACCAGACTCTAAATGTAACCCTGGAGGTGACATTGTCTCAGATCATCGATATGGTATGATGTGGTAGTGGTATAGCTCTGGGATGTGGATCAAGGGAAGAAGGATCATCTAGTTATCCTTTTCCTATGTGTTAATATTAATGATGAAATAGCCATTTATTAATTCCTGTGTACGCATTGGTGGCCCAAGACTTTACACACTGGAATTTATTTAAATTTTTTTTAAGATTTATTTATTTTATGTATATGGTGCTCTACGTGCATATATACCTGCATGCTAGAAGAGGACATCAAATTCCATTATAGATGGCTGTGAGTCACCATGTGGTTGCTGGGAATTGAACTCAGGACCTCTGGAAGAACAGCCAGTGTTCTTAACCACTGAGCCATCTCACCAGCCCCCACACTGGAATTTATTAAACTCCCCTCTACCCAAGCAGGAGTTATCTGAGGGATGAACTGATGAAATGGAGACTTAAGAGCCCACCAAAGGCACACACGTTCAAGCCTGGGTGGGAATCAGGCTGTTAGAGCAAGCTGGGTTTGTGGGTACTCACCAGAGCCCCGTGTGCGTGCACGAAGAAGGCAGTGTGTGTATATATGCATGTCCATTGCCTGTCGCTGCTAGGACGAACGGAACCAGGTGCTGACCTTATACCTGTGGATCAGGCAGGAGTGGACAGATGCCTACCTACACTGGGACCCCAAAGCCTATGGTGACTTGGATGCAATCCGCATTCCCAGCAGTCTAGTGTGGCGGCCAGACATCGTACTCTACAACAAGTATTGCCTGTCTGCTCCCCTTCTCCTCTTTAGAGTTGCCCATCTGCCCTTGACATGCACTGAGTCCCCTCCCAACACCTAATAGAGTTGCTAAGATGCCTTGGAAACTTGCCCCTAGGGCCATCTGTAAGGAGCTCTTCACCTCTCATGGTGCACTTTCAGTTTTCTCAGGCCGGCTCAAGCTGGGTGTTGGCAAGTTGAGAACCCGCGATGTAGTCCAAGCCAGTTGTAGCTCTCAAAGAGAACCGTCTTGAGACCAAGTGCTTCTCTGTGGCAGGTCCACCCTTCCAGGCTCAGGGGTCGCTGGAGATCTCACCAGCCTACGGCCTAGTCTTTGGGGGTACTCCTTTATGCCATCTTTAGGTTCTTTCCGTCTCCTAGACAGTACATAGCATTGTGCATCTTTCTGGGTCCCTCTAATGAGTTTTATAGATGACTCCCTAGGTCACTGTGAGGCTCAATTCCACCTCTGGTTTGCAGAGGCTTTTTATACTCTGCTCCCGGCCCTTCCAAGTCCTTGGCTGCCTCCTCTAGACCTTAAGATTGAAGTGAGTTTAGTAAGCCTAATGAGGCTCACTTCACAGTGCTGCCCTAGACACTAAAGCCTGACTAGTGACAATAGATCCACCCTGTTCGTGGTCCCCGGTAAATCCTGTCCTGCCTGTCCACAGGGCAGACACGCAGCCACCAGCCTCGGCCAGCACCAACGTGGTTGTACGGCACGATGGCGCCGTGCGCTGGGATGCACCAGCCATCACACGCAGTTCGTGCCGTGTGGACGTGTCTGCCTTCCCGTTCGACGCGCAGCGCTGCGGCCTGACCTTCGGCTCATGGACGCACGGCGGGCACCAGCTGGACGTGCGACCCCGGGGCGCGTCTGCCAGTCTGGCCGACTTCGTGGAGAACGTTGAGTGGCGCGTGCTGGGCATGCCGGCGCGCAGGCGCGTGCTCACCTATGGCTGCTGCTCTGAGCCCTACCCGGATGTGACCTTCACGCTGCTACTGCGCCGCCGCGCTGCCGCCTATGTGTGCAACCTGCTGCTGCCCTGTGTGTTCATCTCCCTGCTGGCGCCACTGGCCTTCCACCTGCCCGCTGACTCCGGGGAAAAGGTGTCTCTGGGCGTCACCGTGCTCCTGGCCCTCACCGTCTTCCAGCTGATTCTGGCCGAGAGCATGCCGCCTGCAGAGAGCGTGCCACTCATCGGTGAGCCTGAGAGCATGGGGGAATGGACACTGAGCCAGCAGAGTGACAGCTGCAGGGGGTGAGAGAGGGGGCAAAGAGTAGACCTATCTGAGAGAACACCCCTCACCGCTAGGGGCGCGAAGGAGCCTTGGTGGAGGAAGATCTGGTCCCCATCTCATAATAAACAAACTGTAGTGAGTGATGACTGTATGCCTGGTATTCTCCTGTGCACCTGACATTTGTTCACTCACAGGAGTATCACTATGAACCCATGAATAACCAATAGGTTATTCCAGGTGTACAGAAAGGATCAGTACCTGTTCAGCTTACAACCATAATCTGACCCCCTCCCCCCCCCCCCAAGCAGGGAAAATAATTAGGTAGCAGATATCTTCAGAACCCTAATAGGAATGAGGAGAGGGGAGAACTTAACTCTTATCTATGTCCTTCCCCTCATTGGATTTGAGGGCCTGGTGCTGGCCTTCTATTTGTGATGAGGCAGCTGGGAAGCTCAACAGTCTTCATTTCTTGTTTGGGGCTCACAATGTTCTCTGTCCCACAGGGAAGTACTACATGGCCACCATGACCATGGTCACGTTCTCCACAGCACTCACCATCCTCATCATGAATCTGCATTACTGTGGTCCTAGTGCACATCCAGTGCCTGCCTGGGCGCGGGTCCTCCTGCTGGGACACCTGGCCAGAGGACTGTGTGTGCGGGAACGAGGGGAGCCCTGTGGGCAGTCCCGGCCACTAGAATCAGCCCCCAGCCTCCAGCCTCCAGCTGGTCTCCCAGAGGGGCCTTGTCATGAGCCACGGTGTCTATGCCATCAGGAAGCCCTTCTGCATCATGTGGCTTCCATTGCCAGCACCTTCCACAGCCACCGGGCTGCCCAGCGCTGCCATGAAGACTGGAAGCGCCTGGCTCGAGTGATGGACCGCTTTTTCCTGGGCATCTTCTTCTGCATGGCTCTGGTCATGAGCCTCCTGGTACTGGTACAAGCCCTGTGAGGGCCAAGAACTGGATCTCAGGGAGCTGTGGTCACCTCAACACTACCAGGCAGGAATGACAAAAGCCAGGTGGTTGTTGGTATTCAGATAGGCTAGCTAGTCTCTCCCCAGAGTCAGGAACACCTCTTCAGGACCAGCGCTTCTGACCTCACAGTCCACAAACAGCCTTTGTGAGCTACCTGTCCTAACTAAGGAGGATCCAAAGCCTGTTTCTCCCTTAATTCCAATGTGATTAAGGTCAAAGTACAGACTTGGAGAATAAGACTCAATGTCAGTTGAGCAAGCTGGTGCTCTCCTGTAATTCCAGCACGTGGAGGCTGAGATAGGAGGATTGCCATAAGTTCAAGGACAGCCTGAGCTCCAGGATATTTTATCTAAAAAATAAATAACCATCTGTGTCTACACTTGGAATGATAGTTATTAGCTGGGAGAATCCATGTTATTTTTATTTTGTTGAGACAGTCTCACGATGTACCCCCTGCTGGCCTGGAACTTGCTGTGTAGCCCAGGCTGGCCTTGAACTCACATAGACCCACCTGCCTCTGCCTCTCCGAAGGCAGGTGCCCGCAGGTGCTACCGCTCCTGGCTAGAGTGTAAGTTACTGACTGAAGGGACAAAGCTGCACATTTGCTCTCATCCGTAGCAGCTGCTCTCACAGCTCCTCATCTTGTTTATCTCTGCTAAGGCTCTCGGGAAGGAAATTCACTGTCTAGTTCGTTTCCAGAACAGAAAGTAGTGCAGAGTTTTGTCTCAGAGCTTCAATCCATAATAAAGGAGAGTGGGCCCAGCACCTCCTCTGTGTCCTGTCTTCTCCTTGGGGCCACATCCAGAAGTTGGGGATCCAGGTTTGTCTTTATAGATAGGAATCTCAGGATTCACAGATCAATGCAAAAATTATATCTTTTTAAAAATCACATTTATTTGTTTTATTGTGTGTGTGTGTGCGCGTGCTTGTGCACCAGGGTACATTTGTGGAGGTCAGAGAACAATGTAGGTAGTTGGTTCTTTCCCTCTGCTATATGGGACCCAGGGATCAAACTCAAGTTATCAGGTTTAGTGACAAGTACCCTTTTTTTTCCGCCAGCCTAGAAATTACCTTTCCGGTAACAATAGCAGAAAAAAAAAAATCGGCCTTTCACAGGACCCTGAAAGAGGGCCTAAAACTTTCTCCTGCTGTCCATCCTTATAGCTAGACACAGCCACCCTGTTCTCACACACTGACATTAGAGATCTTAAAAGTGGCCCAGGTGAGCGTAGTGCAGGGATCACCACTCACAGGATTGGTTGCTTTCTCGCTGTCATACAGCTTCTGGCACTTTCTTTGTGCCTTCTTCCCAGTCCTTACCCATAAGAGGTTCACAGCCTGACCTGGGAAATACTCAGGGACCAATGGAAACGGAGAGAGAGGCAAGTACTCTAACCTAGCCAGGTGGCAGAAAAGTGAACAAGAACTTTCCAGGTAGACTTGGGAGTCATTTAAGTGACCCTGCATGTCCCATGGCCAAGTGCTCTCCCCCATCATCTCCCACTCACAATGAGTTGAAGTCTTCTGGCTCCAAATGAGTCTGTGCCTGTCCCAGAGTCCTCTGACTTCCAGTCAATTCTCCTCCTGCAGCCCTGAGCAAGGTTCAGTCTCCAAATTCTCTTCTGTGTCTCCACCGGCAATGGGTCTGGAAGGTCATTACCATAGAAGGTCCCAGAGTTCCCCGCAGATAGACTGATTCACCAGGATCCTGCTATAGTTAAAGCGCACAGGTGACCAACATTCTTCAGGCAGGGCCAGTCAACATCTGGTAGGTCACAGGAGGCCTGTATTCTCTGGAAGAGTCATCAGCACAAGGAACCAGAGCAATAGCAGGCCCGAACAGGAGGTGGAGATGAAGCCCGGGGCTAAGGGAGGAAAAGAGATTTAGGAGCAGTGTGAGGACATGGAGGTGAAAGGCAGAGTGAGCTGGAAAGACTAACCCCCAAAGTGCAACAAGAGACAGGGATAAGAGACCAGTGAGGGCCACAGTCTCCCATTCAGAGACCAATCAGCTCTAACCCCACCACCTCTGACACAAAGGAGCCACTACACTGCACTGTGGATAAGCCTCGAGAGCAGAGATCTGAGAGACATCTAGTGATGTTGAAACTGGCTTCTCCATCCATGCCCCGGTCGGAGTAGTGATGGGTGGGAATGTGGAGGCAAAACTTCTAAACTTTCCCAAGGCTCAAATTATGCACCATCTGAATGTAGAGGCCCAAGTGGGATACAGTGGTCTGCTTGGCCAGCATCCTAGCACCCAGGAGGCAAAGGCAAGAGAATGGCCCATTTGAGGCCAGCCTGAACTGCACATGAGTTCTAGGACAACCTGGGCTACAAAGCAAACTCCCCTGTCTCAAAAACAAAACAGAAGGCCTGGTTTGAAGTTGGAGACTCAGCTTCTGGTCACTCTGCTGCCTTGGCCAAGTCTCTGGTCTCACTTTGCTACATGAGGACAGTATCCCAGGTTTTACCAGTAGACTGCTGTGTGGCTGGGGGTAGGGATTGTCATAGTGGGCACTTGGCAGTTCACCTCTGCGGCCAGGCGACAGACACGATTGCTCACTAGCTGTTTGGTGAGGGATTGGTTGCTGCTTTCTGACCTCTGTAAAAGCGGCTGATGCTGAACAAGGTGGTACACGCCTTTAATCCCAGCACTTGGGAGACCGAGGCAGGTGGATCTCTGTGAGTTCCAGGCCAACCTGGTCTACAGAGTGAGTTCCAGACCAGCCATGGCAGCACCGAGAAACCCACTCTGGGAAATAAATAGTAATAAACTGTACCAGTGCCGTTGAACTCTGCTGAGGATTCATGGTGTAAAGAGCCGGAACTCCTAGAACAATTATGTCAGGGAAAGTGGAAGGAACAGAGGCTGTGACTGTCTTTCCTGCCTACTGGTTACCGATCCTAGAAGGAGGGAGCATTGGGGATGGAGCAGGAAGTGTGGCTGGGAGCTGTGAGGGGATTGGGGGGGGGGGGCAGTTAATTCTTCTTTGGAAGTGGCCTCTTCCCACCTAAATGAGCAGTGGCCCAGGTAAGCCCTGGCACAGCAGGTGTATAAGAGAAGACCCACAGCTGAAAGGGATACAGGTGTCTTTTGATCCTACTTGCTTATTACAAATTAGGAAACTGAGGCACAGGGAAAGAATCGTTAAGTCCGAGCCCAGACTAGAGTACAGTCACGCTGCATCCAAGAGTTGGCTTTGACCGTGGAAAGCAGGTCTGAAGGAGCCCGAGGGCAGTAACAGGGACACTGGGTTTGCAACCAAAGAAAAAGCCCCAAGGGAGAACACTGCAGGGAACCGCCTCGCAGCCTGAAACAGGGCCTGACAGTGGCCCTCCTCTGAGAGGTTCAGATGCTGCCAGAGCCACACACACACATACACATCCTCTACCAGGGTCAGCGATTCCCTTCTTAGGTAAAGAGGTGGGTTTATAAGAATAAGAGGGGAGTCTAGAGAGGGTCCAGTCCTGGGACAGCCTGCTCAAACGACTTCATCTCTTACCTGAGCTATCCAACCAGCAGGGCCCAGATCTGCACTTCTTTTCTGAAAGGAAGAATGTGGAATCAATGCTTCAGTAGCTCTCTGGCTGCAAAGGACCCTCAGAGCTCTGATGATCCAATCTTGATTCTCTGTAGTCCTGCTCCCTTAGGGAGGACCTCCCTAGATCACATTCACTTGACCTGAGTCCTGAGGACAGAAGGGAGGCAGCCATGGAAGCCAGGATCTCGTTCTGGCGCGCTCCTGCACTCTGGCCTCCTCACCGCACTCCCAACTCACTTTCCTGTGCCCTGGCCCAGACAGGGAGGCGCTGGTTTGTGTTCTTGGCCTGCTTTCCTCATGGCTCCTGATGCCGTTCAAAGTCGGAACTGAGCCACATTGTGCCTCCTCCCATTTCTGCCATGGTCACCGTGCAGGTCAACTGTCTGCCTCTTAACTATGAAAGTGAGGTCTCACTGAGCTAGGAGCAGTAGTCCACAGCCCACCAGGGGTTCAGAACAGGTCCTCCTTGTTGTTCTTCCTCTGGCTTGACAATGGACCGAGCAGATGGAGGAGGAACAGCTGACATGCTCCTGACCACAGGTTGGCACAGGTAAACTGGAACTTAGAGGCACAACACTGACCTGCTATTTCGCTCCCCACCCCTGCCCAGCATAGGCTACTGCATATAATTCCCATTCTATCTAGTAAAATTGTAGCTCTCAAAAACTGAGCTTGGGACTTTTGCTCAATTATGTTTCTTAAACTTTGTTATTAGCGTGTGAGAGATGGGGGAGGAGTGCTTCCTAGGGTATGTGGAGGTCAGAGAAAAGCCTGTGGAGTCAGTTCTCTCCTTCAGTCTTTATACAGGTTCTGAGGACTGAACTGGAGACGTCAGGCTTGCGGGGCCAAACTCCACCGGCCGAGCCATCGACGTGTTCCCCCTTTACTTAGTTCTGTCAACAAATGCCTTGGTGTCAATACTGTGACTGCAAAATAATTCCTTTCCAGCTTCCAGCTGGGACAACAGCCTGATTCAAGTGTGCCTGTCCTTTCAAAGGCCCTGGCCGCCTCTCCTCCATTCCTGCATGTGTCTGTTCCCAGCACCCCTCCCAACTCCCATCGCCTTTATTGCCTGCTGAGCGCTGGTATCACAGGTGTGAGCCACCACGCGCTTGAGCCTTTTATCATTTATGTATGAATCCCTTGGCTGGAGTAGGGGTTGGGGTTTAGAGTTGCCAAAGCTCCTGGCAGATACGGGAAGCCCATCTTTTTGTAGGACCGTCTGGCCTTGCTCATTCCTCACCTTTGATGTATTCGCAGTTGTATGTGCTACGTTTGCCCAGAGCGCGGAGATAGATGCGTGCGGGACCCTGGGCAGGTCGGCTGGAGTTGATCACCTGGAAAGTCTCAAAAGGGGGGATCAGCACCTCCTCCTCTCCAGGGAAAAAGGAGTAACCCCTGATCGGGGCTCCGAGGCAGGTCCAGATACCAAAGAAGGTGTCCTCGCCAAATTGCTGGGCGGCAACGTTCTTGAGGGACGCGGAAGCAAAGCCTCCCAGCCTAACGGTGGCGCCGGGCCCCGCTGGCCGGAAGCGCAGGCCATGCACCCCCCTGTACACCTGCCGGCACCCGCGAGATCGCTGGCTCCCGAGCAGCTGCAGGGCCTCGGTAAGCAGGAAGTGGAGGGTCTTGAAGGAGAAGCGGTGGAGGTAGTGTGCCCGGGAGCGGCCCGCCTCGCGCACAGCCGCGTTGAACTCCTTGTGCAGGGGGCTGTTGGCCGTGTAGGCCAGGAGCGCCACCCCGTGCTCATCTCGGAAGCCCGGGGGTGGAGGGGGCAAGGGGGTTGAGCTGAGGCCCCACGTTGACCCCCAGGCCGTGCGCTCCTGCCATTGGGTGTTGGCCAGAGTCCAACCATCCGCATACACTTTGTTGGCCTGGAACTCTGAGTGGTTGAGATCTGGCAGAGCTGCTGCCATGTCTGCTGCACAGCCAGCATACTGGTCGTCAAAGGACGCTGGGGCCATGTCCAGGGGTGTTTCTTGAGAAAAGATGTCTAGTTGTGTGATGGAGTGACTTTGAACCTGAGGGTAGGGGAGCATAAGGACTGAGAAGGTGGTTGGTCCCTAGGAAAATGGGAACCCAGTCATCAGCGTTCCCCTGATCTGAGAAAGGGCCTGACTACCGAGAAAGGCAGAAAGAACCCCAAACACATCCGGAGGGGAAGGGGGTTGGGAACCACCAGCTGCAAACTCCCCAGACTAGGTTTTCAGGAGTCGCCTAGGAGGGGACAGATGGGTTCCCAGGGACACTGGACATCCTTCCCTCTGCTTCCCTTCCTACTAGACATGGAGCTGGTGGATGATGACCATACCTGAAGTCCATCCCTGAGGCCCACAGACACCAGTAGGAGAGACATCATGGCTGGAATCTTCATGTTGGAAGTGACCCTGGGGAAGCTGCCGTCTCTTGTTCCTCATCAGGAAAATCGGGATGTTAATCTCTACCCCTTAGTAAACATTAGCTGACAGAGGGGTAGAGGACTCACACAGCCTCCGGCTCCCCTGAGGGTGGTTACACTGACCCACAGTGGCTCTAAGAAGGAGGCCCGACCTCGGGTCAGGACAGGAGCAGCCATCTCTAAATCAAGGCTGGGGCTGCATTGCATGGGACTGCATTGCGTGCTGTCCCTTTTCTGTCTGTCTGTCTATGTCTGTTTGTTTTAAACAGGGTTTCACATATCCATGCTGACCTGGAACTGGGTCCTGAAACAAAGATGACCTTTAATCTTTGACCCTCCTGCTTCCACCTCCTAAATGCAGGCATAACGGATATGAGCTACCTACTTATTTTACTAGAGTAAGACAGACGTGTTTTATTACAACATAATGCTTGTTGTAAGAAGGTGAGTGTGTGAAAGATAGTCTCCTTTTTCCCTTCTCTCTGTTTACCCCATTCCAGCCTTACACACTCCTGCCCATGGAAGGAGTGGCCAGTGATATAATATGTCTTCCAATGCCTTTCTCAGAAAATATTTGAACAGTATAATTAACTGTTTCCTTTCAATGCTGGAGGTCAAACCCAGAGCCTTGTGTATGCTAGACAAGCACTCTCCCATTGAGCCTCTGAATAGTATAATATTAAATATATGTACACAGATCACACCCCCACACCCCCACACATACACACGATGTTCTATATGCAGTGTCTTAGATTTGTTGTCCTTTTTTTTTTCCAAAGAAAAAATGCTTACATATACACATCCTGTCAATATATCCTTTTGAGGAACAATTCGTCAGGGATTCCTTCCAAGTCAGCACCCTCACATCTACCTTTGTCATTACGATAGTCACATGATGTGTTTCATGGGCTAGTCAAACCATTGAATGGGCACATGGATTTTTTTTTTTATAATGTTCGGTTTGCTTTGAGGCAGGATCTGACCCTGTAGTCCAGGCCAACCTTAAACTCACTCTGTGTCCCAGGCTGGCGCCTGTGAGCATGTCGGTTGGTTACACTCAGCATAACGCCACTTCCAAGTGATCTGCCAACCTCGGCTTCCTGAGTGCTGGGATGACAGGCGTGCCCCCGTGCCTGGCCTGCTGATGGCTTTCCAGTGTTCGTTGACGTGGTCTGGAAATCTATGTACACTGATGTTGCCATCACCGCTCCGAAAGTTACCTTTTGTACTTTATTGTCATCTACCCTGTGCTACTGCCAGTACCTGGCACAGTCAGGAAGGAAATGGAAACGAATGTGCTTCAGAGAAAGGGTGGACATGGTGGTGCAACCTGTAACGCCAGCACGTGAGAGGCCGAGGCAGGAGGATGGTGGGCCCAAGGCCATCCTGGGACTCCATGAGGCCCTATCTCAAAAACAAAAATAAAACCCCCAGAAGAGCTGGGCAGTGGTGGCGCACGCCTTTAATCCCAGCACTCGGGAGGCAGAGCCAGGCAGATCTCTGTGAGTTCAAGGCCAGCCTGGGCTACAGAGCGAGATCCAGGATAGGCACCAAAACTACACAGGGAAATCCTGTCTCCAAAAAAACAAAAACAAAAAAAACCCAGAAGAGTAATTTGCATCATTGATGTGGAAGTCAGGCAGAGATGAGATCCCAGGGAGGATGGGCTGAAGAAACCAAGAGAAGCTGGAGAGTGAGCCTAGGCTTAGGAAGAGCCAGGCTCTGGGGTTTCATGAGGCATTTTGCTTCTGGCCCTCAGGCTCAGTGAGAGCCCTGGAACTCTTTGATATCACCCTTTAGGCTTCATCCAGCTCGGGATAACTCCTGTGATCGTGCCAGCAGAAGACACTCGTGTGGTACCCTATCTCTATTAGCATCCAGCCTCTCAGGATGGTCACCTGGGAATCCTTTCATTCAATCATCCATCACACTTGACTGCAGTTGCCAGCTCATGTTAAGTCCGAGTTGCCTCCTGGATTCTCCCTCCCTGCTTTGTGGAGGCCCACATCCCTGCCCTGCTTAATTTTGTCTGTCTCTTCCTTAGAAGATCTCCCTGTCTCCTTGCTAGTGCATTCACCATGGAGCAGGGGAGAACAATGTCTCTAAAGTACAGCCCTGCTGACCACCTTTACCTGCTTAAAAACCTTCTGTGTGGGAGTGGGGAGAGAGCTTAGCGGTTAAAAGGGTAGACTGCTCTTGCAGAGGACATGAGTTCAATTCCTAGCATCCACACTGGGGTGGCTCATGACTGACTAGAACTCTGACTGTAGAAGGATCTGATGCTTCTGGCTTTGGTGGGTACCTGCTCTCAGGTACACATACTCACTTACAGACACACAAATATACACATAATTAAAAATAAAAATAAAATATTAAAAAAAATCTTCTGCACTAAAACTGACTGGAAGAAATATCTCAAAATACTGAGAAAAAAAGTGCAAAATTGAGAATTATGAGAGAAAAGATGATAAAATATCCTTTTTGTTGTTGTTTTGTTTTTTCAAGACAGAGTTTCACTGTGTAGCCTGGCTGTCTTGGAACTCACTCTGTAGACCAGGCTGGCCTCAGACTCAGAGATCCACCTGCCTCTGCCACCCCTGCCCAGCCATTTTTTAAATCTTAAAAAAAGAAAAGAAAAGAAAAAGAAAAAAGGAGAGGCTTATCATCATGCATAAGGCCCTGTGTTTGATTCCCAGGACCTCCTAGAAGACAAGCATGCCAGCACATGCCAGAAATTCCAGGTCTCAGGAGGTCGAGAGGGAGGATCAGGAGCTCAAGGCTGCACAGTGAGTTCCAGGCCAGCCTGGAATACATAAGACCCTGTCTCAATACAAAGCAGCAAAATGAAATAAAGACATCCCTCTACCCACTCATGACAGCCCAACTGTATTCTGCCTTTGGATCTGCTCAGTGACCTTGCCCCTGGGAACTTTTTAGTCCCTTCTTGGCTCCTACAGTACAGGAGCCAAGGAGGAACAGAGTGAGGTGCTACTGTCCCCCTACCCTCAGCTATCCTCTGGCCACCCACTCTTCCAGGCTTAGCTAAGGGCTCCCCTCTTTCAGAAAGCTCCCAGAATCCTCTGGGCTACACATCATTCTGTGTGGCCCTCTCCTGAGCCTACTCCCACAACTCCTGGCCGGTGCAGGAACCAGCAATAGCCCATTCCGTGTCCCCAGGGCTTAGCCCAGGACCAGGCAGCGTCACCAGACTGCTTGCTGAGAGTCTTGTTAAGGAGGGAAAATCTACCCAAATATCACAGCTTCCAGTGGCCCTGTGGATGCCAGATGTGTGACTGGGCTGGTATGGAAAGACCGGCAGCCATCTTCCCCCGTGGGTCGGGCTCTGTCACCCTGCATGCATTTGTGTGGATCACCTCTTGGGTAGGGCTTCTGCCCTCCTCTCTCAGAGGTTACATAGCAGTTTACTGTAGCCACAGGTCCCACAGCTTCAGCTACTGAGCCCTCCAGTCGTTCAGGCAAGATGATAACCCCAGTCAGGCATCCTGGGAAATCAGTGGAAGCCAGCCTCTTCCCTTGTAAGGACAGCCGCACCTTATCTGTCAGCGCCGCTAAAGCTAGCCCGTGTCACACACACCCTCTACAGTTGGCTCCGTCTTCTTTCTATTCTGTCTGTGATGAAAGACCCCCCAAGGCTCTGATAAACAAGGCCAAGGGGCTTTCTGAGCATTGCCAACAAGACAGAGCACCTCAGAGTAAGTAGATTGCTGTCCTTGGTGACCAGTGGGGGGCGGGGGCAGCAGGGATTGTTCTGGGACACCGGCAATTCCCTCTTCCCATTTTTTGTCTTTTTGAGACAAGATCTTGTTAGGTAGCCCAGGCTGGCCTCTAACTTAGTCTCTGGCATGAGAGAGCTGAATCCAGCTTGGGAATCCCTTTTCACAGCTGTGAGGGAGCTGCACTTACCTTCATTCTGTGACCTACCGTCCTCAGTTTCTCTCTCTTCCCTCACTCAGCAGTCCCTTCTGGGAATATGACCCCAAGTCTCTTCTCAAAACCCCCAAACCTTCCTAGGTGTCCTCAACCATCCCATCCAAGGATCCCTAACACCTTACCAATACCCTAAATTTAATACCAGAAAGTCCCTTCAGCTTCCTAGGCAGGGAGGTGAGGTGCCCTTACCTAACCTTCTCCACGGTGGGCAAAGCTGGTCTCGTCTCCCGTGATAGGCAGACAGGGAGGTAGCTTTCTCTTTTATACTGTCAGTTCCCTACCCCTCCTGCGTCCCCACACAGCTGCTCAGAAATGTGACACTCCCCCGTCTATTTCAAGCTCTCTCAAGGCTCAGGGACACTAGCCTCTGCCCAATGTGACCTGGACTAACGTTCTTCCCATGACAATGAGAGCTGCTAAACACAGGGCAGACAGGATAGCAGCCTCCTCACCAGACTGTACCTTCAGGCATCTCCGTTCATTTTTTTTCCCTATTATTATTATTGCTTTCTTTCACAATGTCCAGGCTGGCCTCGAACTTGAATCGATGCTTTTGCCTCCGCCTCCCTCCTGGATGCTGGGATTATAGGCATGTGCCACCATCTCAAGCTTTGTTCTGTTCTAAGGAGCCTAGGTTCCAGCTGGATCCCTGACCCACCATGTGACCTGGGAGGACTTTCTGCCCCTCTCAGGATCCCTGGCCCATTACCAGATTTGACTCCACTTTTTGGGACCTTGTTGGCGCTCCAGGTGCTGGGGTGTAAGAAACTCCCCAAGCCAGAGGCTGTCCCCACACAGTATTTGCTGTCCCTGCAACTACCAGTACTTGAATCCTCCAGAGAGAGGAAGGGTGGGCTAGGTAGGCAAGGGTGTTAATGCTCTTCCACTTCCCAACCCAGCCTTCCCACCACAGGGACAGTCTGTTTTCCTCTTTAGTCATCAAGAAGGAATGGAGAACACAGGCTTTTAGGTGAAGGAAACTTTATTTGGCTGACAATCCGAGGTGGTGAAGGGATGGTGATTGTGTAAACTCATGAGCTGGACCCGAGAGGCCCTTGGCAGGTTTCACAGGGCATGCTTACCCTAGCCCCAGCAGGTGGCATCTCTTAAGCCCTAATGTTCAGAACATATGCCCTCCACCTTCCCATAAACTGGCCCCTTCTCCCATTACCTCCAACTGGGCATCTGAAATTCAGAACTGGGTTATTTATAGTCAAGCCCAGGGGAGGCGTGAGAGAGAGAGCTGTGTTTACAAACACAGGGTCACCTGAACCCAGAGGTCCAGAAGGCAGCTAGCGCTTCCTTCTACCCTTCCCTACAGACCAGGGTAGGGAGACAGGGTGTTAAGAGCAGGGAAGGAAGTGGGCGTAGGGGGTCTTTGATGCTGGTGCACGTGACCCAACGTGTGTCGTATGCAAATTGTATGCAAATAAGACAGATTTGGCCACTTAACATGATGTACAAGGAGCGACCCTCGCGGGGTTTCGTGGCCTGGTGGTCGGGTGCCCTGGCCCTGGCCAGGTCCCAGGGCCACCGGAGGAAGGGCCAAGTCTTACAAGTCCCTCCTTCAGCCTTGACCTAGCTCTGATCTTACAGAAAGAAACTGTCATCCAAGGGAAGGAGAGTTTTGCCCCTCAACCACTCAAGGACTCTGCCAGTCCAGCTCCCACGCCCCTGTCTGTTGTTGGGGAAGATAGGTGTCGGGTTACCAGTCCAGGGGCTATAGTTAGCCGCGGGGACTTTGTTCGGCAGTCCGGGATCTGCGCAGCGCCTGCTGCCCGCACCTCAGCCCTAGTCTGCCGCAAAAAGGACCAGAGCCCTAGGCCACTCTCGCCTCCGCCACCTCCAGGTAGGTCCTCGTCCCCGCCCCGCCCCTCTCCAGGCGGAGCCATATAACTGCCCCACCTATACCATCGCAAAGAAGTCCTGGAGAGCCTGGGTGAGGGGCCGCCTAGTAGCGATAGACTAGGGCTTGAGATGGGGACAGTAAAGTCCGAAGCCCTGCCTATGCTTAGACTTGTCCTTGGTCCCGCCCCATATCACTTTTGAATTCCAGTCCTTAACTAAGGACCCTCTCAGGGTGCAGGAGGAAGGTCCTGGAGCCCATCCAAGCCAGCACCCCGTCTCCACTGGCCTCATTATTATCTGGATCCTGCCATCACAGGACTCCTCCAAGGATGATTCTGGAGGATCTGCTGATGGTCCTCAGTTGCCTCGGCCTGCACACCCTTTGGAAGGTAACTCTCGGAACTATCCTTTGCCAATAAGGGTCAGTTGTGGGTCAGACGCTGAGAAGGTGGTGGCAGAGGACCCATCAGGGAAACCCTCCTAGGCGACTCTCCCCTTCTCCCAATCCTCTTCTCGGGAACTTCTGCACCATTAGGGAGCCCGAGTGCCTCATCTCTCTCCCAGATCTCCACCTCCCTGCACCCCTAGCTCCCTGTGCGATTCTCTCTGTGCTACCCCTCCATAGGGGCTGCCTTCATCTTTCTCCTTCCCATTTCTCATCTCACACCACAGACAAATCCCTGTACACACCAGTGTGCTGCTGTACACTCTGGCAGACCCTGAAAACCGGGCTTCACCCCCGCCCCCAGCACACTCTGGGACTAAGGTTAAGCTGGGGACTATAAACTCCCACACACCCCACCTTGAGCTTAGAATAACATCTAAAGCAGGAGAGCATGCAGGAATCTCAGAGCTGACAGTGATGTATACTGAGTGCAGGGCTTCCCCAAGGGTAAGAAATAGCTGAGGAAGAGGGGGACCAGGGCAGGGGCCAGACACTGGCTGCAGTTTACTGCCTGCATACCGACAATCAGAGCCAGGAAAGACAGGAACCAACCACACACGCCCCTGGAAAGATGAGATGGCACCCTTTAGGCTGAGCCACAATGATCTTTATGTTCTCCTCACAATAACCCTGTGAGGTTTGGAAGTACCCTTAATTCATAGGAGAATGTGGAATCCAGGAAAGCCCTGACCTGAGACTAACTCGAGATCCCACAGCTAGCAGGTGGTGTTTCAACTCATGTCTGTCCGACTCCACTGCCTGTGGTTATCTGTGCCTCTTTGGGATCTTGCCACTTGCATGCATCAGATGTTTGGGCATAGAAACGAAAACCTGTGATTCTGAACTGATCTGCCACCAGGACCCTTGGCCAGTGTCCTAAACTTACACTCTTGTCTATGTGGTGTCACCCTTCCTTATGTCCACAGGTCCAAGCTGTTCCGATCCTGCCCCTGAGCCTGGTTCCAGACACTTTCGATGATGCCTACGTGGGTTGCTCTGAGGAGATGGAGGAGAAAGCAGGCCTGCTGCTAAAGGAGGAGATGGCCCGCCATGCCCTGCTCCGGGAATCCTGGGAAGCAGCCCAAGAGGCCTGGGAACACCGGCGGCACACGCTCACTCTACCTCCTGGCTTCAAAGCCCAGCACGGAATAGCTATTATGGTGTACACCAACTCATCCAACACCTTGTACTGGGAGCTGAACCAGGCTGTGCGGACAGGGGGTGGCTCCCGGGAGCTCTACATGAGGCACTTCCCCTTCAAGGCCCTGCATTTCTACCTGACCCGGGCCCTGCAGCTGCTTCGGGGCACCCGAGGCTGCTATGGGGAAGATGGGGAGGTGGTGTTCCGAGGCGTGGGCAGCCTTCACTTTGAACCCAAGAGGCTGGGGGACTCTGTCCGGTTAGGACAGTTTGCCTCCAGCTCTCTGGATGAAACGGTGGCTCGTGGGTTTGGTAATGCCACTTTCTTCAATCTAAGGACTTGTTTTGGGGCTCTTATCCAGGCTTTGTCTGTCTTCCCTGAGGAGCGTGAGGTGCTGATCCCCCCACATGAAGTCTTCTTGGTCACTGGGTTCTTCCAGCATGGAGCCCAGAGCATAGTAACTCTCTGGAGTTATAATCAGACCTGCAGCCACTTTAACTGCGCCTATTTGGGTGGTGAGCGATGCATGGGCGGCAGAGAATGGCAGGGTGGGTGAAAGCCAGCATGTCCTGACCCAGGCCCCAGAGACTTCAGGAGAATCCATTCGTTAGCGAGACTGAGGTTCTGCCAGGTCCTGTGACCTGTGGACATTCAAGATCTGTGGATATTCTCAGATGACTATCTTCTCAAAAGGGCAGACCAAGGAACCGAGTGAAGGAGGCCAGTCTCAGTAGGCCCTGGTTTGATGGGGCGAACAGGACTGGACTATGCCAAGTCCAGTAGGGAGGCGGGAAGAGAATGGAAGAGTGATGGGGTGTGGGTAGGAGCAAGGATGGCTAGGCCATCTGGAAAGGTGACCTCGGGAAGAAGCTGAAAGGAAGTGAGTAGTCTGCTTTGAGGTGAAGGAGAAGACAGACAAAGGGGGATGGCCAGAGGCCATTTGGGACGAGAGTCGCCTCAGGGCCTTACTGTGCTATCTGTTGCAGGGGAGAAGAGGCATGGCTGTGTGTCCTCAACAGGTACGTCACCCTCTGGCCTGCTCTGTGGGCTGTTCAGCTCTCCTGGCCCTGCTGCCTACACCTCCTTCCCCTCTTCTTTCTCCAGCAGGAGGGCAGCCAGAGTCACCCTCCACAGAGGCCTTGGCTCTGCAATCAGGGAAGACGCTGCTCTTGGCCCCTGGGGAGTTGCAGCTCTCGAGAGCTGGACCCTGAAAGCCTCTTGGAGTCTTGGGAACTGATGACCTTTCCATGAAGACGGGGCTTTGCGTGGCCTCGAGAAGCACGAGTGTGGTTCTGGTTCTAGTGCAGTGGGCTACCTCTCCAACCAGGGTTGGAGACCTGAGGCCATGGCAGGGTTGAGGGAACCCCACTATGTGGTGGGGACTTCCTAGGACATGCAAGGTCAAGACTGGATGACTACTCAATTAAACGGAGTTGTGGTACAGCGACATGGGCTTTTATGACTGGTTTATTTCACGAGGTCATTTGTCCTTGGCAAGCTTGAAAGTCAGGGACTGAAAACTAACTTCCCGATCCTCTTGGTCAAACACTTGAACCTCTGCACCTGGAGCTTTTGAACAGCCAGAGGGGCCTCACAGCTGCCTTTAAGGCAGAATAGATGGACTCCCAGTCCTGTCGGTCGATGAGAAATCCAGGGCCAAGGAAGGGCACCACCTCCAGGCCTCCCAGGCCTCTCCAATCCAGGCCCCCTCACTTTCAGGCCTCCCCACTCTCAGCGCCCCCCCACACACTCTCAGGCCTCCTGTTTCCCTGGTCTCTTATCTCCCAGACCTCCAGCCTCCTAGGCCAGAACTCTTTCCACTAAAGACTTAAGGAACCCCAAAGTAGGATTCTGAACCCTAGAACCCAAAGCAAGCTGTTTCTGCCATTCTCACATAGGGTTCATTTTAGAGGGAAGTCAAAGAAGGGATCTTAGGACATCAAGAGATGGGGATTACTACCTGACTTCCACAGCCGAAATTTTACTGAGGCAAAGAAACACCGTGATCTTCTACTACGAGACCCTTGCTCTATCCAAGAAGGCTGCTGCACTCAGTGACAGAAGGGACCCTTCTGTTGTGTTAGGACTCACACTTGGTCTCCAGGCCTTCCTCCAGGGGCAGGTCCCCTGCCCCCTCTGCTTCCTGCTCCCTGTGCACCAGCACATGAGCAGGGGAGGAGTGGCTGGGCTCTCCAGACGCTGGAGTCTCAGCCTCTCCTATGGCATCAAGGCCAGCTTCTAAAGAGACCTCGGCCTCCACAATCCCTGGCACGGTCAGCTCTGCTGGGGTCTCAGGGGTGGGGGGGCCCAGATTCTGGAAGCTGTTGCGCACTCGGGTGATGTAGCGACTGAGGATGGAAGCGCCATCAGGAGGCCGCGGTGTCCCGCCTGCCGCCAGAGTCTTCTGCACGCTGGCCACCTCGCTTTGCAGTCGAGACACGGTCTTGGTCAGCTCTGTCAGTCTGGTGCCCAGGTCTGAGATAAATCAGGACAGAGAGGTCTTTCAGACGGTGAGCCTGTCAGCACCTCTTCTGTCTACCCCCACCCCACCCTACTGAACCCAGGACACCCTGTCTGGATCCTAAGGAAGCGCTGGAAGGACTGAGGGGTCAGGAGGGTAGAGAAGCTGTGCAGGTGAGTGTGAGCATTGATGAAGGGCAGCAACAAAGAAGGAAAGCCTTAGCTGGGCTTGGTGCAGGCCTGTGATCCCATCTAGTTGGGAGACTGAGGAAAGAAGATGGAGAGTGCAAAGCCAGCCTAGGCTTCAAAGTGAGTCCAAGACCAGTCTAGGAAACTTAGTAAGACAGGAAGGCAGAGTAACTGAGTCAAGGAGCTGGCTGGCAAGCTGTGGCGGTCTAGGGCAGAAAGGACGGGACTGAATCCTAACGCAACTGAGTCAGGAGGGTGCGTCTGGGTGTGGGGCGCTCTTCCCAGGAGAACCATGAACAGTAACGGGGGGAGGATTGGAGGTGGGAACTCCACCTTTCCTCCGGGCCTCCTCAAACTCGCGCCGGGCAGTCTCTATGTAGCGCTGCACCAGAGCCTTGATAACCCGAAGGCGGTAGGATCCACGTTCTCCTTCCCCAGGCCCTGCCCTTGCCCCAGGGTTGGTCTGCAATGGAAGACACAGTGAATTCTCTACTTCCTTCAACATCTCTCTTGACTAAGAATAAAGGAGAAAGGCAAAATCTATGCAAGCTTTCTGTCCCGGGATGTCTCCTACAGCGCAGTCCTGGGGGATAGACGGGAGCCATCTAGGCGAGGCAGACTGTGGGAGGAGAGGGTGTCCAGCGTGTGTGGTGAAGGCCGAGGTGGGAGTGGGGTGGGAAGGAAACCGGCAGCAGTGGCCCAAATTAGAAAATCTCTCATGCCCTGGGTTACAGTGCTGATGGTGGAGGTAGGTGAGCCCCTTGGATGCCCAGCTGCCTCTTTCTCCCTGTCAACCTGCTCATCCCCAGGAGGCTTTTTTCCATCCATATGCTGTTTAAATCACCCAAGCATGTCTTAGAGTCTGGTTGTCTGGAACTCAGGCTTGGGATGGAAGGGGCGTGGAATCATGTTTAGGCTGCAGGATGTGGGTGGGACTGGAAATGCAGGACCCAGCCAGAAGCAGGAAGATGAAAACAGAGGCTGTGTGTGAGAGTGGGAACTAGGGGCAGGCTCTCTGGGGACATACCAGTGGCTTAGGTAATACAGAGGCTGAGAAGGTACTCACAAAGGTTGGGATGGGGGGGTAGTCCGACTTCTTGGCTTTGCAGCAGGAGCAGCAACAGCAAACGAACCAGAAAATTCTCCTGAGAGATTACCATGGTGAAAAGAAGTTAGCCAGGGACAGGGCCTGGGACAGCGGGGCAGGAGCTGGGTCGTGTACAGGGGCAAGAGCGGAGGCCGTCACCTGACAAGGTAGAAGGCAGCCTTCGGGGAGGGCAGGATGTTGAAGGGCACAGGCAGCGTCAAGCCTTCTCGGAAGTAGGACAGGTAGAGCTTGGAGCGAGCAAACTTCCACTCCACATCAGCATCGTCCTGGGGACCACGAGGCAGGAGGCTATGCGAGGTCCATGCTGGCACTGGCCCCCTTGCCCACTCACCCTGTCTCTCTTTTGTCTTCCCATCCCTTGTTCTCCAGTGTGCCCACCACTTTCTTCTTGTTCTTATTCCTACCCCCATCGATCACCCACATTTTCCTGGAGCGCTTCCCCTTTCCCATTCTCTTTCTCTAATTTCCAGGTGCTGCTCAGTCTGTTCTCCAGTCTGCAAACTCAACCCAGCCACTTCCTTCTTGTGTTCCCACTTACTCCTCTACAATGCCTCCAAATGGCTGCCACCACCACCAACAACAACAACAAGAAAAGCTTCCAAGAGCGCTAGCCCTGGCTCCTGGCGACAGCAACAGCAGTCCTGAGACCCTTGTACAGAGGGAATTTGTCCAACCAGCAGCGGGAGCACAGCCGGTACCCGGGGGTCTTGGCACCCCATCCCTCCCTATCCTCCCCCCTCCTCCCTGGCCAGCCTGGCTCGGGTTACCCACCTCGATTTTCTGGAAGGAGTTGGTGATCATGGCAATGAGCATGTTGAGCAGCACAATGACCATGACAATGGTGAAAATGCCATACAGGGCTCGGCCCACGAACTCGGGCACCAGGAACTGAGGCATGTCCACCACTTTGTGCTCTTCCATGCCGAACATGGTCCAGAATAGAAACTGGAACGTTTCGTTGAAACTGGCGTGGTGGGGGCAAGCAAAAGGACAGGAAAGTGGGGGTAGGGTTGGGAGAGAAGCCTGGCTTCCACCCAGACACACTCCCCGCCCCTGAAGACTTAGCCAAAGGTGCTCTGTGTCCATGAGGCCTTTTGGGCTATGCTTAAAGACATGTGCATTTCTTAGCATTAACCTTTATTTAAAATTTTATTTTATTTTGTATATGTATATTTTATTTTGCATATATATACACACACATGTGTATATGTGTGCGTGTGTGAGTGTATGGAAGTGCACCATGTGTATGCAAGAGGCCGCAGAGGTCAGAAGAAGCAGTGGATCCCTGGAACTGGTAAAGTATATAAGTTTGAAAGAAATCAAAAGATAGTATTCGGTTGATGATACAAATTAGGATAGAAAGTGAATTAGGTACAACATTTTGGACTCACCAAAATAGGATAAAGAATGGAGTATTTTTTCTGAATCTGTCAAATGTTAATGGACTGGACATTGTTAATGTAATTCTTTTTTTTTTTTTTTTAATTTTCCAGAGCTGAGGACCGAACCCAGGGCCTTGTGCTTGCTAGGCAAGCGCTCTACCACTGAGCTAAATCCCCAACCCCTGTAATTCTTGACTATATATATTGTATATACTTATTGTACTTATTGTATTTACTTTTTCTTATATTAGTTATAACCTTCTTTTATTATTTTAGACAAAAAATGGGAAATGTAGTGATATATTATGTACTCTAATAAATTTACCTGAAGATCAGAGACAAAGGAATAAGCCACCTCTTACCTTGAGGACTCCTCAGCCTGAACAGCTTTCCTCCCCCGAAAGACTTTAGTTCCTGTCTCCTCACGCTTTATATACCTTTCTCTGCCCACCCACATCATTTCCTGTCTCAACCTTCCTAGTGCTGGGATTAAAGGTGTGTGACTCCCAAGTACTGGGATTTAAGTTGTGTGCCACCACTGCCTGGTTCTGTTTCTCTCCTAGACTGAGTCAATCTCATGTAGTCCAGGGTGGCTTTAAACTCACAGAGATCCGTCGATCTCTGTCTCCCAAGTGCTAGCATTAAAGGTGTGTGCCACCACTGCTTGGCTTCTATGTTTAATTCAGTGGCTTGTTCTGTTTTCTGATCTTCAGGCAAATTTATTAGGGTATACAATATATCACCACAAACTGAAGTTACAGATAGTCTGGTGCTGGGAGCCAACCCTGAGTCCTCTGTTGTAGCTAGTTTTCCCGCCAGTCCCACAGCCGCTCAGACCCGACCAAGTAAACACAGAGACTTATATCGCTTACAAACTGTATGGCCGTGGCAGGCTTCTTGCTAACTGTTCTTACAGTTTAAATTAATCCATTTCCATAAATCTATACCTTGCCACATGGCTCGTGGCTTACCGGCATCTTCACATGCTGTATGTCATGGTGGCGGCTGGCAGTGTCTCTCTGACTCAGCCTTCCACTTCCCAGCTTTATTCTCCTCCTTGTCCCGCCTATACTTCCTGCCTGGCCACTGGCCAATCAGTGATTTATTTATTGACCAATCAGCAACACACTTGACATACAGAACATCCCACAGCACTCTGTGAGAGTAGGAAACCCTTAACTCCTGAGCCACCTCTCCAACCCCTCCATCTGTATTCTTTTGGTCAGTCAGTATTTATGATCCAAGAGTAGTGACGGGGTGCTAAGGACACAGTGGTGTATAAGAAGCAGAACCCTGTCTTCAAGGCCCTTGTGTTCTGGGGAGGGTAAGGGTGAGGGTGGGATGGGAAGAAGAGAGAATGGCTTGTGAGAGGCTGTTGGGGACCACACAGATACAGGACCTAATCCAGTAGAACTAAAGACTCGACCATGACCTTCCAACCACTGGAATCTATGAAGAGTTCTGGACAAGGGGGGACACCTGAATTACATTTGGAAAGATCATGTTGGTTGCTGCGACTGCAAAGCAGAGAGCTAAAAGAGGAAGGTGTGAAGACAAGTTCCTGGGTGGGAGAGGATGTGTGGTGTGGAGCAGAGGCAGCAGCCCCGGTGACTCCTCTTCCAGGAAGCCCTTCCGATCTGCCTTTCCTACTGACCCCCAGCAGAATGTGCTCATCAAGTGCTCGCCGTCCTGCCCACACTAACCTACCCTTAGAATTCCGTGGGGAAGGCATCTCACTCCCTGCATCCGTCTTTTGTCACTCTGCCCTCCACATGGCACCAAGGGAGATCTTCCTAAATATGACCTAATCTGCTACACCTCTGCTCACTAACTTTCAATACTCCTGGCTACCCTCAGCCATATGCCTACCATTTACCTCACCTGAGAGCTGCCCAAATACTTTGTTTTCTTTATTAGGGTTCTGCCTGCATGTGTGTCTGTGTGAAGGTGTCGGATCCCCCAGATCTGGAGTTAAAGACAGCTGTGAGCTGTCATGTAGGTGCTGGGAATTGAACTCAGGTCCTCTGGAAGAGCAGCTCTTAACCGCTGAACCATCTCTCCAGCCTCCCAGCCAAAATACTTTTTTTTATATAAATTTATTTATTATGTATACAGTGTTCTGCCTGCATGTATGCCTGCAGGCCAGAAGAGGGCACCAGATCTCATTACAGATGGTTGTGAGCCACCACGAGGTTGCTGGGAATTCAACTCAGGTCCTCTGGAAGAGCAGCCAGTGCTCTTAACCTCTGAGCCACCTCTCCAGCACCCCCAGTCAAAATACTTCTAAAAATGGTTTACATTTACTTATTTTTACTTATTTCTGTGTGTGCACGTTCATGCATGTATGTGTGTGTGCTCTGAGAATGCCACAGCACAGGTGTGGACATCAGACACCTTTTGGGAGTCAGTTCTTTCCCTTCACCAGGTGGCTCCTGGGGCTCCAACTGAGGTCACTAGGCTTGTCAGCAAGCTCCTTCACCTACTGAGCTCTCTCATCAGCTCTTTCTTTCTTTGTGGAACAAAGTCTTATGCAGCCTGAGCTAGCCTCGAACTTGTTAAACAGCAGAGGATGACCTGAACTTGTGATCCCCCTGCCTCTACGTCCAGCACTGGGATTGTAGGCATGCACCACCATGCACAGCTGGGAGCAAGCACTCCTTTAGAAGGATGCAAGATAAGAAATGTCAAACAATTGATAGTTGTGGAAAGTCACTATCTCAAAATGACCACTAGAGAGACCGATTCAGGTGAGAATCATCTGTGGCTGGGTAGGGCGGTGCATGCCTAGAATTCCAGCACTTGGGGTGAAGACAGGGCGATCAGGAGTTCAAGATCATCCTCAGTTACACATCGGGCCCAAGGCTAGCCTGGGCTACTTGAGAACCTATCTCAAACCCCACTGACCCTTAAGATCGTCCATGGATATTAAACCCAATGGGTACAGACTGTAAGCAGTCTAGCTGTAGTATGTCAGAACACTTCTCTGTTAGTAAAAGGGCTTCTCTGTTGCCTTTACAATGGAGAGGTGCTCTTGACCAAGGGCCAAGCCACACCACGCTCCCCTAATGTGAAGCAACGGAAAGTGCTTGTTAGCCAGGTCCTGTTCTTACCCAAACTCTTTCAATTAATTAATTGAATGTGTTTGTGTGTGAGACTGGGTGAGTTTATGTGCATAAAGGCTAGAAGTGAGTGTTAGATCCCCTGGAACTAACTTTACAAGTAGATGTGAGCCAGTACCGGGAACTAAACCCAGGTCCCCAGCTCGCTCGCTCTCGGTTTTTTGAGACAGGGTTCTCTGTGCAACAGTCTTGGCTGTCCTGGAACTCACTGTGTAGGCCAGGCTGGCTTCAAACTCACTGAGATCTGCCTACCTCTGCCTCCCAAGTGCTGCGATTAAAGTCAGGCACCACCCCGCCCCCCCCCCCTCCCCGCCGGCTGCATAAGCACTCTTAACCACTGAGCAATCTCTTTAGCCCCATCCTGCCTAAACTCTTTAACTTGAATTTAGTCACAAGGAAATAAATGCCAACTGTAGATTATAAATCAGTTCATTGGTCACTCAAGACACACACAAAAGGTACTTGTGGAGATGGTCTGGGTTACAGCAAAGTGTAGTCAGTGCATGGTTTTAGGGTACACATGGGGTTTTAGGTTTTTGTTTTGTTTTGTTTTGTTTTGAGGTGGGTCTTCTGTATCCAAGGCTGGCTCAAAGTAATTTCATAGCCAAGGATTACCTTGATAATTTCATTACCAAGGGTTACTTCTGATCCTCTTGCCTCAATCTCCTAATTGCTAGGATCACAAGTATGTGCCACCATGCCCAGTTATTATATAGTGCTGGGACAAACCCAGGGCTTCATGCATGCTAGGCAAGCATTCTACCAACTGAGCTGCATTCTCAGCTCCTACACATGGGATTTTTTAATAGGGTCACAGGAAAATTTGAACAAGGGCTGCATAGTAAGCAATTTTATAAAATTGATACCAAAGTTTTTGGTAGGATAGTGGTTTGTGATCACGTTCCTAGGAGACATTTCAAACTATTTGGGACTAATATGTTGGGACATTTACAACTTTTAAGTATTGTAAAAGATAGTAGGGGGTGGTGGTGCACACCTTTAATCCAACACTTGGGGAGGCAGAGGGTAGGCAGATCTCTGTGAATTGGAGGCCAGCCTGGTCTACAGAGCAAGCTCTAGGACAGCTATAGCTACACAGTTAAATCCTGTCTCAAAAACAAACAAGCAAAAAAGTGTTGCATGAGAAAAAAAAAGACAGAAACAGATCAAGCAAGTGGTAGCAAAACAATGAGCAGAGACACCATGTGAAGGGCAGAAGGGCGTGGGTGCCCAGTGAAGGGCATGGGTGCCCAGTGAAGGACATGGGTGCCCAGTGAAGGGCATGGGTGCCCAGTGAAGGGTGTGGGTGCCCAGTGAAGAAGGCATGGGTGCCCAGTGAAGAAAGGCGTGGGTGCCCAGTGAAGGGTGTAGGTGCCCAGTGAAGGACATGGGTGCCCAGTGAAGGGCATGGGTGCCCAGTGAAGGGCATGGATGCCCAGTGAAGGACGTGGGTGCCCAGTGAAGGGCATGGATGTCCAGTGAAGAAGGCATGGGTGCCTAGTGAAGGGCGTGGGTGCCCAGTGAAGGACGTGGGTGCCCAGTGAAGGGTGCGGGTGCCCAGTGAAGAAGGCATGGGTGCCCAGTGAATGGCATGGGTGAATCTCTCCATTTAATATTTTCATAAGATCGACATTTTTCAAATAGAAGGGTTGGAAACAGACGAATGTGTAATCAAATAAATTAGTAACCGTCAGAGTGAATCAATGCAGCCTTGGGCAAGTAAGAGAGTTAGATGAGTGAACCAACAAGGGAAGGAGAAAGATGCCTAAGACGTCCATCCCCCAGCCTCAGCGTACTTGCCCAGCTGCTCGGTCTCCTGGTATGGCACATAGATGTTGTTGAGGCCACAGAGGAAGGCAGTCAGGATGATCATGAGGATGAACATGAACCTGGTGGGGAATAGGACATGGAAGGGTCAGAGCAGGTCCCCACCCTACAAGTCAGGCCCTGGGAAACGGAATCAGGGAAGGAGATGTTGGCCTTCCCGGATCTTCATTTATTTTATTTTTTGCCTTCTGACTTCAGTTTCCAAGAAAAAGGGGAAAAGTGAGGCATAGAGTTGTTCTAGAACTGGGATCAGAAACACCCACCAAGGGCTCTTTCTGCTATTGATTGGTTTGCAATTGTGACGAGGGCAGGAGCTGTAAACCTCCCTGCCCAGAAGAGCACGTTTACATTTACATTCCGCCTCTAGATTCTAGGGTTCAGAGATCGGTGGAGCACACCGTCTTGTGAGAGGAACGCGGGTCAAGAACTCCCATGCCCCACAGAGCTAAGGGATTTCGGAAGACCGAGTCTGTGGGGTAGGAGCCATAGGCAGGGAGAGCACAAGAAGAGTACACACCGAATCATGTCGTCGATCATCCTGCCAATGGAAATCTGCAGAGTGCCCAGGGACTCGTGAGCTGGCAGGATATATGCCAGTCGGGTGAAGCTCAGCATGCTGGTGACAGCAAAGAGCACCTCGGCCAAGAACTGGGGGTCCTCTGTGCGCCACTCACTCCGCTCTGTGCAGGGTAGGATGGGCGGTGGCTGAGAGCCAAGGATGAGGGCCTTGGGACTCCCTGCTGGGCTGGCGGGACTGTGATGCCAATCACTATCATTATCAGCTGAACTGATTCAGAATCACCTAGGAGACACACCTCTAGATATCTCTGTCAAGGGGTTTCCAGAGGGGTTTCCTGAGGAGGGAATGTGACTGGGTTCCTGGACTGACTATAAAGAGAAAAGGGAGGAATGGAGCTAAGCACCAGCATCCATCTTCCTGCTTCCTGACCACGGACAGACACAATGTGACCAGCTACATCTGCACCCACCACGTCTTCCTCACCAGGCTGTACTGTGTCTCATCAAACTATGACCCAAAATAAACTCTTCCTGTCTTAAGCTGCTTTTTTTTTTTTTTTTTTTTGGTTTTTCGAGACAGGGTTTCTCTGTGTAGCTTTGCGCCTTTCCTGGATCTCGCGCTGTAGACCAGGATCTCACAGAGATCCGCCTGCCTCTGCCTCCCGAGTGCTGGGATTAAAGGCATGCGCCACCACTGCCCGGCTTAAGCTGCTTTTTGTTCTCTGGTTTTTTTTTTTTTTTTTTTTTTTTTTGCTTTTTTTGTTTTTGTTTTTGTTTTTTCAAGACAGGGTTTCTCTGTGTAGTCTTGGCTGTCCTGGAACTCACTCTGTAGATCAGGTTGGCCTCACACTCAGATTCCCCTGCCTCTCCCGAGTGCTGGAATTAAAGGCATGCGTCACCACCGCCCGGCTATTTGCTGGGCATTTCATCACAGCAGAGAGAAAGGTAATGCCCCTCACCAGCAGTGGTGAAATATCGGCAGGTGGTGCTGTCGGAGGCCTCCTGGCAGTGCATGTAGGCAAGCCCAGCCAGGAGGAGGCGCAGGGCAAAGGATGCCAAGTACAGGGAGAGGATGACCACATCCAGGAAGTTCCACCAGTCCAGGAGATAGCTGCGCAAGCCCTCGATCCACACCTCCTTACACTCAAACCACAGGAAGCCTGGAAGGAGAGAGGGGTCAGGAGGGGGGGGGGAGGGGGGAAGGGGGGATGGGGGGGGCGGGGGGGGGGGCTCTCCTCCTCCTTCCGGGACACAGCCAGGTGGCAGTGGCTGGGCATTGATGAGGAAACATTTAATCCATCCAAGTGCAGAGAGACCTTCAGGAAAAACAAGGACTCCCTCACTGGTGCAGACTGATGTCAGGATTGATGGCCCTGCTCGAGGAAGCCCGGCAGGTGATCCTCAGAGAGCAAGCAGCATGGGGTAGGGGTGGGCCACTGTTCTTCACGGTCCCCACCAAATCACAGTAGGCAATATTTAAGGACTCCTTTTTTTTTTTTTAAATAAATCTTTTTTTTTTTTTTTTAATTTATGTATTTATCATGTATACAGTGTTCTGTCTGCATGTGTCCCTTCAGGCCAGAAGAGGGAGCCAGATCTCATTACAGATGGTTGTGAGCCACCATGTGGTTGCTGGGAATTGAACTCAGGACCTCTGGAAGAACAGGCAGTGCTCTTAACCTCTGAGCCATCCCTCCAGCCCCTAAGGGCTCCTTTCTATTTAATTTAAACATGTATTTGTTTGTTTGTGTGTGTGTGGAGGTCAGAGGACAACTTGTGGGAGTTGGTTCCTTCCACCAGGTTCGTCTCAGGTACTGGCTCAGGGTGCCAGGCTTGGCACCAAGAGCTTTTGTTCACGGAGCCATCTTAACCACTCACCCCTTCGGGACTCGGCCTCACCATGTAGCCCTGGTTGGCTTTGACTTTACTAACCTCTCGCCTTAGCTTCCTGAGTGTTGGGATTACAGTTGTGTACCACAGCACCCAGCTCTATTTCTTTTTTTCTTTTTTTTTTTTTTGGTTTTTCGAGACAGGGTTTCTCTGTGTAGCTTTGCGCCTTTCCTGGAACTCACTTGGTAGCCCAGGCTGGCCTCAAACTCACAGAGATCCACCTGGCTCTGCCTCCCGAGTGCTGGGATTAAAGGCGTGCGCCACCACCGCCCAACTCTATTTTTTTTTTTTTAAGACAGGATTTCTTTGTGTAGTTTTGGTGTCTATCCTGGATGTCGCTCTGTAGACCAGGCTGGCCTTGAACTCCTCCTGGCTCTGCCTCACCAGTGCTGGGATTAAAGGCGCTCGCCACCGCTACTGCCACCGCCACCACCACCACCACCACCGCCGCCTGGCCACCCAGCTCTATTTTAAGACCTTGATTTGAAGGGACTCTAAATTATCAGCCTGCTCAGTGTGGCCAAGTCTCAGCGGGGCCCAGTGCAGAGCTGGCCACGGGGATCTTGGTAGCTGGCCACAAGTAAAGGGCTCTCTCATACATACCCGTGACCCAAATCATGTGTAGTGAAGTCTCCCAGACACTCTGGCTGCGGCCTTTGAAGGTGCTCAGCTGAGTCTCCATGACCAGGGACTCTCCCAGCAAGAAGATCAGGAACCACAGATAGGAGGCTGAGTGCAGCAGGAACTTCAACACTGGGATCTTCAGCAGGCGGCCCAGCTTTGGGGGAGACAGGAAAGCCTGGCTGTCAGGGGTCTGTGGTCACTTGTCCCTGTAGCCCTCTGGACTGCTTGGCCCCCATGTGAGCCTGCACCTTCCAGATTCACCCACTCGTCTGTCTAGGCAAGTACTAAGAAGGAGGCGGTGTGCACAAGGCTCTACATTTTCTGTTCTCTCCTTCACAACCATGTGAGGTAAGTGTTGCTCCTGCCTCCCCCACCCGTTTTTGCGGGGAGGATCCCACAGGAAAAGTTCAGACTCATCATCACTACTATTCTAAACCTGCTCCTCTTACCTCATGAAACCACTGGGTCACCCAGCCAGGGCCTGAGTGGCACCTCTCCTTCTCTTGCCACACTCTGGCAGTTTTTGTAATGCCTGTCCCTGCCCCCTAGTCCCCCTGCATACTTGCAGTGGAGAGCTTGCTTCCAGCACACAAAGCAAGGTATCACTCATCTTGTTCTTCGTACCCGGGACTTGGGCGCCAGCCAGTAGCCAAGGCAGAGGAAGGGCATGGTGAGGAAGAGAAGAAAGGCGACGAAGAGCTTCCAGATGGTGGTGCTTCCACGCCAGCCAGCCAGGTTCCCACACCAGATGGAAGACAGAACTTGCTGGCAGATGGGGTGAGCTACAAACTGAGTTGAGAGGGTCGTGAGAGGAGAAGGCCGCCAGGCAGGAAGGCCAAAGGGGCCGGCTGGATACAGAGCCCTTACTTCCTGCTGCAGAGGTTGAACCATCATTTCGTCTCCATGCCAGCCCACCCAGAAGAGAGGGGCTTCACCTACCACACGACCATGGGCAAGGGCCTTCACAGGCCTTGGTGTGGAGGATCTGAATGTGAAGATGTTCCGAGACTCTTCACACCCTACGTTCTTGAATCGAAGTCAGGCAGGAGTGGGTAGAACTTGGGGGCCTAAGTCCCAGAATTCCCAGTGTTCCCTGCCTCAGCAGGTATATGTAGCGTACGTCTAGGTGAATGATCTCGAGGAGGGTAGGGGCATGGAATATGGGTCTCCTGTCATGAGGACCAGTTCAGTGGAGACGGCACACAGGAAAGCTTTGGTAATGTGCCTAGTAGGTCAGGATATCTTCATGTGGATGAGAGTGAGGAGTCAGGGGCTGAGGGAGGCCGGACAGAGAGCCTGTCTTTAGCGTGGCTGCTGAGTTAAGAAATCTAATGAGAGCCAGGAAAAAAAACCACCAGCCATTTAACCCCTTGCTACATAGGTGAGGAGTTGTAAGTCTGGGCCAAAGTTTCTCATCAGGCCAGAGGCAAAACTAAGTCTGTGTGAGACCTGAGTGTGGGATCCTAGTGGTGACTAGTTCTCCAAAGGGATGGGGTGGGGGTGGGAGGCCCCTAGTGCTCAGCCTGAAAGTAACCAGGAAGGGATGGGAAACTTCCCCTCTTGCTGGTAAGGGCTCATATGGAAGGGTACTGAGAACCAAAGTGTCAGAAAAGTCCCGAGGAGAGAAAGTCATAGTATAAGGCTGAAGCGGGATATGCCTCAGAGGAGGCAGGACAAGGGACCAGGGTAGGGAGGGCAGGCTGGAGGCCCAGCTGACCTGTTTCTGGTTGTAGTTGACAGCCAACCGCAATCTTGCCAGGTTGGGGATGCCCTCCTCGAAGGCCTGGCCCAGGCCCTCAGCCTCAGGCTCGGTCTCACTATCCTCACCCATGTCATTGAGCACTGCCGTGACCTCACTCTGGTTCCGGCACATGCCCAGCAGTTCAAAGCCATAGTCCTGGCAGAGCGACTCCAGGGCAATGTACTGAGGCTGTAAGAAAAAAGGTCTGTGTGTGCCATCAGGTCAACCCGTCCCTGCCCCCCACAAACAGTAGGCCTGTGTCACTTCTGTCTGATGTCAAAGGGTCATCTACTTCTTTCTTCTCTGCTACCTCATCCATCCTTCTGGGTCGCTTTGCTTATCCGATGCTATTTCCACCTCGTCACTCAGTCACTTCAACCCAAACCTACCACCTTTGCCTGTCCCCTGGACTCGTCTACCTCCTGATTCCTGTCCCTCTCTAACAACTCCCCACACCGTCTTTGAACATTGCTATTATTGTGTGTGATGTGTGTGCAGGTACACATTGCCATAGCACACATGCGGAGGTCAGGGCAACTTTGTAGAATTGGTTCTCGTTCCACTTTTATATGGGTCCTGGGGACTGAACTCAGATTGTCAGGCTTGCGCAGAAGCAGCAGGAGTTTTTGCCTGTGAACCATCTCACTGGCCTACCCTTACACTTTTCCTGTGCTCATTCTGTTCATCTTTTTGAGCATCGCCCTTATATGGAACCGGTGTTGGTAGATGAAGGGGATACAGAAAAGAGTAAGCAGCTGTTGGATGCTTGTTTTCCATCCTACCCTGTTTTATTTGGGCGTTTTTCCTAGAGAGGATCTAAGCCCGGCTTCGAAGGCCGAGGTTACCTCTAGCACTGTCCCTCAGCCAGGAAACTTTTTTTTTTTACCGACCTCAGGTCTGTCCAACTGTAAAGTATGGGTGAGAAGTCCTGCTCTGCCCCATTCCACAGGCTACTAAGAGAAGGGAAAGTCCTCTGAAAGCATTGCTCCTTCTTGGTGGGGACCTTTTCGTCCTTCCGGCTTTCTGGCCTCATCTTGTCCTAGGCCTTCATAATATCCTCATGGGCTTCCCTACCTAATGGCAGTCTTGAGGATGGGGACCTAGTCTGGCCTGGCACACAGGGAATGCCAATGACTCAGTGATGGATAAATGGATGGTGCAGTGCCAGCCCCCGGACCAGATATTCTGCTTCATGTATCTTTGGTCCAACCCAGGTCCTCATACTTCTTTTCTTTTCTTTTTTTTTTTGGTGTGCATGTGTGGGGTGTTTCATTGAAATAGGGTCTCATGTATTCCAGGCTGGCCTCCAACTTGCCAAAGATGATCTTGAACTCTGATCATTCTGTCTTTGCCTCCCAAGTGGTGGGTCACAGGCGTGTCCACCACATGTAGTGGTGTGGATCAACTCTGGGCCTCATCCACAGCAGGCACGCACTCTACCAACTGAGTCACGCCTCCAACTCCACATTATATACCTTTTGCTGGGACTTCTGCTTACTTAACTGCCTTCCCTGCTCATCTTCTCTAACCCGCCTCTTCCCTTAAGAATGTTCCCGGAAGCGGGGCGGTGGTGGCGCACGCCTTTAATCCCAGCACTCGGGAGGCAGAGCCAGGCGGATCTCTGTGAGTTCGAGGCCAGCCTGGGCTACCAAGTGAGTTCCAGGAGAGGTGCAAAGCTACACAGAGAAACCCTGTCTCGAAAAACCAAAAAAAAAAAAAAAAAAAAAAAAAAAAAAAAAGAATGTTCCCGGAATACAAAGGCCACAGGTCACTTTTTCTGCTTTCTGTGCTTTGGAAGTCCTGTGAAGACCATCCACAGAGGCACTGAATGAAGTCCTGGGAGCATGTTGTCCCCTTTGCCTATCCATGATCACAAGCTTGAGAGCCCCAACACACAGCACTCCAGGTGAAAATTCAGTGGGTACCTCAAAGGGACATGCTCTACTGAATGTCATGTCTAAGTCTGTCCAGCTGTTTCTATTTTCCTCTCTTACCTTAGATGGATCTAGAGTACCCCTAGGGCAGGAGCTATACTCCCTGCATAAGCCAAGTGCCCCTGGAGTGACTCACTTCTCAGACTTCCTAGAACACCCACCACAAAGCCCAATCCTGTCCCAGGGCAAGAACAGACACCGGGCATGGAGGGCAGGATGGAGTGAAGAGCAGGGGAAACAAACCTTAAACTCGGGCTCCTTTCGTGCAAGGCGCCTGAGCTCCCGGCTGAGCTGAAAGGCAGCCAGCATGGCATCCTCGCTGGCCAGTGAGAGGTGGGCCCGGCTTGCGATGCCGCGGTAGGTGTTGATTCGGGATAATGAGAATTTTAGCAGGTCGTATCGGCGGGCATTGCTGCACTCAAGGCAGGCACAGGAAACTGGGTGGGGCCGGGCAATAGTGTGGCCCTGGTCCATGAGCAACTGGGCAATCTCATACAGGTCCTTCTGGCAGGCTAGTGTGAGTGGAGTGACACCAGGGGCAAAGCGGGAGCCATCAATTGAGGAGTCAAAGAAGGCTAGCGAGAAGGACTTGGTGTCTACTTTTCGACCCTTCTCCCGATCCAGCCGAGCCAGCAGGCGACGCACCACCGCTGGCTGGTTCGTGTCCACTGCCACTAGCAGGGCTTCGTGGATCTGCCGGAAGTCAAACTTGATGTTGGCCAGCAGCACATCAGTGATGGCCTCATGGCCCAGCCGGATGGCCAGGTTGAGGGCTTCCCTCCAGGAGCGGTCCTCAGACTCTTCCACATTCCGCAGAGGCCCAGCACCCGAGGTGGCGGCGTCGTTGCCGGACTCCAGCAGCTGCTGCACGAGACCCAGCTGGCCCTCCTGGATGGCCCCCAGGAGCGTGGGTGGGAATTTGAGCTTTTTGTTCACAATCTCAGTCCAGTTGGGCTGCGTCTGGGTGAAGGAGGGGAGAGGAGGGTGCTCTTGAGTTCCCAAACCCCTTAGTCTGGAGGCCTTCCTCACCTGCCTTCTGGTCTCTAACCCTTTGTAATCAGCTATTACGTCTTCCTTGTCCCAAGCAACACATACGCCTTGCTCACCATTTTATTATGTAGATTCATGCTGGGAAAGGGCTAGAGTGGGGGGTTATCAGCTCACTTCCACTCTCATGAAAATCCTACAGACCAGGGCCCAGTGTCAGTTCCCTGGAGAGGTGATTAGAGCAGGTGGTCAGGGTCACACTAGGAGCCGAAACCCACACACAAGCACAATCTGCCTAGAAGCCAGTTCCCAGCTTGTTGACTTCATCTTCCAGCTGCTCATCTCTGAAGGACAGGTCCAGACATGCCCACACGGAGGGTCTTTAAGCTGGGCTTTCTAAGCCCTTCCTCTATGAGGAGGACTCCTAGTAGGCCCCTAATGTGTCCCCTCCGCCTAGCGCTCACTTTGCCTCCTACTCTACACCTCTCCTCCTTGGCCCGGTTTGGTCCTGCGGTTTGGTCCTGCTCGTCTACCAGGCGGCCGTCCTCATCGCTCTTGTTTCCTAGGCCCAGGATCAGGGCTCCGGGGGCTCTCCCACCCACCTGGCAGTATCCACTACGGGTCTGGCAGCTAGGCTGCCCCTGCATCCCTGTGGGCAGTGAGCCCTGGGACTGGGATGCGGGGAGGGGAGGGCAGCAAGGGTCTCTTACCGAGAGGGGATCCATGGCTGCAGCCTCCTTTGCCGGCAGGGGCTGAAGGCCTGAACTCCCCGTCTGTCTGTCTGTCCCTTGACTGTGCCCAGCATTCCTCTCTCACCCCCACTCAAAGCCCCACCCTGAGCCCTCCCTTCCTTCTTCAGGACCAGCTGCTCTCTCTGCCCCGTACCCCGGGGATGGGGGAACTTGTGTTAGTACCACACGATGACGTCTCCTGGGAAAAAGGGAAGAGCGCATAATTCTTCAAAGCAGGATTTGGACTATCACAGGTCCAGGACCTCAGGGAGACACTGCAGCCCCGCTGCCTCATTGAACAGATGAGAATGGGATTTGCTCAAAGCCTCACAGCCAAGCCTAGAACCATCTATTCCTTAGAAAGGAATCTCTCTGGTCCCTCTGACAGCCCTATGAGCAGCCGCAGAGGACATTCCTGTTACTGAATGTCCATTTCAGACCCACAATAAATAAAGTTATAGAGCAGTCATCTGATTACACCTAGGCCAGACACCCATGAAGGATATAGAAGGTCAAGGTCATAAAAAAAACTCGATGTCAGTTTCATGCTCAAGACACTCATCTTCCAGAGAACATCATGGGACTTTATTATTTCCAGGCCACATTTTCCTTCTGACCAAGCCTCAGTTTTCCTTTCAGGAAAATGGGCAGGAGGATAAGTACCATTCACTGAGGGAAACACATTTGAGATAGTGTAGTGTCCTAAGGCCTTGGAGAGATCACCAATTCTACCAAAGAAGTTCCAAGGGGAAATTGTCCTTATGAGAATTGGGTACCATAGAGACAAAGCCTTGACAACCGGGAATGGGGAGCAAGCTGGGTCCAGAAGTGTCCTCAGGCAGGCAGAGTTCTGAGGTAATAGGGGAAGGGAGGGGAGCCAACCCTTCTTAGCCACAAGAGACCCATTCCCCAGGTTCTGACATAAACGGTCAACAGAACCTCATGGCTCAGGCTGGACAAACTTCCCCACACATGCTGGCATGTTCTTCTATTTCTCTTGCTGAGAACTGTAACTCGCAAATAGGACACTGGACCCAGGAAGGCGATGGTGAGCTCTCTGGGGAGGACACCCACAGCACAGATGGCGAGGAAGACGAGGAGGAGGAGGAGGAGGAGGGAGAAGATGGCTGGGATGGGGAGCTCTCTCCACAAGTGGCAGCATGCAAAGGGAGAGTCTCGATGCTGAAGGAGCCTAAGGAGAAAGAAGGAGATCAATAAAACGGGGCCTGTTCCCACACCGAGATGCCGGAGGAGGAGCTGCTGCCGCTACGCAAATGCTTGTGTGGGAAGTCTCCCATGGCTGAGAGACACCATCACGTACCCGCCAGACATTCATCAGACGTTTACTATGTGCCTGACAGTGCGCTAGGTGCCGAGGGGTATGGATGTCCTTACAGAGTGTGGAGTCTACTGGAAAGGGCGGGTCATGAGCACAAAGAACATGGCCACCAGGGCTGGACAAATCAAAACTGTGTTGGTGTGTGTGCACCATTTGCACTTACAGAAGCCAGAGGCTGACATTAGAGATATTCTTGCTTCTCCATCTTGTTTTTTGTGACAGGGTCTCCTGTTGTACCTGGAGCTCACTAGTTATCTAGAGTGACTGGCCAGTGAGTCGGTGGAAGCTGTCTATCCCTGACCTCCAGCCTGGGGTTGCAGACATGGGCCGCCACACCCAGCTTTTACGTGGGTGCTGGGGATGCAAACTCAGGTCCTTAGAGTTGAGCCTCAGGTGCTTTACCCACTGAGCTGCCTCCCCAGACTCTACCGAATGTTTCTGCCAGTACCCATGGCCCTCCTCCTATCTTCCTAAACGAATGCCCGGTTTTCAGGCCCCCCAGTAATAATACAGCTCACCTGTGCAGATGGGACACTGTCCAGTCGCCTGGACACCTTCGTCATTCTTGGTCTGAGGTCGGTGCTGTCTCTGCCTTGCTCTTGCTGCCCGCCTCCTATCTGGCTGAGAACTTGAGCTGGACAACGGTCTGTGAGAAAGAACAGTTTAAGGCCAGCTAGCTGGGAGAGACCAAAGGCTGAAGGAACATAGAATCCAGACCAGAAGCATGTAGAAGAGACTGGAAATAGCAACCCCGTCAGTCTTTGCTTTTCCACTTGCTAGGACAGACTAGAGGAAGGCAGTTAACCTTTGAGCATCTGACAACGGGGCTTCTATCACTGTCCTCAGTTTTTAAAAGTTAATTAGTTTTGAGATAGGGTCTTAGTATACAGCCCTGCATGGCCCAGAACTTGCTATGTAGACCAGGCTTTCCCAGAACTCAGAGATCCTGCCTATCTCTGCCTTCGAACACCTGGGATTAAAGGTGCATGCCATCATGCCTGGTAGTTTTTTAATTTTAAAATTGAGATATTATGTACATATCATAAAATTAGCCTTTGGAAGTATAGATTAAGGCTACTTCCAAGCTGAGTAACTACAATTACTTTCACAACATTTTTATCAACCCTCAGAAACTCCAAATGCATCTTAAGTTGCTCCCCATTTTTCTGTCTGTCCCTCGACTCCAGCAACTGCTAATTTCAGGCTGGCCTGAACACTGCTGTGTATCCCAGCAGTCCTAGTAATCAAACTTGCACTCTTTCTGCCCTGGTCTCCTGCTAGGATCACAGGCCTGAGACGTCAGATTTACATTAGATCAGATGCTGTCTATATACCGTCTTATTCTGGTTCACGACGGGGCCAATTTCTGCCTATCTCCAAGTGTGAAGACATTTGGACAAGGACAATCTTTCTCCGTGTCGTCTAAGAGATCAAGACCCAGACTGCCCAGGCCTGACTGAAGGAAAAGTGAGGAGGGGTTCGGAGATCCTGAGGTCTGGACGTGATGGCAGCCTGCCTACCTTTGGTCCTGCAATTTCCTTCTCTTCCTTCTGCCCACATCATTCTTCCTGTTTTGTTCTTCTGCTCTGGGCTCTGCATGAGAAATGCTCATTAGTTACCAGACAAGGTGGCACGCGCCTATAATCCCAGAACTCAGGAAGCTGAGACTGCAGGACAGCAAGTTCAAGACCAACTTGGGATGAATAATGAGATCTTTTCATAAAAAACAAAAATTAAAACAAACTATCTAGCTGTTTACACATGGCTTCCACATTTTAAGTTTTCTTTTGAGATATTTTTTTCTATCTTCTTTGCCTGCTTAATTCAAGCCTGAGAATTCCCTAGATTCTCTGACTGGAACCTTGTCATCCTGTCGTCTGTTCTTTCAGAGTATTTATCACAGTTTAGTTTTAGATTTCTTGGGTGACACAGACACCCACCTCTTCATTAAGATATGAGCATTGCTATTTTATTTATTATAGTATCTCTGGCACCACACAGATTAGCACATACAGATATTCAATAAATACACGTCAAATGAGCAGTAACAAAAACCAATAGTCACCATTTACCTCTTTATTCATAATTTCAGAAACTCTTGGTATAGCACTAAATGTATTTCAAAGTGCTTACACAATCTTAGTACCTTATCAATAGTAGATATCTCCAAATGTGTAGTTTCTTTTCAGCCTCTTCTCCAAACCATAAACCTTTATCCTTATAGACTCTGAGAGACAGACTCCCATTACCTACTGCCTGTTTGTATTGAGGGCCCCTGAGTGTGGGTGATATCTAGTGGCAAATGGCAGAGTATCTGTGAACAGGCTGCAAAAAGTCATGACTTCACTAGGATGTGGTGGTGCACACCTTTAATCCCAGCACTGGGGAAGCAGAGGCAGGTGGATCTCTGTGAGTTCCAGGCCAGCTAAGAGTTACTCCCTTGTCTCAAGGGAGTACACACACACACACACACACACACACACACACACACTTCAAACTGACACTCCCTCCTTCCCCTTTGTCTGTCGCTGATGTAACAAGCTGCCACACCGTGAGGTACTGACACACCAGCCTCCTTGAAAGAGCTGGAATAGCATCCTTTCCAGAAGAGCCCTGAGATGCCTGCAGCCATTTCTTTTTCTTTTCTTTTCTGAGACAGGGTCTCATGTTTCTCAGGCTGGCTGGGAACTAGCTCTCCATGTACTGAGAATGACCTTGACTACTGATCCCTCTGCCTCCTCCACTCCCCAGTGCTGGGATTGAGGCATTTACTGGCACTGTCTTTCTGAGATAATCACAGAACACTGAGATTGTAATAAGCCAAGGTATTATTTGCTTTAGCCCCTTTCCTATAAACGTGAGGGAGCTGAAGCAAAGACAAGGGTTCCTGATTCCTAGGCCAGTGTCCTTTCAATTATTACATAAGAGTTAACTTCTCTTCTTCCCTGACTAATTTTCTCCTTTCATTTGAAAACAGGGAGCCATCCCAGGACAGCATGGCAGAGTCAGGGAGGAAGGACAGTGTCAGGCACAGTAAGGAACAGAACTTGGGGCCTCACCTGCACTCTTTGGATGACTGGGACCTGGTTCCCCATGGCTGTTCTTTGGGCTCACCACACCGGCCAGAGGTGCCCTGTTGGCAGCAGAAAGTACCATGTGGGCCGCCCGCCCCAGCGGCCCTGGCTGCAACTGCTTCAGCTTACCCTTGAGCTCTGAAATTTCCTTGGTGCTCCTGCAGAGAAACAGTATTTTGTTTCACTCAGAATGCCAACGTTATTCTATTTACTCGAATCAAACAAGACAGTTTGCTATCCTGATATGCTTAGACCTAAGTGATTAACCAGGGGACCATAGGCTGGGTTTCTGTGCCCCTGAGCTACGTGGTCTTCCCCTTCCACGAGAAATATCAACAGCAGGTACATACGTCTGGGGATCTGGGAAGAATGTCCTCCGGATAGAAGGATTAGTCAGCCAGGGCCTAGGATCAGACTCCAGCATATCCGAAGCGTTCTGAGGAGAAAACGAAGACGTAAATACCCAGATTCACCCGCAGGGGGCACTGCTGCCTAGGGACGCAACGTGATTGTATCTGCAGTAACTTTTACCTATTTGCTGGTGTGCGCAATTTGTGATGCTGCAATTTTGTATTCTAAGGGTTTTGTCACAATCGGAAGGGCTCTGGGAATAAAAGAATTCACACTACTGGGTAAAACAGGCCTATGGAGACTGATGGAATGTGCAAACTTTTGAGTTTGTTTCTTGTTAACTTTTAAAATATATATCTATATCATACTTTAAATTTGTATATAAATAAAATAAATTTGTATAAGTGTAAATTATAGAAAGTTCAAGGCCAGCAAAAAAAACAAAAACAAAAAAAAAAAAACGCTGGGTGGTAGTGGCATACAACTTTAATCCCAGCACTGGGGAAGCAGAGGCAGGAGGATCTCTGTGAGTTCGAGGCCAGCCAGGTCTACAGTGAGAGTTCCAGGACAGCCAGGGCTACACGGAGAAACCCTGTCTCGAAACAGAAGCAAAAAGAAAACTCATGAGAGATCCACCTGCCTCAGCCTCTCAAGTGCTCAAATGAACGA